TCAATAGATGAATAGACAAACTGCAGTATATACATATAATGGAATATTAGTCAATCATAGGAAGTAATGAAGTACTGATAAATGCTATATCACATATATATATATGTATGCACATACACACATAAATTTACTGCCAAAGAACAAGTTTTTTGAGAAATAACTATCTAGCAGGTTATGCATAGATAAAAAACAAAATTGATAAATATAGATAATATGTAGCTGATAAATATAATGACAATTTTTACTAAATGATTGTGCCATTCTACTTTCAGGCAGATTTTTAAAATTAATGCAAAATTAGTTTGCATTGCAGGGAGGACAGAAAGATGTAAAGAAACCTAGAAGTGAAAGCCAATATTGAATATCTGAAGACTTATCTATGAAGGTCTGAAATTGCCTATTCCATACTAGATTCCACTACTGTCATGATGTGAGGCCTCTTCACTCCCAACCATGGCTGATTTCATAGTTACAGGGACACACAAAAGCATATCTAAATTCTGTCCATTAAATTTCTCCCAATGTGTACAGTAAGAAGAGTATACAAAAAGAAGTTCTACTTCCATTACATATTAAGAGTTCTACTTCCAATTAGGATGTAAAAGGTCATAAGATACACTACTTCTACTGTTACAATATGAAATCACTGGATAAACTAAGAAAAATCTTATTTTTCTTTAGATTATCAGAGAATTGTGGGAAGCAAAAGATTAAATGGGCTAAATTCCAGTAGGGACTATCCTCTCATGGGTGTGCCAAACTGAAGGCCACTTCACTCCCTGGGAGCAAGGACCTACACAGGAGCAAACAGGCCTAGGCAATACATTTTGAAGGTAAAGAAAAACCAATTGAGCCTTTAACAGTTTGCATTTAGACTCTCAAGGTAGATGAGCATCACCAGCAGCCCAGAGTCTAAGCTGGTGTTCTTGTCCTGTCAATTGATACCAATAAGAATTTTGCTAAGTACAGTGCCACAAACTGAAGAAAAGTCTGGAAAAAAGACAGAAATCTTGTAGTCTTGCAGAAATTACATTCCAAAATTCTGCTGAAAAGTAGGGCCTCATTCTCAAAACATTTAAAAGAGCTGAACCAAGTCTAAAGCCAATCTCAGCTCAACTTCTCATTATATGAAAGACGTCATGCCTAGTCCAAGCTGAGAGGAAAAAGAGCAACTTATTCAGTCTCTATTGATCTTTTATAATATGACATGTGGCCAACAATTTTAAAATTTTAAGAAGTGAAAAAGCAGGAATATGTGACCTGCTTTTCAAGAGAAAACAAACAAAATATCTGACCTTGTTTTCTCTTGACCTCACGATGTGAGGCCTCTTCACTCCCAACCATGGCTGATTTCATAGTTATAGGGACACACAAAAGCATATCTAAATTCAGTCCATTAAATTTCTCCCAATGTGTATGGTAAGAAGAGTACACAAAAAGGAGTTCTACTTCCATTACATATTAAGAGTTCTACTTCCAATTAGGATGTAAAAGGTCACAAAATATACTACTTCTACTGTTACAATATGAAATCACTGGATAAACTAAGAAAAATCTTATTTTTCTTTAGGTCATCAGAGAATTGAATCAAGAGAAATCAAACAAGAGAAAACAAACAAAAACCTGTCACTAGCAGACCCACAGATAAATTACAAGGGAAGGACATTTATAATGTTAAACAATTGAGAACAAAAGATTAACAAAAATGGGTGAGAAGAAGGAGAATTTCAAAGAGAAATGGAAGCTCCAAGAGATCCAAAAGGAAATTATAAAATGAAGTCTGAGATGAGTAATTCATTGACTGAGCTTAACAGGAGACTGAAGCAAATCAGAAAAAAACATGTACTGACTGAAAAATAATAGTCACTGCTATAAGTTGAAAATGAACTTTACTTTCAGAGTCAAGGACAAGGACTAGCTGGGAGAAACAGACTTACACAGTAAGTTCTAATTAGTTGTTTCCTGTCAAAATCTCTACAGTTTAATCTCTTTGTACTAAAATGCTGTTGTGAACTGAAAAAACTGGTAAATAAGACCCGAAAAGAGTGGACCCAAAAAGAGTGGACCCAAAAAGAGTGGACCCAAAAAGAGTAGACACACTTGTAGGAAAACAGTCAACAGTTTAACATACATTGAACTGGAGTCCCTGGTAACAATTTTACTTAATTTTTTTTAAAGATTTATTTATTTATTTATGTATATATGTATGTATACAAGAGCTGGGATACAGGCCAGAGGTGTGTGTGTTTGGTGGGGGTGGGGGGGGGGTTGTATGGAGGGGAGAGAGGAGAGAGGATTCACCAGAGACAGAGTGAGGAACAGAACAGGAAAATTGATTGAAGTACACTCCTGAGGGGAGCAGTGGGCGAGTCAGGAGAGGTTTGCTGCGCCATGTGGGTTGCTCCCTGGCTGGCTGGGGGATCTAATACATGCTGCAGAGGCTGTGGACAGCTTCATAGGTTGCGTCTTAACCCCTTGCACCACCAGGGAGGCCCACCTGGAAACAATTTAAAAAAAAGAACAGAGAAGTATAGCTAAAAAGTCAACAGAACGGACCTCCCGGGTGGCGCAACAGGTTGAACACAGCGCTGTGAGGCTGTCCGCAGCCTCCGTGGCGCCGGTTCAATTCCCAGCCGGCCAGGTAGAGTCCCACATGGCGCTGCAGATTCTCCTGTCTCGCCCGCTGCTCCCCTCAACAGTGCATTTCGGTCCTTCTGCCTGTTCTGCTCCCCACTCTGTCTCTGGTGGATTCTCTCACCCTCCCATGCCTCTAGCCTGTACCCCAGTGCTTGTATAAACATAAAAAAGATTACTAAAATAATCAATTATTCCAAAAGGCAAGAAAGAAAAGACAAAAGGATAAAGAATACACGTGACAAATAGGAAAAAAAGAACAAATAGTAGACAAGGGGGTCTATGAATCTTTTCTGTAAAAACCCAGCTGATATTTTACAACTGGGTTTTTACAGCTGAAATATACAGATCTTACTATCTCAGTTGCTACTATTCAACTCAGCCATTAAAGCTTGAAAGGAGTTACTGACAATACATAAACAAATGGGCATGACTGTGTTTCAAATAGTTTAGTATAAAAACTAGCAAATGAATGTCAGTTAATAATAATACATCAATATCGATTCATTAATTGTGATAGATGCTCCATGTTAATATGAGATTTTATTAAAAAAAAATAGGACACAAACCAGATTTATCCTGCTCTTATTAGAGACTAACCAAACCATATTAATATCGTATTAAATAGAAATGGAATAAATATGTCAGTGCAAAGACAAAAGACTATCAGAATAGATAACCAAATATACCCATACAATAAGTTTATAACACATAGATTTGACACACGAACATAGATAGGTAGGGAATAAAGAAAGGATTTAACACACAAACAGTAATAATAAAATAGACTTTAAGATAAAGAAGATCATCAGAGATAAAGTGAACAATTCATCAGAAACATATAATATTAAATGTTTATGCACCAAATAGCATATGTAGCTTTGAAATATATGAAGCAAGAATTGACAAATAAAAATTAAGCACCTAAATTGAGACTACGTTGCTCTTCCTAAATGAAATTTTGGGGACTGGTATTTTCTTCCCCCCCAAAAAAAAATCACACTTTGTATCTAGCATGAAAAATTCATCTAAGAAATGTTTTTTAATAAACCATTCTTACCAACATATTAATACTTAGTGCTAAGACACCTCATGTCAAAGTATCTTTAATTATAAAAGCTGCCTATGATGTAATAGTTGAACTGATCTTTGAATTTTTGTTTTATCTATTTTTACATATAAATTATAAATAATTGGGGCATTACTATTATCAAGCAGCAAAACATTTGGTTTTCTTGGGTGTGTTCCATATTTATTTGAACACTTTTTTTTTAATTGAAGTAAAAACTCTGTATAGAGTTTCAAGTATACAGACTCATAAATCAACATCTGTATGTACTACATTATGTTTGCTTCCAAAACTCCAGAATTTTCCACTCATGAGTTTTAAATTTTAATTAAAGATTACAAATATAAGAAAAATTCAACTGGAGAGGTTATTTCTTTAGAGTAAAATGACAACATACTTATATTTAAAATTTGATTTCTGGGTTAAGCTAGAAAGGAAGATGCTAGTCTGTCACTCCTCCCACCCAGTGAAAAAGAATGACATCCTTAGGGCTCCCTTGTGGTGCAGATGGTTGAGTGCAGCACTATGAAGCTGTCTGCAGCCTCTGCAGTGCAGGTTCGATCCCTGCCGGCGGTGGAGATACCCACATGGCGTGGCAGACCTCTCCTGCCTCGCTCGCTGCTCCCCTCAGCAGTGTATTTCAGTCAGTCTGCCTGTTCTGTTCCCCTGCTCTGTCTTTGGTGAATCCTCTCACCCTCCCGCACATCTGGCCTATATCCCATTCTTGTATAAATAAATCTTTAAAAAAAAAAAAATTAAAAAAATAAATAAAATATATAATAATTATTGTAATTTTAATGTTAAATGCATTTTAATTTCAAAATAATAAAATATTAGCTATATAGCAACAAACCCAACAGCTATCAAGACCATAAAGTTTTCTACTTTTATCTAAAACATCACCAAGAACTCTTTTGAGATCTATAACATCAATAATATTGATAGTTTCAAACACAGTTATTAACTTGGAAGTTTAGTATCCAGAAAAATCAATGTTGAAGTAACTAGAGAAGTTAAAAACTTGTAACATGAAAAATAAATATAGGAGAAAAGCCCAGATACCAAACATGCATGGGGAAAAAAAGAACTGTCGAAGTCAACTTCAAAAACTTAAGAAAGTAAAGAAAAAGATACCCATCTACAAGAGTCTAAAGAAAAAAATAATGTACTTCCTGTTCTTAATTATTCAAAACAACCAAAAAGACATGAGAGTGGTTAGTGAAACAAATAGGTATGCACTAAAAGTTAAAGATTGATTTTTAACCTCATTAGTTTCAAGCAAAGAAAATATGGCAACCTTTTCCTGGAACATATAGCCCAGTAGCTCTCGCTCTTTTACATCATAATTTATCTAAAACAAACAAAATAAAAGAAAGAGAAAAAAAATCCAAGATCACTCAATTTGTTAAGCTACCTGAATTACTAATAGTCACATAATTAAAAAAATTGAACATGTTAAAATACATTTAGGCATTAACTATAATCAAAATTTCAGTCTCTATTTTGCTATCAATTAAAAGAAAAACATTTTACATAATTTTAAAATTAGACCGTTGTAATCTAACTGAATATTTTATACTGAGAAATAAGACCTCAGAGAGATGAAGAGACTCCTCAATGATAAAGAAATTACTAGCACATCAGAAACCAGTCCTCTCTCTATTCTGACTACAAAAACCTCTTATAATATTTTAAAATACTGTTGTGTTATATAGCAGGAGTCAATCCCTGGAATAAAGTTTGCCTCTAGTTCTCTTACTTGTTAAAATGGATTTGTTAACAATTAAAAGGTTAGTTGTAGCACATTATGGTAAAAAGGTACTGATAGTATTATTACACAGATCTGAATTTTGAAACTTTTTAATTGGTGGGGGAACTGAAGAAGAAAATCTATTTGATTCATAAGTACTTTCCCAAGAAATTGTCTCTTTCCCTAGTGTGTCTAAAAGAAATCTGTAAAACATTATCCATTTCAAAACAGTGCTTCAAATGGGCCAGTTAAATTTTTAAACTAATCACTTAATATCTACATGTGAGAAGTAATACTTCTTTAGTCACAAGGGACAACATACAATACTTGGAAGATTTAAATTATTAAGATACAAGGGAGAAATAGTTCTATGTGAAAAAAATTCATTTACATACATCATGCCTAGTTAAAATGTATGATTCTCAGAACATATATTTTTAGCCAAAGATTTCAAATACTTGAAATTACTGATGTATTGACTTAATTTTTCTAAAATTAAGTAAGTAAATAAATTTGGACTACCTTGTCCAGTGCAAACTTAGTGTTTCCTACTGAAGATAACGACAGCACATAAGATCCAACAAGGGTGAAATTGCTGGTACGCACAGCATTGAGACCACCTGGACTGGCCATAACTGTGAAGAAAAAGAAAATGAAGTTTAGTACACAATAACTTGTATAAGAGCAAATAACAATTCATTACCTCACCCCAATAGAATGAAATTAAAATGCCACACAGAAACTTGTCTCATTTTCCTTCATCACTAAATATGGAGGCGAAGGGGGATTGGGGGAATGGGATGCCAGAATTGATTTCCCATTCTTTTCTTTCCTAATGAAAGAAAACTGTTAAGTATTTTAAATTAAACTTACATGAGGTACAGGCACTCCCTACTTAATTGGAACTGATGTGTTTTTAAAGGCACTACCTAAAAGTGTGTACATAAGAAGCAGTTTTCCTATGAGATTAAAAAAAAGACTTCATTGCTATTAATAATCTACAATGACACAATGAGCAGCAGAGACTCGATCTGTACCAAGTTATTTTCTTTCATAAAGAAGAGACCAAAAGTCAAAGTTGATAATGAAACTAGTTCCATCCTAATCCCCTTTGGAAAGCATAGGTCTACAGCCACTCAGGAGAAGGCCTTTCCTGACTTTCTGGTACTACAATTCTCAGTGAACTAGTAAGGTGATTTTCTCATAAGATACAATGCCAGTCATGATCAGCAGAGGTAGAAGAAATAAACTACAAAATGTGGATAGCACAAAACAAATCTACAGACAGAAGTTGGAGTGCTACTTGCTGCAGTTGTCAAGTGAATAGGTATTATATGCATACTGCTGCTTCAATAATGTGATATAAGCTCTGGTAATGTCTGACAAAGTGCAGCCCAACAGCATGTTATTCTGGCCAGTAAGCATGTGTGTTACTGAAAACAGAAAATATTATTCAAAGGGGACTAAGGTTAACATTTATAAATCAAGATGGCTTATATGTAAAAGTATGCAATTGCTTAGTTCTTTGCCTTATTATAGTATTGCTTCAAATAGTTCAAAATGCACTCACCTGAAGAATGAAGGTTGCTTTTCTAAAAAAAAAAAAAAAAAAAAAAAGTATGAAAAATAAACATGCTATTCTTTTATTTGCTATAGAAACTTAAATATTAAAAACAAAACTTTTTTTTTTTTTTTTTTTTTTTTTTTTGTGGGACCCTCGCCTGCAGCCAGGGAACGAACTGGCGCTGCAGAAGCTGCGGGCAACCTCGCAGCCCAGCGCTCAACCACTGCACCACCAGGAGAGGCCCTAAAAACATAACTTTTTAATAATGCAAGAACACATTTCAGAGAAAATTATTTTTTCCTATGCAAATACCAGATTCCCTATTCTTCACCATCAGCATATTTTAAAGATTTCTATAATGCTAAGTGTCTAAAATTGGTTAATCAACTTACAATCTTTTGAATAAGATTAACATTTCCTAAGAGAGGTCAATTTTTTAAAAAACTTACTGTAGTTATAGATGTGAGAAGTCGTTTTGGAGTAATAGCCTAGAAAAAAAGATGACAGTATATTTCCTATTGAACATTTTGATGCTAAGATATTGCCATATAAAAAATAATTCTTAAATATAAATACATTATACTTTAATTTTTTATTAGGACTACTCATACATCATACCTTTTTTTGTTAGAGCTAAAATAAAATTAGTTTAAATGATGACTTGGAAAAAGCACAAAAGAACAAAGATCAGGAAGGCCAGAAATCAAGCTAGACATTCTATTCCTCATTCTGACACAGGATATTCCTTACACTTGACCACAACATTTTTGCACTGGCTTAGATGACTTGGTAAGAGTTCAGAGAAAAGGTTTGAGAAAAGTTTAAAAGGTTAAAAGTTAGTTGTCAAGTAAATGTAGAGAAAATAGAATTAACTAATTTGAATGTATCAGTGTCTTATACTTAAGGTTATGATCATTTCACTGCTAAGTTTACTTTCAATATTCATGCCTATTAAATACAGTGTCTAGAAATTCGAGATATAAGAATGATCTAAAAATTTCATAAACACTAAAAACTGTACATATACTTAATATGATGGGTAGTATTTCTGCTTATAATATTTTTACTGGTTTCTTTTCTTTTCACCTTGGATTTGTATGCTTTTTTCTTCTTATCAGGACCTGAGGAATCTTTCTTTTGTACCTACACACAAAACCAAAATACAGTTAGCTTAAAATCTGCTATCTTTAAGAAAAATACACCATTAGTTACTTCTGTAGACATAGATAAGTTTATCTTAAATGTGTATGGGAAGGCATAGGCCTTAGAATAGCAAAAAACAATCTAAAAGCAATAATAGAAATTAGCAAAAACAATACATTACTAGTTATTTTTGAAGGTTCTAATTGCTTACCAAGCTGTAAACTTCAATATTTATTTCAAAGTCATTGGACACATCTTGCCTGTAAAAATAAAGCATTAAATAAAATTTTAAAAATAACCAAGTTATGGGCCTCCCCAGTGGTGCAGCGGGTTGAGCGCAGCACTGTGAAACTGTCCACAGCCTCTGCAGTGCCAGTTCAATTCCCGCCTGGCTGGGGAGATTCCCACATTGGCATGATGGACCTCTCCTGTCACGCCTGCTGTTTCCCTCAGCAGTGTATTTCGGTCCTTCTGCCTGTTCTGCTCCCTGCTCTGTCTCTGGTGGATTCTCTCACCCTCCCCCGCCTCTGGCCTGTACCCCAGTGCTTGTATAAATAAATAAATCTAAAAAAAAAAAAAAAATCAACCCTCTCAAAAAAAAAAAAAACACCCCATGTTATGACATAAGAAAGATACCACAAATACTGTTACAACACTCTGAGAGGAAAATAATTCACTGCATTTTTAATTAAATACAATACTTATAAGCTGGGCCTCCCTGGTGGCGCAAGGGGTTAGGCAACGCACTATGAAGCAATCCATGGCCTCTGTAGCATGAGTTCAATTCCCGGCCAGCCAGGAAGAAACCCACATGGTGCAGCAGACCTCTCCTGTCTCCCCCACTGCTCCCCTTAGCAGTGTATTTCAGTCAGTCTGCCTGTTCTGTTTTCCACTCTGTCTCTGGTGAATCCTCTCACCCCCCGCATCTCTGGCCTGTACCCCAGCTCTTGGGTGCATAAATAAATAAAATCTTAAAAAAAAAAATACTTATAAGACATTAAATAATAAAAAAAGGTAAAGAAATTTTATTTATTTCCTTTATAAAAGTTCAAATATTTTCTTTAGTATTTCACAACTCAAGACCTTCAATAAATTGTCTTTTCAAACTGAATTTTTACTCTCTTACTCTAAAATAAATCCGTGACACTACCTATGAATGTCTTTTCATTGAGATTAAATATGAAATACATGAGATTTAAAGCATATATTTAAAAATTATGCTCCAGATTTTTTTTTATATCTACATATAAAGTGTTTGCATATATATACGTCAAACCACAAACACCTATAGTTACAAAGAAGAAATGTGCTACTTACTGGAAAGATGAAAAACAAAGAATTAAGCCAACAAATTGAAAACTTAGTTATTTGTCCTTATAAAAAGAATATATTAAGTTTCAAAGAAATATGTTTCTGAACCACCAAAAGTCAAATTCACTTACATAGTAAATGTAGTACTGAATGTCAAAGCATCACCATTAAGAGAGTTTGAAGTACTTGCTAAAGGTGTGGCTACCATATTTTCAGCTCCTGCTTTTAGTATAATTAAGAAATAGTAATTTGCTGCATCTGTAAGAAGTAATCACATTATATAATAAGTACAAGTTAAATCAGCATTCTGGAAGATCATACCTGGTTTCAAACTGTACTGCAGACAAAATCTGCTCTTAGAGGCAGGCAGATTTCTGACAAAATATTGATCCTTTGGATGGGGAAAATTTATATAAAATTTATTTTTAAATGACTAAAATCTACTTTCTAGACACAAAAAAGTCTTAAGACATAAACAACCATAGAATGAACCATGGAATAGTTCTCTTCCAGTTATGTGAACTGAAATAACTTCCCTCCACATCCCTCAACTTCTGCTCCCTCAATTTCAACTATTAACCCCTAATTCTATGCAAATAACATGTGCCTCAAAATGGCAAAATGTTTTTTTCAAAAGTGAGATTAAAATCCACATTTCTGTGAAAGTAACCCAGTGATAAATTTTAATAAAAATAAACCATTTCTCCATTATCTTTCATTAAGTAATTCTTTATCTAAAGGTACACACTAAATCAGCAATAGATATCTGCCCACTCCACCAAAATCACACAGCAAGAATTAGAACATAAGTTATCTCATTCCTATATTGATGCTCTAATTCTAAAGATCTCCATTCTTCACTTTCCCTATACCTTGAAAATCACTTTTCACCTCCATCTAGCCCTCTTTTCCCTCAAAAAGAATGTTTCACATAAATAAAAATTTAGGGCCTCCCCGGTGGCGCAGCGGTTGAGCACTGGGTTGCGAAGCTGCCCGCGGCCTCGGCGGCGCCGGTTCGATCCCCGGCTGCTCCCCGGCCACCAGCGAGGGTCCCACATGGCGCGCAGACCTCTCCTGCCGCCCGCTGCTCCCCTCAGCAGTGTACTTCGGTCCTTCTGCCTGCTCTGCTTCCCGCTCTGGCTCTGGTGAATTCTCTCACCCTCCCGCACTTCTGACTGTACCCAGTGCATGTATAAACAAAAACAAACAAACAAATAAATAAATAAATAAATAAACATGCCTCTATAAAAAAAAAAAAAAAAAAAAAATTTAAACAAATGTTAGAGAAAAACTTGTCCAAATTTGAACTGTATTATCCTTGCTATAATTACCCAGCCCTGCTTTCGGATCCTGATAGCATGTTCTCCTTAACCCCTCTGCTTATATATGAATTTTAGTGGGTTACACAGTTTAGAAAAGTTTACTTATTCAACCTAGAAGGGGAAAGGGAATAAAATTTCAATAGCAGTATCATCATTGTCTCCACTCTTTACTCCCATAACCAGTAAGTCAGGATTTATAGAAAAAATTTCTAAAATGCGGTGAATTTTAAATAAAATCAACTAAGTAAAATAAGTTCTTTTAAGATGCCCCTATGCTGCTCAAAATAAAATTAACTAATGAAAGCTGAACGACCTGCTGTGTCAGAATACCTCATCTTATGAAAATATATTTTGTTCAAAATTATGTTTAATTAGACTATTTTCAGTTGAACCCTGCTTACTGTATAGATCAGTAACACCATGTATGAAATTTCCCCTTAGTTACTATTATACACATGTTTATAAAAGGAACTGAAGGCCCAAGAATACAGCTTTACATCTTTATGTATGATCTTATTCCCATTTGCACGATTTCAATGTAGCAGAGGTTCATAATTAAATATGTGATCTACCAGTAATGCAAATAAAAATCACCATACCTGGTTTCTGAACTGTACTGCAGACAAAATCTGCTTTTAGAGGCAAGCGGATTTCTGACAAAGTCACTGATCCTTTAGATGGGGCAAATTCACTCTGAGATATAGGACTGATTTTATTCTTCCTCTGAGGCCCTTCATTCTTCAATTTATTTAATTCATCAATCAAAAGTGTTCTTTTCTCAGCTATGTAGAAATATGCAAAGCAATATACCAAGCATTAAAAATAAGACTGTTCTAAATGAGAAACAATTCTAATCCAAGAAAATGTACTGATGTGGCAAGTACACATAAGACCAACAACAAAATCAATAACTATTTTTTACACAAACAAATGGTAGAGGGTTGGATAAATCTTTACTTCTGTTTTCCAAGTCCTTATAATTTAATACTTAAACTTTTGGTCAGTTTTCTCATGTAATATATAATCTCGCCTCCCCAACATGCCCTTTCAGTCTATTACCACTCATACAAACACAATAAAATCCACATACATTTTTTAGCTATATATAGATAAATACAGTGAGAGCATATGTATATACATACATGTATGTGTGTACCTGCAACAATATAGCCATATACTCATCTTTGCCATATTCTTCACAGCTATATCTCTTCAAAAGCATTGCAGTTGCTTCACCTCTCATGCAAACTACATTTAATTTTCACATGTACCAAAAATCTTATGGCATATGAAACAAAAAGCAGATCAACTGAAATAGATTCTTCAAAAAAGGGCCTTTCTCTAAAAGAAGTTTCTAAATATACTGAACAAAATGAGTTTTTTCTGAGTTGAAGGAATTGTTTCAGGTGTACTACACATACTTGCAATTAGAAGAAGTCTTTCCGCTTCAGCTTCTTCTAGTGACCCTTTCCCATGCTCCTCATCAATGCAGCAGTTAAGAGCTTGGCTAGCCTGATAGATCACTGTCTGCTGCAAATTTATTTCATTATTGAGTTCCTAATGAAACGAATGAGAGGGGAAAAAAACATTTTAAATTATTAATATTTTAATTTATTTAAACTTTAATTCTAACTAATCTGATTGGATAATTTCCAGAATTTACAGAGAATGAAGTAAAAAATGTTATAGCTTTACTTTTCAAGTTCTAGACTATTCACCAAAAACATTTAAGAGACTAAAATAATTAAGCCATAAGTACTCCTTACGAAAACACTTAACTCATAAAAAAAGACTTTTCTCATTTAAACTGAATTCAAGAGTGATTTACTAAGCCACTAAGCATGAGACACTGTTCTAGTCACTCAGGGCAAGAGATGAATAAGGCACTTGTCCTCTAAAAGCTCACAATCCAGTATAGGAAACACTTCAAATCCCCTTTCCACAGATTGGTACAGAAGCACATACCTGCATTTTCTGTTTGATATTAACTTGAGTAGAAAAGGCACCCCTGTTTTCATCCAATTTTGATGTAATATCTTCCTTCCGAATGATCACCTGCTTTATTGAAGGACGTTCTGTTTCTTTGAATCGTTGAGATCTATATGCATCAATGCTTCAGGAAATAAGTCATAATCTATTAAAAATCCAGCAATATATTGAGCCCTATCCTCTACTGAATATATCATCAGTATTTGGTACTGGCATTGTAAAACACTTCACCAGAATGGAAAATGCCATTTGGTGAAAGAGAGGGTGACAAAAGTTATTCCAAAGTTTAACACAGATGAATTATCAATAACATGATTATAAATAATAATACAACTTATTATGTCAATTTAAACTGTAACCTTTATTGAGTGAATGCCTTCCAAAAATGTTCTTACCTATAAAGAAGATCAGGATCTTCTGAACTGATGCTGTCACCAGACTCAGCTCGAGGGACACGGGTTCTTTGGAATTTTCCTGGCTTTGGACTTTCATCACTTATGCTGGTGTCTTTCAATTCCATTCGAGGAGAGGAAATAAAACTCTGTAGGACAGTACATCAGACATTAGTAGATTTTATGGATGACACTGATTCTGATCATTCTGAGTAACTGAATTAATTCTTTTAAGAAACAAACACCCAAAAGTCAATTGACTTATCATAAAAATAAGGCAAAATAAATTCCGAAGAAGTAAATGAATAAATGAAAGTTTATAGATAGCTAGAACCTACACTTATAACACTTTTTAAAAAAACATTTCTAATTAAATCAATTTTCAAACAGATGCATTTATTCAGTTTAAGGTGACAGCTAACAATAATAGCTCTCAATAAAAGTCATCTGTCAGGTGCTAAATATTAATATCCTAATATGGTTTAAAAGTCACATGAACCCTATGATGTAGGTATTACTTTTAAACCAAATTAACTGATAAGGGAACTGTGTAAAGATGTTAAATAACTTGGCCAATAAATTGTCAGCACATGGCACAGTCAAGATTTGGGTCCAAATATCTGGCCTTTGAAGCCATGTTATACTTGGGAATCTAAGATCATAGGAAACCACTGCAGAGTTTATAATTCTCTCTTAAGAGAACATCAGGTTTGCATAATCCCCTTGAATACTGAGTGCTAAATCTCCATGTATCAACTAAAACAGAAAGGAATTCCACTACTCCTCAGTTTCTCTATGCCCAATGCTTATTATTTAATCTTTTCTTACCTCTGGACTTACCACACCAACTGTCTGTGCTAATGGAGCAAGCAGAGACATTGAGGAGATATTCAGTCCATCTTCCTGTTCCTCATTGCTTTCTGCTTCTGCTTGATCCATCTCCCCTTGGCTCTTTTCCACATCCAGTTCACCTTCCTCTAGTACATCACTGAAGATGTCATTGATTACTTTGGAACTATTGATATCATCATCATCATCCACACTCATCTCAATTTCACGTACCACTTCTGAAAAATATTTCAACAGATGGATACTATAATTCAGACCTTTAAGAATTAAAGGGATAACAAAGAAGACTTAACATTCATATGCTTACTAAATTAAGAGGAAAAAACTCTAAGAAAATGCACCTCCTCAAAAAGCAAACAAAAAAATAATACTGGCATATGAAACCAAAATTATTTACAAAGTTCCAATAACATTTCCAAGCAATGGATGTTGACACTATCAAAAGCTAATTCAAAGCTGTAAGAAAGAATATTAAGGAAAAACTCAGTAGAAAGATAGTGGCCAGAAGCTTCAGACTAACCAAAAAAAATGTTCTTTCAAATAACTTTCTCTTGTTGACAGCTGCCCTTTACATGGTAAGCAATAATAAGAAATTATTAACATCACTTAGGGCAACACTCATAAATAAGCTCTAAGAGTATCTGCAGAGTATGGAAGAGATCTAAATATTAATTTTCTCTCCCAATGTAAGTGAGTGATGGCCTTAATCAGATTCTCATAGTGTTCTTTGACCTAAAAACAACTATTAACAGTCCTATATCTGTGTAGAAACTAGAGGATTTTCTTCTAATTTTTATATTATAAAATCACAAGATATTTTAAGTACAGAATATAAAACTAAATATGTGCTTTCACCAATATATTATTTCTTATAATGTTTCCAGAATGAATAAGAAAAAAAGAAAAAAACCAACCAGTCTGCTGCTCAACCTTTGGGTCTGAAGTTACATTTAAGGACTTCTTCTCTTCTAAAAACAATGTTATTTTCAAAGGGCTAGACTTGGTCATTTCACATTCAGTGAGACCTAAAAAAAAATTTAAGAACAACCATATGAATAAATGAAAGAAACTAGAAATTTTCAGATAAGAAATCTTAATGTCTTTTTTCCTAACTATAAATAAAAAACAGCATTTGTTTTAAAATGTTCAAATCTAGAAATACATAAAGAATCTCTCCAAATACCCATGCTCTTTTATTTCTCATTTCTGCCTCCCACCAAGTGAGAAAGGAAACAAAAGTATCATCAGGCTATTGTTCTTCCAGTTTTTGTCTCTAAGTGTGTATATATGTATGGATGTGTATATACTTTTGTTTTATCAGAAAGTGATCATACTATGTGATCATCTCAAATTTATTTCACTTTTTAAAAAAGCATAGATAAAAGCACTAAAACTAGTAATAGAGGGAAACCACAACATAATAAAGGCCAGATATGAAAAGCCCACAGCTAATTTATACTAAAAGGTAGAAAACTAAAAGCTTTTTCTCTAAGATGAGGAACAAAACAAGGATGCCCACTCTCATCACCTTTATTCAACATAGCTTTGGAAATCCTAGTTAGAGTCACAGGCTAGAGAGAGTAATTAAAAGCATCCAAATTTTAAAAAGTAAAATTATCTCTGGTCACAGATATCTAATAAACACATTCAGCAAAGATGCAGGATCTAAAATTCAAGATACAAGAATCAGTTGTATTTCTATACACTTACAATGAACTATCTGAAATGGAAATGAAGAAAACTTCTACTTACAAGAGCATCAGACAGAATTAAATGTTAGGAATAAAGCTAATCAAGTAGGGGCATCCCCTGGTGGCGCAGCAGTTGAGCTCTGGGCTGCAAAGCTGCCCACAGCCTCTGCAGCGCCGGTTCAATCCCCAGCCACCAGGGAGGGCCCCACATGGCACACAGACCTCTCCTGCCGCACCCACTGCTCCCCTCAGCAGTGTACTTCGTCGGTCTGCCTGTTCTGTTCCCAGCTCTGGCTCTGGTGAATTCTCTCACCCTCCCGTGCTTCTGACTGTACCCAGTGCTTGTATAAATAAATAAATAAATCTTTAAAAAAGTAAAATAAAATAAAAAATAAAAATAAACTAATCAAGTAGGTATTAGACTTGTACACTACAAAACATTGCTGAAAGATATTATAGAAGACACAAATAGACTGAAAAATCCTGTGCTTATGGATTGAAATACATGACACCGTTAACATAGCAACGATATTCAAAGCAATCTATGGATTCAACATAGTTCCTTATAAATCCCAACAACAATTTTTTAAGAAATAAAAAAGTACATCCTGAAATTCATGTGAAACATCCAGGGACACTTAACATCCAAAATAATTCTGAACAACACAGGAGACTGACATTTCCTGATTTCAAAATGTATTACAAAACTGTATTAATCACAACATTATGGTACTAACAAAGACAAATATATACATGGACTAGAATAAAGAGCTTAGAAATAAAACCTCACATATATGGTCAAATGATCTTTGACAACGTTGTCAAAGAACCTTCTCTTCAATAAATGATGTAGGAAAAACTAGATATTCATATGCAAAAAAATGAAGTTGAACCCTGACATCATACATAAAACTTGACTCAAGATGGATTAAAAGGGCATCCCTGGTGGTGCTACCTATGAAGCTGCCCGCAGCCTCTGCAGCAAGAATTTGATCCCCGGCCAGGGAGCTACCCACACGGCATGGCAGACCTCTCCTGTCTCACCCACTGCTCCCCTCTGCAGCGTATTTCAGTAGATCTGCCTGTTCTCTTCTCCACTCTGTCTCTAGTGAATTCTCTCATCCCCCACCCCTATAGCCTCTACCCCAGTTCTTGTATACATAAATAAATAAATCTTTTTAAAAAATTTTTAAAAGATGGATTAAAGATCTAAATGTAAACCTTAAAACTGTAAAACTCATAGAAGAAAACAGAACAAAATTTCAAGATATTTGATTTGGTGATTTCTTGGGGAAGACACCAAAAGCACAGGCAATGAAAGCAGAATAGACAAATGGGACATCAAACTTACACAGCTTTAAAAAAAAAATAGTTTTTATATCAGAAGACACAATTAAGAGAATGAAAAGGGAAACTATGGAATGAGACACAATATTTGCAAATCATATATCTGACAGGGGATTATAGAGAATATATTAAAAAACCTACATTTCAATAATCAAAAATCAAATAAAAATGGGCAAAGGACTTGGGTAGACATTTCTCCAAGGATGATATACAAATGGCCAACAAGTATATATATCACTATGACTAAGAGAAATACAAATAAAAACCATATGAGCTAACACTTCACACCCATTAGGAGGGTTACTATCAAAAAGACAGAAATTAACAAGTGTTAGCAAAGACATGGAAAAATTGGAACCTTTGTGCATTGTTGGTAAGATTATAAAATAGTGACTGCTATGTATGGAAAACAGTATGATTACTTCTTTTTTAAATGCATTTTTTTTTTTATAGAGGCATGTTTTATTTATTTGTTTGTTTGTTTATACATGCACTGGGTACAGTCAGAAGCGCAGGAGGGTGAGAGAATTCACCAGAGCCAGAGCGGGGAGCAGAGCAGGCAGAAGGACCGAAGTACACTGCTGAGGGGAGCAGTGGGCGGCAGGAGAGGTCTGCACGCCATGTGGGACCCTCCTCTGGTGGCCGGGGAGCAGCCGGGGATCGAAACGGCGCCGCAGAGGCCACGGGCAGCTTCGCAACCCAGCAACTGCTGTGCCACGGGGGAGGCCCAATGATTACTCCTAATACTAAAAATAGAACCATTGTATCATGAAGCAATCCCACTTCTGGGTATGTATCCAAAAGAATCTAAAGTAGGATCTTGAAGATAGTTGCACATCCATGTGCACTATTCACAATAGCCACAAATCTATGGAGGGATAATGAATAAACAAAAGGGAGTATATGTACACAATGGAATATTATTCAGCCTTTCTAAGGTAAGGCCATCCAGTCACATTCTACAACCCAGATAGATCTTGAGAATGTTATGCCAAATTAAATAAGCTAGTCATAAAAAGTCAAATACCTTATGACTATACTTAGATGAAGTTATCTAAAGTAGTCAAATACAAAGTAACAGAATGGTGATTACCATAGGCTGGCTTGAGAGGTTAATGGGGAGCTGTTATTTAATGGATATAGTTTCAGTTTTACAACATGAAAAATTCTGGACATCTATTTTACAACAATGTGAATACACTTAATGCTACTTAAGTGTACACTTAAAAATTTTAGTAATGTGTTTTTACTGCAATTAAAAACAATTTTTAAGAATCTAGATACCTTAAATATTATTATATACAAAACCTAGTCTTAATTTAAGCAGTTACATAATATTTGATCACATAGATTTAGCATGATTTATTAAAAAAGTCTTCTACTGATAAGTGTGCATTTAGATTATTTAAATCTTATTACTATTACAAATGATACTACAATTAATCTCTGTACATCCCTCTTTGCACACTAGTTCTAAGAATTCAACTTATAGAAATACTTGCAAAGTTGAATCAAAACATATATACTTTAGGGCCTCCCCTGGTGGCGCAGTGGTTGCGCGCTGGGCTGCGAGGCTGCCCGCAGCCTTTGCAGCGCTGGTTAGTTCCCCGGCCGTCGGCGAGGGAAAAAAAAAAAAAAATATATATATATATATATATATATACATACACACTTTATAATTTATAAAATACATACAAAGAATATATACATTATAATTTAATAGATTTTACTGATTTTTTTCACCAAAAAAATTATAGTAACATACTCCCATCAAGGGTTATGAGTTCTCACTTGAGTATATTTGCATGGCTAGAAATGAAAAAGTGTGTGGAAATGACTTTTTTTACATTAAAGCAGCATTTCTGCTTTCCAATCCAATTGCAAAAACTATAGTAGACTGAAAACTGCATCTTAAGTGAAGCATAAATAGAAAATGCTAACCTGTAGGCTCTGTAGTAGAAGGTTTTGTAGGTGTTGGACTTCCTGTCACTTTTTCTGTTTTGGCAAGTGATTGGGTATTTGAAACAACTTGTTTTTTGAGGGGAGTGTTCTGACAGTGAATTTCCTGCAAAAAGCAAATGAAAAAATATTTTATATCTCAAATTGTCTTTTTACATGTTATTAAATGAAACAAGAGCCATTATTCCACATAAGCCTCTTCTAATCAAACAGATACTATATGTGAAAGATCCAGCCATGCTTAGAACACATAAGCCCTCAGAGTTAGTTTGATATCTTTGGTAATTTCCTTGTTAGCAACTAAAAGGCAAGAGAGAATGAAAATTCTTACCAGACATCAGTTTTAAATAAACCAATTAAAGTAAAAGCACACATACTGTGAAAAACAGTTCCCTCTATATGACTTACCTTATCCTATATCTATAAAATCTAGTGGCAGTTCTTATATCAGGACTTTACTTACCTGTTAACTCAGTGGATAAAATGCAAAGAAAACAAAGAACAAAAACAGATTGGCAGGAAAGGAAAAAAGAAAAGCAATTCCCTTATCTGAGTCTTTTCTCAATCATTTACAAGGCTATAGAAGAGAAACATTCATTGCTTATTTCTGAAAAGACTTTATGATTAAAGCAATAGTAGAAATAACAAAGTAAGAATAATAGAAACCAATACTTACATTGAGTTTAACATGTACCAGTCATCTTTCTAAATATTTTGCATTTTTGCTGCACTTAATCCTCTCAATAACCCTGTGAGTTAGGTATACTATAATCCCCATTTTATAGATTAGAAAGCCAAGAAACAGAAGAGTTAAGTAAATTGTATATACAAGCTAGTAATTGGCAAAGTCCCTGTTACCATATTAGAATTTTCTATACAAGCATGTGTGCAACTGTCTGGAGAGGAATTCTACAAATTTATAAGAAATTATTTAGCACAAAAGAATTTAAGAAATGTTGCTCTATACAATTCCAGAGTTGTGGAAGGAGAGCTGTGAGAAATGATACACCGGGGGCCTCCTTGGTGGCACAAGGGGCTAAGTTGCAGCACTATGAAGCTATCCTCAGCCACTACAGCACCACATAAGTTTGATCCCCAGGCAGCCAGGGTGCTAACCCACATGGCACAGCAGACCTCTCCTGTCTCTCCCACTGGAGAGACAGTCAATCCTTAGAGGTGTATTTCAGTCAATCTTCCTGTTCTGTTCCCCACTCTGTCTCTGGTGAATCCTCTCACCCCCTGTACCTCTGGCCTATATCCCAGTTATTGTATGCATAAATAAATAAATCTTTAAAAAAAAAAATATGATACACTGCCAATCAAAACCAGCTTCAGACAGAAGAGTGACCAGTATGTCAAATGCTCTAAAAGGCCAAGTTAAAGGCCTGAATACTGATTGTTGAAAATCGCTCAGTAAGGGCAGTGGTCCATGGAGTAGGTAGTGGTGAGAGCCTGAATAGAGAGATCAAGAAGGGAGGAGAAAAATTGGAAGTGACAGCTCTCCTAGAAGAGTTAGGATGAAAAGGAGGCAAAGAAAGGGAATGTGTGTGAGATGGAGGGGAAAAGCATTGTCTTTGTTTATGATGACAGTTAATAGTTTGTGCTATGCTGATACAGAGGATTAGCACATGCCTTCCTTCCTTGAAATACAAATTTACTGAGCTCCTTCTATGAGCCAAACACTAAGAATACAAAGATGGACTAGGTTGTCATACAGGGGCAAAGTTAAAGCAATTACAGGAAGAAAATTATTGCAATTGAGGTAAATACAAGATGATATGATTGACAAAAATGAGAGGTTCCTAAAAAAAGGGTCAAATAAAGCATTTCAGAGAGGATTAAAGTTTGATCTATTCTTAATGAAGCAGGAGTTCATCACAAAGATAAGAAAAACAAGCAATGGCAATGAAATCTGAAAATATGGCCACATTTGAGAAAATGCAAAGTCTACATGACAGGACTGAAGCACACATGTACAGGAACAGCGGGGAAGAATCAGATCCTGCTAGATGTCAAGTAAAGCACTATAGACAGTTTTCTGATGGTGACTATGGGAGGTTCTCCAGGAACTTAAGTGACTATATGAATATATGCCTTTTAAAAATGTTTTTTTTTGGCAGCAATGAGTAAGATGAACTGGAGAGTAGCCAGACTAGAAGAGGATGTTGAATACAAAGTTATGATAGTGACTATGCTAATAGTGAGGAAAATACAAATGACAAGGCAACTTGGTGAGATATTTGGAAAATATACCACTGAAGGTGTGTTTATGTGTGCATAGGCTAGGGACCAGAGGTGGGAAGAAGGAGTCAAGGAAGAAATCTCAGATTGTTTTAGATGACAGGGTAAAGAGTAAAGCCTTAAATGAAGAAATGAAGACAGAGACTGCATGGAGGAGATACTAGAGAAAAGTGAAGAAAGCTCTATTAGCCAATTGGCCCCAGTGTTCCAAAGAGAGTGGAGGGCAGCAGAGAGGAGTTCCATTAGCATTTCTATGCTTGGTTGAAATTAGATATGAGGATGGGAAAGACACATCCCAAGGCAAGTAAGGAAAGAACTGAGATCAGAGCACTACAAAAAAATGGTTTGTTAGGGGCCTCCCTGGTGGTGCAGGTGGTTGAGCACTGCACTGTGACGCTGTCCGCAGCCTCTGCTGCGCAGGTTCGATCCCGGCCAGCCAGAGAGAATCCCACATGGCACAGCAGACCTCTCCTGTCTCATCCGCTGCTCCCCTCAGCAGTGTGCTTCATCAGTCTGCCTGTTTTGTTCCCTGCTCTGTCTCTGGTGAATCCTCTCACCCCTCACCCCCGTGCATCTGTCCTGTACCCCGGTTCTTGTATAAATAAATATATCTTTAAAAAAAATGGTTTGTTAAACAAGAGAACTGATAAAAAATAAAATCAGTTGAGTGGGTCTTTTGCAAAGAATACTGGTTAAACATATTGTTCTATCTCTACTGGTATTTATTTGAAATATAATTTTATTATTTTTATCGTACACATACACCCTAACACATTATTTTGTACAGTAGGCATATAAAAACAAAACATAGTTTATAAGTAGGGATTATATTGAAGGTTTATTGCTGAATTTGACAGAAAATAACATAGGAATTTGACAGAAAATAATAAAGAGATCTGGGAGGTCACTGAAATGATTATGGATATGAGATTATGAGAATGGCAAGTAAAGGCAAAGATATATGAAAACATGGCCCCACTGAGAAACTGCAGTCTGCATGACAGGACTGAAGCACACATGCGGAGGAACAGCAAGTTAAGAATCAGATTCTGCTAGATATCAAGGCAAGGTATTCGAGGAAAAGTATACAATCAATAGTGAGAAACGTAGATTTTTTTTTTAATTCTATTTTTTTAAATTTATTTATACAAACACTGGGTACAGTCAGAAGCGCAGAAGGGCGAGAGAATTCACTAGAGCCAGAGCGGGGAACAGAACAGGCAGAAGGACCGAAGTACACTGCTGAGGGGAGCCGTGTGGGACCCTCGCCCAGCGGCCAGGGATCTAACTGGTGCTGCAGAGGCTGCGGGCAGCTTCGCAGCCCAGCGCTCAACCGCTGCGCCACTGCGGAGGCCCGAGAAACATAGATTTTGAGAAACATTTTAGAAGCTGCATCTAAGGAGAATGTTAAAAGGAATCTGAAATCAACTGAATGATGAGAATGATTTTTTAAAAAATGATTTGAAGCAGGGCACCAATGAATATGGTAAAGTGTTCAATTAAATGGGAAATTATCATAAGAAAGAAATTTGGTATGACATTTAAGGAATTTATGAATGCACAGTGGCATAGTTCATTGGAATAGGGAAATACATAAAGAATTATGTTCAAGGGCCTCCCCGGTGGCACAGCAGGTTGAGCACCACGCTGTGAAACTTCCCGCAGCCTCTGCAGCGTGGGTTCGATTCCCGGCCAGAGAGTGAGAAACCCACATGGCACGGCAGACCTCTCCTGTCTCGCCCATTGCTACCCTCAGCAGTATCTTTAGTCCATCTGCCTGTTCTGCTCCCCACTCTGTCTCTGATGAATTCTCTCACCCTCCCACATCTCTGGTCTGTACCCCTGTTCTTGTATAAATAAATAAATCTTTAAAAAAAAAAAAACAAAAAGAATTATGTTCAATAGAGAACCACAAGCTAAATTCAATGCTACTTTGGTATTAAGTTCACTTTTTTATTTTATCTATCTTTTAGGTAAACAAACATTTTACCTGTTTGGTTTCTGGCTGTTTGCTTCTTGAACATTCACCTTTTTCTGTACTCCATAAGTTGCCTTTATCAAATCGGCCACGAAGACATGCTAGTTCTTTTTCACGTTCCTAAAACCATCAAAAGCTCATTTTACACAAAAGCCAATAGTATTTTTTAAAAAAATATACAATACTAATAAATTTTGTCTTCAGTTTTAAAGTTAAAAAATTCATAGTACATACAGAATACAGGGCAATAATATATCTAATTTGAAACAGGTGATACAGAGAATTAAGACACTATTATTTCAGTCAAAAAGACTGGTATCAAAAGTCACTATTTGATTACTAGGTCCTATACTGAAACCATTTAATGCATAATGTTAAAAGCAATAAGTCATACCTGCTTAAGCTGTTGTGCTAAATGGGTAGTAGACGAAGATGCATTTTGCTTGAATAATCTTTCTTGGATGGCCTTTGTATTTGGAGTGATAATGGGGGTTTTATGGGGTGTGCTACGAGCTGGGCTTTCTTTGTTATGTTCTTGACAACGCTCTCCAAAGCGTTCCAGGAAAGGCTTAATTCCTGCTCCTCCTATAGAACACACATACATTTTTGTAGGCTATTCAAAATAAGTAACAACTAAGATTTCTATGGAAATCTTAGTATATCCCCAAAATGCTTTGATTCTACTAGGAATATTCATTCAGAAAGTAAACAGCTGAAAATTAAAATTTTTTTTCATCATACCATTCTATTTATTACATATTCTGAAGTAAAGAATTTGGTTTTAAACAACAAAAAAATAATTTTTAAAAGATAGGACGGTGAGGGGCCTCCCCGGTAGTGCAGCGGTTGAGTGCTGGGTTACGAGGCTGCCCACAGCCTCTGCAGTGCCGGTTCAATCCCCGGCTCCTCCCCGGCCACCGGCGAGAATCCCACATGGCGTGCAGACCTCTCCTGTCTCGCCGCTGCTCCCCTCAGCAGTGTATTTCATCAGTCTGTCTGTTCTGTTCCCCGCTCTGGCTCTGGTGGGTTCTCTCACCCTCCCGTGCTTCTGACTGTACCCAGTGCTTGTATAAATAAATAAATAAATCTTAAAAAAAAAAATCGTTTAAAAAAAAAAAAAGATAGGATGGTGGGGCTTAGAAAACTCTTAAACTCAATAATCAGAACCTAAATGATTAGAAATTGATTGTATCTGTTAATTATATACCCTAACCAACAACCATCCTGGTCTATACCCAAATACTTTTTCTTGGTTTTAGGAAGTCTAACATATAAAAATCTATGGATTAAATTCTTGCTCTTTTCAAAAGAAAAATTAGGGATTATTCATTTTATCAATGGATATCTTGATTTTATAGTCTTAAAACAGAATACATTTGAAATATTATTAGGTATATATAAAGTGGAACAAGTGGGAGATGTATCACTTCCACTACAAGAATGGTAGGGATATACTATGTAAGAGGAGGTTTATATATATATATATATATATAAACCCTCAGCAGTGTATTTTAGTGGATCTGCCTGTTCTGCTCCCTACTCTGTCTCTGGTGAATCCTCTCACCCTCCCGCCCCTGCACCTCTGGCCTACAGCCCAGTTCTTGTATGCAACCCAAATGCCCAAAAATAAATGGCTGGATTAAGCAAATGTGGCATATATACACAATAGAATACTATTCAAAAAAGATAAGCTCATGCCATTCACAGAAACATGGATGGAGCTAAAAGGTATTACGTTCAATGAAATAAGTCAGAAGGAAAAAGAAAAATACTAGATGGTTTCACTTACAGGAGTAATACAGGGGAACCAAATAACAGGTGGCGAGGGTGGGGGGGTAACAACAGCAAACAAAAAAAAAAAACTGGCAGGCAACTATAAATCAGAGACATTCTGCAAGGGAGGGGGAGGGAGGGAAGAGCACAGAGGACTATGGCGATGGCGCATGGGTGAACTGGTGGTGGGAATTCTATGGGGACTACACTATAAATAAATAAATTATATATATATATATTTTGTTTTGTTTTGTTTTGTTTTTTGAGCTGGGGTACAGGCCAGAGATGTGGGGGGTGAGAAGATCCACCAGAGACAGAGTGGGGAACAGAACAGGCAGACTGACTGAAATACACTGCTGAGAGGAGCAGCGGGCGAGACAGGAGAGGTCTGCCTTGCCATGTGGGTTTCTCCTGGCCAGCCAGGGATCGAACTCATGCTGCAGAGGCTGTGGATTGCTTCATAGTGCGGTGCTTAGCCCCTTGCACCACCAGGGAGGCCCTAAATTATATTTAAAAAAATAAAAAATTTTAAGGTCTTTCCAAAAGCACCTCTAATGAAAAATAATAGTATTCGAAGCAAACTATATTTAATGCATATTTTTTTTAGTCCTGTTTCTCAACCAAGAGCATGTGGGGATGTGGCAAAAGGTATAAGTCACCATAAAACAAATATGGGTCTCCTAGAGCATCAATTTGCTATAAGTAATCTTGAACTTTCAAATGTATAATTCACACACAGCATACACACATAATGTGAGAGTGTAATCATTTGTATACACATGTACTTTCTTTGCTACTAGCATACTTTCATAGTGAAGTTTGAAAAGCACTGCATGTTTGCTGATAAGATTATTTCTTTATTACACCACTAAAAAATGTGATTTCCAATTGCATGCTTTGACTGAATCAAAAGTAGAGGAAAAAAAGTATTTAGCATTGTCATTCTAGGAAAAAAAGTATATTTAAACTGTTTAAATGAAACAGGTTAAAAATACTTTGACCAGTAACTGGGCAAATATACACTGATGAATATTCAATCAATTAAACTTAAATATGAAAAAGTATCATTTGATACATTTAGGCATTTGCTTCAACTAGTCAACCTTGTACCATTCACAACTGGATATTAAAAATTCTGAAAACCGACATCCTGAAAATAGTCAGCAGTTACCTTAGAGCTTTAAAAAATACATAACCTGATGCTGTAGATTTGTCCTTAGGTTGAGACTGCAGACAGATTGCTCTATCTAATTCTTTTTTGGGCTGAACTCTCTGGGACACAGCTGACTTCTCAACTGGTTTCGATATCTCTGTTTTCAGAGAACTCACAGGAGTTTTTTGAAGTAGCTCAGGATTTTGTACATCACATATTTTAGCACTGGTAATGGATGGGATAAAAGATTTCACTGGGGAAGTCGTTTTCTGAAACATGATAACAGTTAAAGTAAATAATATGCAGACTATCTACAACAAAACAATCAAATCCTATTTGTTTGGAAGCCTTTATATAAACTATGGGGAAAAAAGTCTTCTTGCTCTCTAATCAAATCAATGTGAAAGGTCGGGGAAAAAAACCAACTTGTAAAAAACTCTTATTTAAGTGATAATATGTAAAGCCTGCATAATACATTAGATAATTCCATAACAAGATACTCCTGATTCTTAAAAAATTCATATTACCACACTAATAACTTCATAAATTTTAACTGTACTAGACCAAATTACATTTTTTCTTACATCAGTATTTACAAAACCTATTACTAATTATAATTAAGTACTTATGTGCACAGCATCATGTGGAGTACTTTATGCACAGTATCTCATTTGCTCTTCCCTATAACCCTTTCTTTCCCATTTTACAAATAAGAAAACAAAGTTTTGCAAATTTAAGTAACTTGTCCAAAGTCACAATTCTAATTATGTTGCAGGGCTGGGATTGAATTTAAGTGTAATTGCAAAACCTGGCTCTATAAAGACAATGCTCAGGAACACAGTATTCTTTTTCTTTATTGTTTTTAAAATAGTTATATTGTTTTTAAAAACTACTGAGGTAATGCATATGCAAGGTAACCTTTCAAACAACTTAAAAGGATCTAGAGTAAAAATATACCCACCTACCCTTGACAAGTTAATCAGTCAGCAATTTGCCTTTTGGAGGTAATTACAGCTTCTAGTTTTCAAAGATATCTGCCCATCTTATATTGCCACAGTCACAACAAAGTCTAATAAAACAATTGTCAGTGCTGTCAGATGACTAAGAGGCTCATCATTTCATATTACATACTTTCCATATTCCATATTATATATTTTGGAATTACATTAAATTAGTGTAACTTAGTTGTCAATGGCTAATTTATCTTGGGATAAGATATCAAAATCTAAGATTTTTACTTTCCATAAAACCAATATTCTAAAAATAAATATAAATAAATATGTTATATAATGATTAGATACATAAATACATGCATACATTATCACTTACAACAGAAAAAGAAAAAGGTTTCCAAAGTCCAAATTGCATTTACTTACCGCAGAGCTGGAAATTACATTAGTCAAAGCTGCTCCCACAACACTAGAGGATGGGGCTTTATTCAAAGAAGCATCACCATCCCTTTGGGAACAGTATGTAGCTTCCTGCTTAACACTGCTGCTATTGATCCTAGCAGATGCTACACTTGCAGAGGAAAATTTGGACAAACAAGTGGTACCAGGCTGTTCTTGTACACTGTTCTGCTTTGCAGATGAGTAATTTACATCATCTTCCCAGGAGCAAATAGTAGCAGCAAGGTTGGCCAGACGGCCTCTTCTCCCAACTGGAGTTGCTGAGGCCTCAGAGAGGGGTGGTTTAGGAGGGGAGGAAGCCTTTTCCTCTGATGGTATTGGTGAGTTGAGTGAGTCTTCTGGTATATCATCTGAAAACATTTTCAGAAAAAGAGTTAAAAATCCACGTTTAAGAGCTATCCTTACATGTGATACCTGGATCACTCCATTCAAAAACTAAAGAGATTAATCATTCTAAGAACTAGTAAAAAGCTCCCATGTGCAAGAAACTACCAAGCTGCTTAAATTTGACAATATCTTTTAAAACTACACGATACTTAATACAATATCCTTTTGCTTACCTCTATAACTTTCCTTAAAATAAACACTTAGTGGTAAGCAGATGACAGTTATTTTTCTGTTTTAGGAATAGGCTTAATAGACCTTTAGCTTTTCTAACTGTTCAATAAGAAAGAAAGTCTTCTTATATATTAATGTAAGTCCTCAAACATTTAACTAGCTTATACCCACAATTCTGCTTCACATTCATTAAACCATTAGTTACACTTTACCCATAAATTTCAACAAACTAGATAATGCCTTAATAAGATTTATTTTTAAGGCCAAGGTAGGCATTTGTTAACATTTGCTTTGAAGAATGTTCAAAATCACTGCTGTAAGGCTTTATGGCCTAGAATGTATAGTGCTTTTGTTGTTCTTTTGACCGCACATTAAATCACAACTCTTTTTTTAATTTATTTTAGGAAAATCTGCATTCCTCTGCCCAGAGATATTTCCTACAAAATAGAAAAGAAACATTCTTCTATTAGGCACATTTACTAGATTTACTAGTTGGCCTTCTCGGGCATAATAAAGAGGTATAAGAGACCCCACTTACTACCAAAATAGGTAAAAGTGATGACATGGAATATGCATTTGTTACATGAAAAAAAATCATTAGGTAGGTCATGACAGGCAAGAACTGAACCTTAGAATCAAGTCTTGTTGGAGTTTGAATTTTAGTTGCTGATTGTGGAAAGGTTTCTTAGCTTCTCTGACTCCAGTTTCCTCTTGTATATCATTAAGATAAAAATGTTATGTATCTCATTAAGATTCAGAATTAAATGCTACACTATATTAGGAGAAAAAAATTTAGAATGCCTAGCACTTTTTTTTTAAGATTTATTTATTCATGCATACAAGGACTGGGGTACAGGCCAGAGATTTGGGGGGGTGAAAGGATTCACCAGAGACAGAGTGGGGAACAGAACAGGTGGACTGATTGAAATACACTGCTGAAAAAAAAAAAAAAAAAGAAATACACTGCTGAGAGGAGCAAGCGGGCAGGTCAGGAGAGGTTTGCTGCTCCATGTGGGTTCCTCCCTGGCCAGCCAGGGATCAAACTCGTGCTGCAGTGCAGCTTCATAGGTTGCGTCTTAACCCCTTGCGCCACAGGGAGGCTCTAGAATGCCGAGCACTTTACACAGTATTTGCTCTTCAGATTATCATCACATCCAAAAAGCATAATCTTGGGCCTCCCTGGTGGCACAGGGGGTTGGGATGCAACCTATGAAGCAGTCCGCAGCCTCTGCAGCATGAGTTCAATTCCCGTCGGCAAGGGAGCAACCCACATGGCACAGCAGACTCTTTCCTGTTCTGTTCCCTGCTCTGTCTCTGGTGAGTCCTCTCACCCCCTACACCTCTGGCCTGTACCCTAGCTCTTGTATGCATAAATAAATAAACCTTTAAAAAAAAAGTATAATCTTGCCCATAGACAGAGCAATGGATTAAGATATGAAAACGATGATGTAAGAAAATGAAAGTTTAATTTAAAAAAATGTGATATACACAATGGATTACTACTCAGAGAAAAAAGATTAACTCTTGCCATTTGGATGGAACTGGAAGGGGAAAAAAAAAAGCTAATTGAAATAAGTTATAAGGAAAGAAATAAATATTGGATGATTTCACTCCTATATAGAATATAGAAAAAAGAAACATTCAACAACAAAAACCCACAAAGGCTCTGACAAAACAAGATCAAAATAAACCCTAAAAACAAAAAGAATTGAGACTACTAGAGGGGAAGGGGAAAAAAGGGTTGGAACAAAGGTAGGAGGAGATCCAGTGGTCTATGGTAACAGGTTATGGGTGCTTGGATGGTGGGAATGGTATGGTAACATACATCTGAAGAGATGTGAGTCTATTCCCCTAAACCATATAAGGTGTTATAAAGCAATGTTATCTCAATAAAGGGGGTAGTACGAGCTTAAAATCTTTGTTATCCAATACTTATTGAAGTTTTGGTTAAAAGAATTGAGATCTATAGAAAACTGCCTGAAAAATATATAAACCATCCATTTTTCCAGATCATTTGATTTCATTTCTGACTGTGCATTAGAATTACATACAAAGCTTTAAAAAAAAGAAAAGAAAAGAAAAGAAAATGACAAAAGCATTATCCCAGAGCTCTAGCATACTCATGAGATTCCAGTTCAATGGTCTGAATGATTTTGATGCACAGGAGCCAGGCTGAAAGCCAAACTTAAGGAATGCTGCCTTGGGTAAGGACCAGTCACCACTGAGCTGCCCACCTGCACTGTGCTGGCTGATTTTGGAACTGCTTTTACTGAACAAGCTTTGAATCAGCCCATCTGCGACCTTGAGAAACTATATATGTTTACCAGTCCCCACAAAGTCATTTTTGAGGACACAGGAAAGAAAGCTCTCTCCTAGTGCCAATGATGGTACGCTTTTATCTTTTCATTTTTTTTTAAAGATTTTTTTATTTATCCATACAAGAGCTGGGATGCAGGCTAGAGGTGTCAGGGGGTGAGAGGATTCAGAAAGAGAGTGGGGAACAGAACAGGCAGATTGACTGAAATACACTACTGAGGGGAGCAGTGGGTGAGATAGGAGAGGTCTGCTCGCCATGTGGGTTATAACGCTCCCTGGCCAGGGATCGAAGCTATCTGCAGTGGCTGTGGATAGCTTCATAGTGCTGACACTTAACCCCTTGCGCCACCAGAGAGGTCCAATCTTATAAACATTAGTCATATAACTGATAGTGTTCTACCTGCTTGTATTAGTTGCTAGCAAGTTCAGAACCACCTTGGGCTAAGTGAGGAAGAACTTAAGACCTGTAATTAATAAACTAACTTTACTCCTTCACGACTTTCTTTCTCCTTCCTTTATTTTCTCTTCACCCTGATTTCCTCATTTTCATGTTCTATAATATATGTATTTTTGTAAGTCATCTCAAGGCTTTTTGTGTAACAAGGTATAAAATAAATAAAATTAATCATAGCCTTGTTATATGAGTGTCAATTCACTTCTCAGGTTCTCCATCTGATTAAAGGCAGGGATCCTGTCACTTTATTAGCTTACAGCATCTTAGCATAATATACTCTGCAGTTGCTAAATAAATGCCTTTTGATGTTTTTTCTCTGTCCCCTAATGAACAGCACCATAAACCTTAGTCACTAAGGATTATTTAATTACTGAATCCATGAAGTAGGATTTCTTAAATATAGATCTGAAGGTAAGCAAAGCTAGTAATGCCAAGATTATATGGAGTTCTGTATTTTTTTTTAATTGCAAATACAAGATAATATAAGATTACGCGTTTGTGAACTGGTCTAAGAATTACATCATCTACTCCAATGAGAACACAAACAATGCATATACTATTGATACTACTGATATACACACCATTTGCAAGCAAAAGATACTTGGGTTACAGATAAAACAAAAGTATTATCTTTCATGTATTAATTGATAAATAAAAATTTTCAACATTTCAAATTGAGTTTTACTTAAATAATATACTGACCAATCCATTTAAATATACCTGTCATGTCATTATTATCCCAATGGCGCCGTTGCTCTGCCAGTTTTTGCATTCGAGTTTTAACTGAGGAGGTTTTAGTTGTTTCCTGTGTTGAGTTCAGACCTCTCTTCCCACCCAGCTGTGATGCTGGATCACTACTAGGAGCTAATGGTGCTTGTGGCTGCCCCTGACTGGGAGAAGAGGATTTTGCAGAAGCTGATTCAACAGGTTGTTTATTTTCCAAGTTAGAAACTTCTACTTCAGTGTTGTCAGAACAGCGCTTTTTTGATGGTGATGGCTTTGTACAAGATTTCTCTAGATTAAAAAGAAAAAAAGGAAAATTTTCCAGATTCTGTAATTTCTTACAGCATGAAAAACTTGCAACAGGATACTCAGCAAATTAATAAAACATCATGTTTCTCTATTCCTTTAAATGATTTAACTGATAAGAAATACATAAAATTCCACTTCCTGTAACTTAAAAATCTGACATGAGTTTTTTATTTAAGCAAACATAATTTATGGTTTTACAAACCTAAATGAAAATAAATTCAAATAACACTCTCATGTTAATGCATAATAGTTTATGTAGTCTTAAGACAATAGGAAATTAAACATGCATACACACAGAATAAAAAATGTTCTTAAGAGTTTAAACATCATTTAATCATCTCATTCTTACATAAGAATGATCAAGCAAAGATAAGTTAAGCTCCCTGCTTAAAGTGACACTCGAGTGAGCTGAGGATAGAAAGCAGGATTTCTGCTTTTAAAACAATCTTTCATGGACAATAAGCATGGGTATAAGGACTCATGGTTTGAGGTTTAGGAGAGAGGCAGGGAACCAAAAGAGTAACTGAATTACATGACCAATACCAAACAAATCCATCAACACAAGTGTTTCACTATATTTCACAATTTAAATGTTTGTGAACACCTACAAAATAAATTTGTCTTAAAATACCCATACAATATTACATATAATCAGGAATGATTTTCAATATTTGTCCTAGAGAGTTAGCAATTTAAAAAGTAAAAAAGAAAATCCCATATGAGGCCAGTTTCAATGGCTGCCTAACCAAGTATTCTTACTCTGGAAGTTTTATCAAAGTATCATTAGTATAAAGTCATGATTGCTCTACCTGACATCAACCTAAATAAATATTCATCAGTAATCATTCTAATCTTCTGAACTCCTTTATGGATCTATTTTCTATGAACATATGAAATAATTTTTTTAACTGTTCCAATTTTAACATGCAACACCACCTAGAAGTACAGAATTCTCCAAATTTACAATTCTTATATAAAACAGTAGATACTTCCATTTAAGCATCAAAATGTAGTTCCATCCAGTGGTTTTCAAGTACATAGTACTCAATATTTGATTGTAGAAACCTATGTCATTATAGAAATGGGAACAGATCCCAGACTGGGGCCTGGCCTCTATTTTCCCTCTGAATTCCATACCATGTAATGCACTTCCTTTCCTACCTTCAAAATGTATGAACAGTTGAAAATGAATTCTCATACTATGGCTAGTTTCCAAAATAACTGTGTGCTAGTCCCAGGCCTTTCCTCTGCTTTTCTGTAATATTGTAATACAAAATACCGTATTGCTTTTTATATGCAATTAGCATTATACTAAGGAAAAGTATTCTCTCCAGACTATTCATCATTCTAGAAAATGACTAAAGCAGCTGGTTGATATAGGCTGGGAATGCCAGGATTTAGGAAAGAATAGGTAGTTTCCAGGTGAGTTTGGGTTTGTTGATACTGTTTTGTTTTGTTTTTAAATTTTATCTACTCTATAGACTAACAACCTATATTTTGTGCCAACCTTTAAAAAACTGGTTCAAAAGAGAGAGGATGAAAAGATTCACTAAATGTCAAGCATTTGAAAAAGGTCTCCTTTTGTTCCTTCGCTCATGCCAGGGAGGCGATCTAAACTTGGTGGTTAGCTGTTGTGCATTTTGGGGTAAATCTCACACTACTGCCAGTTTAAGTGTTCCCCTGCTTCTGTATTTTTCTTCCCATGGGGTAAATTTGGACTGAAGAAAATAAAAAGTTCAACTAATCAATTTGAAATTATTTGCTCCTGCTCTGGCCTAAAAGATTCTAGCCCTAATAAAACAGGCACAAAATAGAAGATAAGGCTAATCTTTCCCTCAGAGACCATTTGTCTTTCAAAGACTTTCTTATCTTGCACAATGAAACATTTAAGGCTTATCACCTTTAAAAAAGTGCAAATTTTGCTTTTCCCTTCCACAAGTCTTTTACCTTCACCACCAGGGAGGGGTTGCTGGTTACTTGCTTCAGATAGTGGCTCTCTGGCTCGCTTAATGTGAGTCCCAGACCACGCTGCTGCTGTGGGCCTCTCAGCCATTTTTCTCTGAAGATTCTCTCGCCTGGCACGGGTTCGTTCAAGCAGTTTCTACATATATATCAGTGGTAGAACACAAGTTTATTTAAACATTCACAAAACTAAAATCACCAGTTGCCATGTAAGACAACAGTTAAATAACATTTCAAAATGAAATCCTAGTAATTAAGATTCACCAAATGAACCGCCCAGTGACAAAATGATTAAGACATAACATGAACATTAAAGGAGGAATAAAATGCATAAAGCTAGTTGCAGAAGATTTTAAATAGCCAAACATTTTTTTCTGCTTCAATCAAAAGAACTTATTTCCATACCCTTGAATTGGGCTGGTTTTATGATTTGCTTTGACCAATAAAATGTACTGTTGACTTCTAATCCCAGGTCTCAAAAGTTCTTGTAGTTTCTGTTCTCCCTTTTTGGGAACACTGGACTGCATGAAGCAAGCCCAAGAATGTTAGAGACACAAGGCCCAGTTGACAGGCAGTATCAACCACCAGACATGAGAGTAAGAGCATTTTAGATCATCCAACCCCAGACAATTTGCCAAATCCCTAAAGGTTCCCGATAACCCCAGGAGAAAATAGAAGAAGCACAGCCCAGCTAACACCAACATAAATTGTTGACCCACTGAATTATGACAAGTAATCAGAGTTTGAAGCACTCTGGCAGAAATACGGTCCCTCAAAGATGCTTATGTCTTTATCCCTGAACCTGTGAATGTTACCTCATACAGCAAAAGAACTGTTGCTGATGTGATTAAATTGAAAAAGTACTTGTGGGAGGATTATCTGGATTATCTGGATGGGCCCAAAAGAATCACAATGGTGCTCCTCTGAGAAAGGAGAGGCAGGAAGGTCAGTGTCAGAGAAGATGCCAAGCAAGAGGTCTGAGACGAGGGGAAGCAGAGGTCTGAGCAATGATTGGCTTTGAAGATGTAGGAAGGGGCCATAAGTCAAAAAATACAAGAGCCATCAAACTTCTGACCTACAGAAAATAATAAATATGCATGATTTTAAAGCTACTAGATTTGTAGTAATTTGTTATAGCTGTCACTCAGATTTGAGGTGATGGTAAACACCTTTGAAAATGTGGTACTGCATAAAGGAGAGAAACTAAAAATCTAACATTTTAATTAAATACCAACATATAATAAAATAATTAAGTTAAAATCTTACTCATTCCATAAAATCATGAATATTCCTTTTTTTATTACCTGGAACCAACCAATATTCCTACTTGAATTAGTGTGGTAAAACAAACACAAGACCCTGTAAAATATTAATTCTCTTTCCAATGCACACAACTAATGAAGAGACACACCTTATTGGCTGGAGTTTATACAATGCTCTAAAATCATAGCTGTAATAGTGCAGGCTAAGGAATTAATGTCCATTTGATCATCTTAATTAAAATAGAATAATAACTTTTTAAAATTTCCGGGCCTCCCCTGGTGGCACAGCGGTTGAGTGCTGGGCTGCAAAGCTGTCCCCAGCCTCTGCAGCACCAGTTCCATCCCTGGCAACCGGCGAGGGTCCCACATGGCACAACAGACCTCTCCTGCCACGCCCACTGCTCCCCACAACGGTGTATTTCGTCAGTCAGCCTGTTCCGTTCCCCGCTCTGACTCTTGTGAATTCTCTCACCCTCCCACGCTTCTTTCTGCCTGTACCCAGTGCCTTTATAAATAAATAATTAAAAAAAAATTTCCTTGAGTAAGTCAAAGAAACCTGAGCTAAGTTTGGAAGAAGGCAAGCTATTTTTCCTAGGAAAATTTTCTAATTTAAAGTTCATTGAAATGATACAAAATATATATCACTGAAAGAGCAATTTGTGAACCAAATACCTCTAAAACACAAGATCTTCAGTCTTTAAATAAATATTCAACAAACTCAAAATGATACTGTTACACAAATTCATATTTTCTGATTCTCCCCCACCACATTCAAAACTAGCCAAATTACATTCACTCATGGACATGCCCACATTCCATTCTGGTCAGTTAAGTCTTGTGAGTCAGTGTATTTTCAGTTACCATGAGCTATGGATCACAACAAAAGAATGTGGCTTTGCCATTCAAATATAAGAATGTAGTTTTGCCATTCAAATAAACACAAGTTGCTATTGTCCACACTGGATTAAAAAAAATCTCAAGATTAAAAAAATCAAAATAGATAAGAAAAAATATCTGTAAAGTAAAACTAATAAGCACCAAGGATTAAAAGAAATTATGTATCTAAAGTATATAAACTCAAAAATTCAATAAATGCTATCCTTCCTTACAACAGTATATAAGGAATTTAAGGGTTCTTTTAAATAAAAGGTACATTTCTTCAAAAATCAGACCTCCTTCACAATAGAGAGGCATAAAAAATCAAAACACTTCAATAACTGACATAATGGGGAAAAAGATATTCCACATTGATAAATCTCAGAAAATCAAAGTTCATGAACCCTAAGCAATTTCTGCCACATATATCCCAAATCATTTCTTTTTTTAAAAAGATTTTATTTATTTATTTATTTATTTATTTATTTATACATACAAGCACTGGGTACAGTCAGAAGCGCGCACGGGAGGGTGAGAGAATTCACCAGAGCCAGAGCAGGGAGCAGAACAGGCAGAAGAACCAAAGTACACTGCTGAGGGGAGCAGCGGGCGGCAGGAGAGGTCTGTGCGCCATGTGGGACCGACCCTCCTCCAGTGGCCGGGGAGCAGCTGGGGATCGAACCGGCGCTGCAGAGGCCGCGGGCAGCTTTGCAACCCAGCACTCAACCGCTGCACCACCGGGGAGGCCCCCAAATCATTTCTGATGGAAATTTTTCTCGATGGTACTACTGATTTCCCTGTCTTCTTAGAAGAGACACAATATAAATTGACTTCGTGTTATTTCTGTTATGTTCTAGCAGCTTTCCTTCCTGGGTCACTATAGAAATAAAAACTTTATTCAGCACAGTAACAGCAGACTGACTTATGCTCAGCCTACAGGCATAAAAGTATTAAAGGTATCTAACAAGAAAAACTGCTTTATAAGGTATTTTGATTGTAGTTTTTTCCTCAAGGCTGCTACATAAAGTTCTAACTTGGCACACCTAAACTCTGGGTTTCCCTGTGCTAATCTTGGACTGGGACGAGAGCAGATCTTCAAATTAAGCTCACACTGATGTTATGAAGTTGGTGGTCTTAAAATCACTTAACAAGTATAAGGCTTCTATAGGACTCAATAAAGTTAGAGTGTGCACACACTAACTCACTTTATTTTCTAAACTGTATTTGGTTGATTCTGTTTTTACCACTATTTTGCAGATGACGAAACTCAGGCTTGGGCCTCCCTGGTGGCGCAAGGGATTAAAACACAACCTACGAAGCAATCCGCAGCCACTGCAGCACGAGTTCAATCCCCGGCCAGGGAGCTACCCACATGGCACAGCAGACCTCTCCTGTCTTGCCCGCTGCTCCCCTCAGCAGTGTATTTCAGTCAGTCTGCCTGTTCTGTTCCCCACTCTGTCTCTGATGGGTCCTCTCACCCCCCACACACATCTCTGACCTGTACCCCAGTTCTTGTATGCATAAATAAATCTTTTTTAAAAATTAATAAAAAAAAAAGAAACTCAGGCTCAAGTTATAAACCACCACATAGTGTGGCAGGGTAGTGGCAGGGTAGAACTCAAATCCAGTATGGTCTCTTAACCACTATGCTCTAAACTGTCTCTTAACTGAATCCAAATGCTCTTGTAATGAACTTATTTTCAGCAGAAGTAACTTCCTATTGTGACAGGATGGTCCCCAGGAAAAGAGGAGGTTCGGGTTCCCTGCCCCACCCAAGGAAGAGTGGAGCTGAGCAGGGAGAAGCTAGAGAGAACACTGGAACAGGAAGGAAGATGGAGAGCCAGAAGGACACCTGAAGGAGCTACATGCGGCAGAGAGACATGCAAAGAAACTGCACTTGTTTCTTGGTTGTGGACTGGTTGAAAATATATGGGTGAGAAGACCTGTGGGGTGGTTAACAATGGCAGCTTTTATGTTGATTTGGTTCCTTCTGCCCCTTACTTATGGGCTCCCACCAGAAGGTGCTTTAGATTGAGGCAAACTTTCGGGCCTCAGTGGTCCTGCTTTGGGCCAACCCTACTTGGCTGGGCATTTACCCACAAGGGGATGGGTAATTTCAGGTGCTTTCCCTTCTCTTTATTGCACACTAATTGTATTAAAGTTCCTTTCCATTAAAGGTCTTATGCACTAGAGTATGTTTTCTCTTGATGTAGTGGATGGCAGAACGGATTTAGAGTGGGCAGGTTTGGGGGTTCTGAGGTGCCCCTCACCCTGCTCTGTAACAATATCAATGTATTTTTAATGCAATCAGCTGATCTTAATAATTATCTTCCTCAACTACTTGTTCATCCATGAGTCAAGATGAATTCTGTATTTCTGTTTGATACAAGAACATTAGAAAGATATTCTCCTGTAGGCCCTGTCTAGATCCTGGTTCAAACAACTGCAAATATGTATGAGACACTTGGGAAAATCTGTACACTGAGAATGTATTTGATATTAAGGAAATGTTATTAATTTCTTAGGTGTGATAAGGCATTATTCTTGTGTTTTTCAAAAAGATTCTTATCAGTGATAAATATTGACATATTTAAAATTACATGATGTCTAAGACACACTTCCAAGTAACCCAGGAGGTGGTACATTTCAGGATACAGTGAAACAACATGGCCATAAGTTGCTGGCTAATGGGTGTCTGTTCTTTATTATATTTACTATATTTATTATATATACTTTGAAATTTTCTACAATAAAGAAAAGACATTGCTAAAATGTTCTGACAGTTACTGTTATATATAATTCTTTCTTTGTAAAATAATTTGCACTGAATGACTCTTTTCTATATTAATTCAGCGGAATGGCATTAGTGGTGCTTGTTGTTAGGGAAACACCTGTCTTAATAGGAAAACACATCCCTATCTACACTGGCAGGAAACATCTTCAACAGGTAAGATCTAACTAACAGGAAGATCTAGCTTCCCACCTGGAGATTAAGCAGAGTATGACAAGCAGAAAAGACGAGGAATGGAAGAGTGTGCCACGCAATAGTAGGCGGGAGGAGAATCAAGCATTGTTGGAGGAAAAGAGAATTTAGGGTGGTTGTTGCCTTTCTGAATCATTGTTTCCAAGAGAATGAAGTCCTAATGCCCTAAGCATTAATGTAATGAATTAACATCTCGCCTATGCTCGTAGGAATGCCCTATTAGGTATGAACTGCCTTGGGAAGCTTGAGGAAAGAGTTCCTCAAAAAATTTTCTGTTTTATGGTTTTGATAAGGAACTCTGATCGAGAAAGTCATTTTAACTAATTTTCAGACAAGGAACTGTATTAGTTGCTTTCACTAGTAAAAAATGTTATGAACCTTGTAATCAAGCAGTTATCACTGGAGCAAGTTCAAATAGTTCAGTCATTACCAATTAAGGAAAAGATGTCAAAGCTATTTATTCCAACTGTGACTGCTCTACCTTTTCATGATAGAAACTGCACATTAAACCATGCATATTTGAGCACACTCTAAAATGCAAGGTTCCTTTCAAAGGAAAATTTTTTCACTGAGATTTGTACTAACTTCAGAATACTATATTTAAGTAAAATGAAATAACAATTTACAGCCCTCTTTCAAAATACTTTGTTCTTTCCAGGTACTTGGAACAGAAAGAGTATTCAGAACACAGAGAAGCAATGTTTTAAGGTTTTCTATTCTAACAAAACTTTTTTAACTTAGTCATCTTTAAGCCCGCTTTGCAACAACTCAAAAGACAACAGCTTTAAACTTGCACAACTAAAGAAAGAGGAACTGCCTTGGAAGAAAAGAGTGTACAGTTGAACATGTCAATGTGCATTCTCTATAAGCCAAAGCTACATCAATAACTGACACAATAACGACGTAATTAATCCGAATTCAATTTTCAAAAAAAAAAAGTAAAGTAGAATTAAGTGTTGCCGTAATATTATGCTCTGTACACAAACAAAAAAAAGGTTAAGTCATGGGCCAATGCTTCTGCTTTGTACATAAGTCTACTGGCAGCGCTTGTTTTCAATTAATTTCAAACCCGAAACTTCTCCAGCTCGCTGAGCGACGGAATCTGAAGGGACTACTGATTTTACAGGCACGGATGCAATGGTTTCAAGCACTGGTTTATTTTAACGTTTTGCTGTCATTTCGTTAGCAGTATCCCTAAATGCAGCTTCTCCGCGAGCCACATGAACCCCGTAAAATCACATTCCATTCTGTTCCCAAGAGGCGGCGGCACACACGGCACTGACTCACTCAGGCACCGGACTCCACCCTACAGCTGCCCGGCGGGGCTGTTACAGTTAGGGACCCGTTTCGTCTGGCCCCAAGCCCACGCTCGCGGAGGACAGGGCTTCATCCCAAGGGGCATTACAATAACCGGGGCGGGGTGGGGGGGGAAGCCCACTGGGGCTTTTTCCCTACCGCCTTTTAGGACAGACTCAAGTCCTCAACAGGACCAGAACCACGGGAAAACCGCAAGCACAGCGGCCGACGACAGCGCCTCAGAGACCACCCCCCGCCGACCCCGACTCCCCGAGCCGTGACCCCCCGCACTCCTTCTGCGCAGGCGCGCGCACGCGTCCTCCGCGGGTGGGCCCAGAGGTTGACAGAAAGTGGGAGGGGGGGTCCGAGGGGGATCATGACAGGCTCGCCCGCAAGTTTTTCTCACCTCCGTAAAAGGGTCCATCGCCCCAAGCTTCTTGTGTCGATTGCGAGATGGCGGAAACGGTGGTTCAAATTCAAAAAAAGAAAAGAAGTGAGTCCCGGTTTAGTGTGTCACCCGGAGAAAAGGAGCCCGGGGCGGCAGTGCTCCCCCAACCTCCTCTCCGGTTCCCTCAGTCTCCAGAGTCAGACTGGGCCTCCGCCGGCCGTTCGAATTTGAATTTCAGCGCCCGCAGCCGCGCGCATGCGCCTGGGGAGGGGTGCGCATCCCCCGCCCCCACAGAAGGTCACGTGGCCTCTCCGGCCGCGTGCGTCCTCAGGGTTTCCGGGTCCCTGCTCTCCGCCCAGAGCAGGCAGCGGGAAGCGGCAGTAGGTGCGGTTCTCCGGGCATTTCAACCGCCTGCCTGCCGAACCCCACCCCCGAGGCTTGTTCACCCCGCCCTTTTCAAGCCGGTAGGTTCACACCCGCTGTGCGTGGGCGTTCCCGCCTTCCTGCATTCTTAAATACATAATTAAGAGCCCTTGTTTTGGAAATCCCACTGGCCTTTGGGCCTTACGTAGCTCTTCGCCCTACCTTATTTTCCCCTAAGGCTTCTGCAGTCCTCGGGTAGGAGCAAAGCCAGAGTTTCCTGGACACTTAGTGCTAATGACTTATGACCCACCTTGCCCGCTGGAGGCCTTTCCTACTGGAAAAATTAAGACTAACATAGACTGTATATGAAAAGTTTATACACAGAGCTCCTTCATGCTTGTTATTGTATTTTACTTTTTGTTATTTTTCAGTGGTTTACATTCTACACAACTGTGGTGTTACATTTTTACTCTTCCATATGTGCACATGCTTTGTGCTTCCTGTTTTAAGTCCCTCCCAACTGCATACCATTAATGTTAGAACTGTAAAGATTTGAGAAGCCATATACTTTAATCCTTCCTTTTTACAGTTTAGAGAAAGGAGGCCCTGAGACGTTAACTGGTCCAAGAAAAGTAAAAGTCACATTCTCAGTTCATGGTATGCTTTCCACCACTAGATCAGGTTGTGTCTCATGTTTATAGATTACTCTAATTGCTAAATACGTTACCTAGTTACCGTATCAGATGCCTTTCGCATTTAGCAAGGCTCTGCTGGGACTTGTAAAGAGGCTTCTTCTTGACTTGTTGGTTTGAAAGTAACACCATGTAGATTACAGAATGCCCAACGGCTGAACATACCAAAACTGTTCCTCCCAAGTAAGGTAAATGTACAATTATTTTAGATAACTGACATTTTGAGACAGTCTTTTCTATATAATAATCTGTAGTGAGAAAGACTGTTACAGTGAGATTATATATACATATGTTTTCAGGGTGGTTTTCAGCTTATTAACATTTCAATTCTAGCGATCAGTAAACATTACAAAAGGTATTTCACTAATAATATCTGTAATTTGAATTTTGATGTCATGGAGTGTAAATAAAAATTCTTAGTGTGTGTTAGAAAGAAGTTGCTTGACTCTATCAGGGCTATATGTTACTTAGACTTAGGTAAATCATTGAACACTATTTTTTAACCTTTTGGGGAAGTCATGGACTCTTTTGAAAATACAATTAAAGATGATCCTTTACCTAGAAAAACGCTTGTTCAATCATAAACTAATAGGCTTTCGTGAAGTTTATGGTTACCAGGTTAAGAACCTCTGATTTAGCCTTTGAATTTTAGTTTGCTCCAAATAATTAACAATCCTTAGAGTTGTTAGGAGGATCACATGAAAAATTGAGATTCAAAAGTAGTCTGTAATAAGAATATGCAAGTGTTTAGTATATCAAATTGTTGGTATTTAACTCAAAATATGCCACTTAAGAACAAAAGAGAAAAGATGCTTGAATTTTTATCAAGTGCTGGACAGGAAAGGGGTGGGTGGCGGACTGTTTTAAACAACATTGGAAAATGAGTCCGGGAATTTTTGTAGTTTGTGCCTTCTGACTTTGGCCTCTGTGAACCATAGATCTTTATAGCTTGATTCTAGTTAAGACTAAAAGAAAACTAAAGCAATTGCACAATATAGCTATGCAAAACATTTAGTTTATCTTACTTTACAGTCCCCTTACATCTTTGCTCTTTGACCTGGGGAAGAGGAGGAGAGGAAGGGATGGGGGAGGAAGAAGAGGAAGAGCACCACAACAATTGCTATAACTTATTAAAATCTGTGTGCCATAAACTGTGCTGGATCTCAAGTTTATTCTCCTGGAATACTATTATCTCCTAACATGTCTCTTTATTTTCATTCTTTCCCTTTTGGAGTTTATTTTCCATTTTATAAACTAAAAGTACTTTTATCCTTTGAAAATTGTGTTATAGAATATTTTCAGTTTACTTTTAAAAAGTAGTGAATAAAACAGGTAACTGTGTATTCACCACATTGCTTGAAAAATATTTAATATTACACATAAAATTGAGGTCTCCCTTTCCCTCTCTCCTCCTTAATCCCATTCACCTTCCACTCCCACAGAGGTAAAACTGTCTGATTTTGTTGTCTATCATTCCGTTGAAATTGGCTTTTATTATACATCTACAAATATGTGAATAAAAATAGTGTCTTACATCTTTCTGCAGCTTTTAATAAGATTCATCCTAATAACTATAACTGCATTTCATTTATTTTTGTGCTATATTCTATTGCATGAATATACAATAGAATATAGTATATTTATATGTATATTCTATTGCATGAATATACATGTAAATTATATGGATACATGTAATTTATGTATCCATTATCTTGTTAATACATTGGACTTCTTTCCAGTTTTTCATTTCAAAGATCCCATTTGTCATGAATATTTTAATGCTACAAAACTTTCTCTAGGGTAATTAGAATCATTGCAACAAGTGTATTTCAATGTCATTGGTAGATATTAAAAATAAATTGTTCTTTCAAATGATACAGTAAGTTATACACCACTCAGTAGTAGATCCGCATGCTCTTGGGTACTTTTCAGATAGTGGTGTTCCTGTTTTTGTGCATATTTTTTATCACTATGAAGGTGACCATTTCTGTGTTTATTTGCCTTTCAGTTTTCCTTTTCTGCAAATTTCAACTTCATATCCTTTGCATTTTACCTTGTGGTTGTCTTTTTCTTACTGATTTGTAAGCTTTTTGTTGCTTGTTTACTGTTTCATGAAAAGGTAACCTTTTTGGTTTTTGACTTATAAATATCTTTTCATAGTTTGTCTTTTCACTTTTGAAAAGTTTACCATCCTAGGCCTCTCTGGTGGCCCAGGGAGTTAAGGTATGGCACTATGAAGGTATGGGCAGCTGCTGCAGCACTTGGATCCCCTGCCAGGGAACTAACCCACGTGGCACACAACGGACCTCTCCTGTCTCTCTCGCTGCTCCCCTCAGCAGTGTATTTCAATGGATCTGCCTCCACTCTGTCTCTGGTGAATCCTTTCACCTCTGCCTATACCCCAGCTCTGGCCTACACCCCCAGCTCTGATATGCATAAATAAATCAATCTTAAAAAAAAAAAGTTTACCATCCTGAGTATTTTTGTAAATGGCACCATATCCATACAGTTGCTCAAACCAAAAAAATAACCTCTTTCAATTTCCTCTTTCTCTCACCAAAATATATCCTGGGTCTTCTGCTTCTCCCTGTCTATAACTTCCATGTCACTCTAAGCCATCACCAACCTGACTTGGCACAAAGCAAGAATCTCCCCTCTTGTTTCCCTGCTTCCACTCTCACCCTTTTAGCCCTTGCCCTCAAGGCTGTCAATGGGATGTTCATAAAAAAAAAAAAAAAAAAAACATAAAATTATGTCACTCTCCTGTTTAAAATCCACCTGTGCCTCTGACAGCACTTAGAACAAAGTCCAAACTCCCTTTCTGGCCCCACCTACTTCTGAAATCATTTCTTGTATCACTTTCCAGGCTTCACTGAACTCCAACCATGCTGACCTTCACACATAGCACCATAATCATGTAAAGATAGATGAGCCCCATCTCAGAACTTTTCTTTTGCAATTCCCTCTACCTGGAACGTTTGTCTCCCCAAATTTACAATGGATGACTCTTGTCCTTCAAAGTCTCAGCTTAAAAGTTATTTCCTCCAAGAAGCCTTCCTTGACACACTCACCCTTATCCCAACTAACCATCTAACATACTTCTCTGATTTTCAGATTTCATAGCATTCATCTATCTGAAATGGCATCATTTCTAACTTTTATTTTGTTTCTTCCATTACAACAGAAGTTTCAAGGGAACTGAGATACTAATTTACTCACCATAGAATCCCAGATGTATGAACTAAGGATTAGATGGGGTGTGTGTGTGTGTGTGTGTGTGTTTGTGTATGGTTTCACATATTTTCACATATATGTATGCATTCTTAGTAAATTCTCTGTGTATGAATCATGTATTTTTATCATCTGGTTTTTCCTGTATACAGTAGGCACTTATAAGTATCAGTGGAAGGAGTAAATTAAAACTTATTTTGGTATCTTAAAAATATAAATAAGGGCCTCCCCTGGTGGCGCAGTGGTTGAGCGCTGACCTGGGAAGCTGCCCGCAGCCTCTGCAGCAGCCGTTCGATCCCCGACTGCCTGCGAGGATCCCACATGGCGCGCAGACCTCTCCTGCCATGCCCGCTGCTCCCCTCAGCAGTGTATTTCATCGGGTCTGCCTGTTCTGTTCCCTGCTCTGGCTCTGGTGTACCCAGAGCTTCTGACTGTACCCAGTGCTTGTATAAATAAATAAATATTAAATATATATATATAAAAATAAGATGGACAAAATTTTTGTTTGTTTAAAAAACATCTCTCCTACTGCATTCACTTATAGCAAAACATCTTTTTAAAAAAGTCAGCGTTTCCCAGGAATTTTTGTGGTGTTCTGTTTCACTGAGATGTAAAGGCAGAGGCAGTTTCACAAAGCATTCTTTCATTTGGCTTCCACTTAATGCTTTCCATTCTTCTGAATATAGACATACTGAAAACATTCCATTCTCTCAGTATAGACATTCTGAAAGCATTCAAACGTCCCTGAAAATTTAAAAAGAAAAAAGTCATGGAAACTAATTATACCAACTGGTCCCTGAATTTTTTCTTATGTGAGTCAAGAAACATAGTTTATTGCTTGCCCTGAGGCTTCTGTTACTGATTGTTAGAATCTGGGCTGTTGCACTATGTTTGCTCTGTTCTATTAGGGCGGCTACAGATAAATTTTCCTCTATGCGTGTATTTTCTTTCAGTGACATAGTTTCAGTGACATAGATATTTTCAGTGACATAAATTACTTCCATTAGAAAAGGAAAAAAAGTCAAAAATATTTTCTAGAAGTGTCTCCCATTCTTTTAAACTCTCATCTAAAATTTCAAAGCAAATAGCATTTTAATATTCTCATTATTTTTTAGTTACTAAGAACTTATGAAATTAAATCTTTTCTCTGTTTCAAGCATTATATATACTTGAACTTTTGCTATAGAATGTGAGATATTGTTTATCACTCCACTGACACTAGCAAGTCAGTAGTAACTAGCAGCCTTTTCTAGTCTTCACCATTGTCCCTCTTCCTTAACCTTTACTACCCAACTCCTCCAATCAAGGTAAATGATCAAATGTGTTCTAAGTCTTTAAAAAGCAGCATGTTCATCATTTATTTAAAAAAAAAAAAAAACCAAGATTCTCTGTTGTAACAGAGCTGTGTTGACTAATATTTTTTATCCTCAAGTTTCATCAAGTATGAAAGTTTGTATATTCTTTTTATGGGAATATACAGATTAACATAAGACTAGTTAAACAAAAATTACTGACAAGATAGAATATATAAAGTCTTTATTCATAATATAAAAACCCCCTCATATATAAAAGAACAATATTTTCATTAAAATATCTTATTTTTGTATCCAAAATTGAATGGAAATCTTTAAAGATTTTATATCAAAGTGATCCACAATGTAATACTGTTAGTGTACAAAGAAATGACCATAAAAGTCCAGTATAATACTGAAGCAGAGTTAACTGTAATGATATTTTTTGTCTATTATTGGAAAACTTAAGTTTAATTCAACTTTAGAAAGAGGGAGGTACACCTTTAAAGATAAATCATTGAAACCAGTTTTAAAAAAATTTTTTTTTTCCTGTGGGACCCTTGCCAGTGGCCAGGGATCAAACTGGCGCTGCAGAGGCTACGGGCAGCCTCGCAACCCAGCGCTCAACCGCTGTGCCACCAGGGGAGGCCCAGTTTTAATAAATTCTTAACTTCATTTTGCAATGAGTACTTCAAGTAGTAACTGATAATGACATCAATTCTTTTTTCTCAATAGTAAAGATTTATAGAGAAACAGGTATAAAAGAAAGTTTCTTAGAAGATGGAATTGTTCATTGTTCTGGTGGATATGTAAAAACAATGCTGACTCAATAACAGCCAAGCAGACAGCTGCAGATGCTGTACCCAATGGAAATACTAAGCAGGCATAGTGCAAATCAATAATTAACAAAGCAGATGCACAAAGCTTGATGAGGATGAATAATTGCATATGGGAGATTGGTAAAAGGAGCTGATTACAATACTAGTTTGTAAGAAATTAAACTCTTTGCATTCACAAATTTGTTAGCAAGAGTACTTCAGTGTTTAATAACACATGAAGACTATATTTTAAAAATCCTGGGTCTCCCCGGTGGCACAGCGGGCTGAGCGCGGCGCTGTGAAGCTGTCTGCAGCCTCTTCAGAGTGGGTTCGATTCCTGGTCAGCCAGGGAGAAACCCACATGGTGTGGCAGACCTCTCCTGCCTTGCCCACTGCTCCCCTCAGGCGTGTCTTTGGTCCGTCTGCCTGTTCTTCTCCCTGCTCTGTCTCTGGGGAATTCTCTCACCCTCCCATGCCTCTGACCTGTACCCCAGTTCTTATATAAATAAATAATCTTTTTAAAAAATCCTTTCATTAAATTCAGATGCCCCTATATCACGCACTGATATAACAAGTACTATATACTACTTATCACTAAGAATATTTAGAAATCTAAATGGTCCACAAGAAAAAATTGGTAGGATAAACATAAAAATAATTTTTAAAGAATGAAATCATATTCTAGGTAGACTAATTGTTTATTCTTAGAATTAAGTTTAATGAAATGTTGAAGAGGGAGGTATACCTTTAGTGCTCATCATTTTCTAACTTTTATGCATGTTTATGTGTGTTTGTGTGTGTATAATCTTCCCTACTATCAATAAGTTTCTTGAGGATAAGTATCATGTCTTTTAATGTACTCTAAAAACTAAGCCAGGTGCTTCTATATAAACAAATACCCGTGCAATGAATAAAATAATACATCTTGGTTTTGCAACAGGGTGGTCCCCAGGAAAGGGGGAGGTTCCAGGTTTCCTGCAAAAGGAGGGTGGAGCTGAGCAGGGAGAGAAGAAGCTGCAGAAGAGACTGAGGAAGGAAGGAAGCAGGATGGAGAGCCAGGAGATCTGGAGGAGGCACACGGAGCAGAGAGACACTCGAAGAAACTGAGCTTGCCTTTTGGTTGTGGACTGGGTGAAACAGATGTGGGTGAGAGACTCGTGGGGAGGTGACAATGGCAGTTTTTGTCTTGATTTTGATTTTGCTTTTTTCCATCCAGGCTTGTCTGCTTGTTTCTGATCCTTTTCTGTGGGTCCCCACTGGCAGATGCTTTAGACTTACGGCAGGCTTTGGGGCCTTGTTCTGGGCCAATCCTGCTTGGGTGGACTTTTACCCACGAGGGAACAGGTAACTTTGGGTGCTTGATTTAGAAACTATATTCTTTGCCTTTCCTGCATTGTTTACTAATTGTATTAATGTTCATTATCATTAAAATCTCATGTTTTGTGTTGATGTGGCGGATGGCAGAACCTATTTAGAGCAGGCAGGTTTGTAGGGTTTGGGGTGCCCCATTCCCTGCCCTGTAACAGTTTCTTCAAAATAGCGTTAAAATGGAGAATATGTTTAGCATGCTTTAGTAAAAACATTCGGAGTAAATTCTTTACACAGATGCTGAACATCTGACTTGAAAATGTCTTAGGAGGTTTTTTATTTTTGGGGAAATAAAGTTCTAGACAGTCCCAGGGTAATAGATGCATTTATAGCAAACTTGGAAAGCAGGTTTTAGGGTTTGCGGTAAATAAGAAAGCTAGTGAATGTATACAAGGAAGCTAGGTATATAAAGTCCATTTGCAGCCTTTTTCCTTAGTACATTTGTTGCAAAAATGACTGTTTTATCAATTCAAAATTCATTCATTATTATAAAAAGTGCTTGAAGATTGTCCATTTCATGTCATTCTGTTTTTGTTTTGTTTTTTTTAATCACTGAAAATGCATACTTTCTGGGCCTTCTTGGTGGCTGTAGTGGCAGGAAGGGCACAGGGCAGGATCTGTATGATTCGAGCAGACCTGGTAAAGGAGAGCCCTGGAGCCCTTGGTGGCTTTCTCAGGCTTTTACTGAGCTTTCACATTTAGTGCAACAACCAGGTACATGGCAGGCAGGGAGGCCAGGAGGCCTCCAAGCCCCAGGCAGTCTTCACTCTGGGCTTCTCTGACGTTCTTTCTCCCCTTTCTCCTGCCTTGCTTCTCTTGGCAGGTATCTTAGTACTGCTGCTGCTGCCCAAAGATCTAAACACACAACTTATAACAATGTAACAAATGCAGGTGCCCACCATCAGGCATGAAATCCTAATGGTGGGAGGGCAGAAAAGCCTGAAAATCATTTACCCTCCAGTGGTGCAAGGGGTTAAATCCCAGCACTATGAATCAAGGGGCCTCCCTGGTGGTGCAAGGGGTTAAGACAGCTATGAAGCAATTCACAGCCTCTGCAACAGGAGTTCCATCCTGCCTGGCCAGGGAGAACTCAACATGGTGCAGCAGACCTCTCGTGACTCTCCCGCTGCTCCCCTCAGCAGTGTATTTCAGTGAGTTTGCCTGTTCTGTTCCCCACTCTGTCTCTGGTGAATCCTCTTGCCCCCACCCCACACACCTCTGGCCTGTACCCCAGTTCTTGTACGCATAAATAAATCAATCTTTAAAAAAAAGACATAATCAAGATAAAACAGCAAAATATATAATAAATTAGATAAAATTAAGTATTAAGGGAAAAAGCAGAGAAGGAGACGGTGGACAGGAAATCCGAAAAAGAAATGGAATTTTGTTTTGCTTTTAAACATTTGTATGTTGTGGTGCCATTACAACACTGCATAGGTTCCAAGATTACACTTTCTCACTTTGCCTGCTACCAAATGTCCAGTCACCGTCCACCAAAGAATGCAATTTTTAATTAACTGACTAGAATAGGCCTTACCGAGAAGTGATGTTTGGGTTAAGTATTGAAAAAGTGAAGGACATCTTACGAATATCTGGGGAAGAGCATTTCGGGCAGGAGCAATTCCAAATTGCAACCCGCCTTGAAGTGTATTTCAATAATATCAAGGAAACCAGTGTATCTACGAGGACGTGGGGGAAGGGGAGTGGGAAATGAGATCAAAGAGATGACAGGAACTATGTCATAAAGGACCTATTTGAATTCCTTCACTTACGTTCTTAGCAGCTCAACTAAATTAGTTTCAGCTTTTCTGCACTTTGTAAGTTAACTAAAGGGAGCAGACTGACTTTGCAATTCACAGCCTGGACCGAGTGTCAGATCATCCTTCTCTAGTGAAGCTACCGCGTAGTTACGCGCACAAACGTCTTTGGGGGATAATCTGTCAAAATGCCTCTAGCCCACTGGTTGGCGTCGGTTCCGGGTCCAGCCCACAAGCCCCGGAGACGCTAGTCCGACCGGTGCACGCCGGGAGCTGTGGTTCCGCGGCGCGCTCGCTCGGCGCGAGCCGGCGGCAGACGCTGGAGCGCCCCAAGCGACGCGCAGACTCTGGAGCGCGGCGAGAGCCGGGAGTGTTTCCTAGCAACCGGGGAGGCCAACGTCACGGTGGCGGGTTATAAACGCAGCTACCCACTGTGGGTCCGCCTTGTGTACCTTCCAGCACCTGAGACCTGGAGGGATCGCCGCTCACAGCCCGGTGTCCGCACGTCGTCGCTCGTCCTCACCCACCTTCTCCTGCCCCAGGTTGCCGCGAGCAACCTTCCACCGCTCTCCCTCCTCCGAGGTCCGGGCCCGAGCCTAGGGGCGACCTGTCAGGCTCTCGCTCGGCCCTCGCCCCCCGCGCCCGCGGAGCTCATCGCCCGCGGCCTCGGCGGGACGATGCTGGAGTCCATTCGGGTGACGGGTGAGTGCGGAGAAGGACTGGCCCCCGGGCTGGCGGCGGCGGCCGGTGTGCGCTCGAGGCGGGTGGGGGCGCGTGAGCGCACGGGCGGCGGGTGGCCGAGATAACGGTAGTAGTGAGCTGCCCGCGGTCCTGACGCCCACGCCCGAGCCCGGTGGAACAGCTCGTGCCACAGGCGCTCAGGAAAAATGTGCAGAGGACAGAGAAAACGATCCCTTTTCATTTTGTGCCTTATTACGCACGTGCTGGGAAATAGAGTAAAGTTAGCTGTAATGGATTACTGGCCCTCCATGTGTCCTCTCTAAATCTTGTTACATTCTATTTCGAGTCATATTTGGTGTGCAGTTAGGCACTACAGAGTACTAGCATCTGATTTTCTAGAATGTTCAGAAAAAGCTCTATCAGTATTTATTGTGGGTTTATTTGTATGTGTACTTTTATTCTCCAGTCAGTGAGAATCATTTTGAATTGCTGTCATTAATGGTATATAGTATATGTCATACCAGCCTAAAATCTTCAGCCTCAGATCTGAAAGTTACTTGCCTTTCATTGCTTTTTAATAACTGTGCATAGAACCATTTGAAAACTGTTTTACATAACAGTAGAATAATTCCCTAGGCCATTTTCCTGGCATTTCTTTTTGTAAGATAACATTTCTGTAAGACAGAGTTCATGATAGTCCAGTTTCTTTACCAGGGTGAAGAGAAATGCTTACTACTCAAACTAGAGTCAAAATAAAGCCAGATTTTTTCTTTTTAATTTAAGGCATTGAGTACTGAATAACATTTTTTCCTGAGTTTTTTTATTGTGAAGCTAAATTTTGGGGGGCCTCCCTGGTGGCGCAGGCGGTTGAGCGCAGCGCTGTGAAGCTGTCCGCAACCTCTGCAGTGACAGTTCGATTCCCGCAGGCCTCGGAGCAACCCACATGGGAGCAGACCTCTCCTGTCTCACCCCCTGCTCCCCTCAGCAGTGTACTTCAGTCAATCTGCCTGTTCTGTTCCCCACTGTCTCTGGTGAATCTTCTCACCCTCCTGCGCATCTGACCTGTACCCCAGCTCCTTGTGTCAAAAAAAAAAATCTAAATTTTTGTTTGTCCAATAAAAATATTTATGAGCCTGATTTTAAACTTTAATTTCACTTCATGTTTGGTGTAATGAAATATGGAGCTGATTTTGTGCAATCATGACATTGCTGTGATCTACCTCCATGTCTATGTTGACAGGAAGCATAGACGGTGACAGGATCTAAGATTTAATAAGCAACTTAAACTGGCATTAGATTTTTTATAAATGTGATTTGATGTAGATGCTGTTCTTTAATGTTAAAATATAATGAAAATGTTGAAAGTTAATTAAAAATTTACCACACCTTCTTTTTATCTTGGAAGAGGGTTTCTCAACCTTGACACTATTTACATTGAATTAATGAATAATTTTTGGTTATGAGGGACTGCCCTGTGTGTTGTAGTATGTTTAGTAGCATCCCTGGTCTCTACCCACTATATGTCACTAGCAACCCTCCTCCCCTACTTGTGACAACCAAAAATGTCTCCACACAGTACCACATGCACTCCAGCGGACAAAACCCCACCCATCCATTCGAGAACCACTGACATGGAGAAAGATATAGTTTGAGTCCAAGTATACATTATTATTATATAAAGATTTAGAAACCAATTAAAATAATTTCCCCAAAGCATAACAGTTATTATAAAGGAAGAATGCATTTATAATAATATTAATAGAAAATGGATATTCTGGTCAACTAATCAAAAATACAGAGTGGATCTTCTGACATTTCAGTATGTCAAGTTAGATGTTTGGGAGATAGTGTTACAAAATAGTAGACCTTTCCTCTTGTCTGTCTCTTAATTTAATGGGGATACACTTATTAATCAATCAATGCAATGTTCCATTCCCTAAGAGAGACTCTGGCACTGAATTTCTGTAGTTCAATAAAAATTTAAATATCTGTTTGAGGTCAGTCAAGCCTCGAATTTACTTCTAGGTCATTTTTCAAAGTAGTTTCTTTTATATAGTACTTGTTTAATCAAAATGATTGTTCCAGAACCCTGTACCCAACATTTCACTGACATCATAAAATCCAGTACTATAATCCCATTTTACAGATAAGGAAACCACAACACAAAGAAGTTAAGTAACTTGTTCAAGAGCACAGCTACTACTAAATAGCTCAGATTCAAATTGGAGAAGCTCCATTCCAAAACTCATGTTTTCAACTACTAGGAAAGTGAGAACACTTAAAATAAGCCAATAGGCATCTAAGCCCCCAAATTCCACATGTTTTATTATTTAACATCAGTGGTACCTTGTTTGTTTACTCAAGGTGTTGTTTTTAAGTTGTAATCACAGGCAGGTTTATAAATAATTTTTGCCTGCAAAGGTCATATTTTGCTAAAATACAAGTTATTGTTTTCAAAATAGAAAACATCTAACTCATCAAGTAACAGAATGCTAACGGAAGCCATATAAATTATGTTATCATGATTTCTGACTTGCCATATTTTGTATATGATATAACAAGTGATTAATAAATCATCTGGAAATGAAGCACGCTTGTAACAACAGTAAATGTTTAAAAATACTGGAAACAAAAGTTATCTTAAGGCCAAATAGTTCCTGTATGTCCTGCAGCACCTGTCATTAAAACTTGTCTTTAACATCACAAATTGTTTCATTTTTTTTTTTAAATGCCACCCTGGTGTGAATTCTTCCTTAGTGGTCAGGCATCTAAATCCTGTATTTCTTTCTTTGCTTTCAAACATTATCTTCCTTGGCTTACTGCTTGGGCCATTCTTTGATTAACAGGGCAGTAAGCAAGCAAAACCAAATTTAGACATATGCCATAATGTAGGTTATATGAATGTTGGGTAGGCGATTATACAAACAAATGTAAAATTGCAACCATGGCAAGTGCTTCAAAGAAATATGAGGTGTTAAGAAGATTTCAAATGAAGAAGTCAGAGAAGATTCGCTGCACAAATGATATTTGAACTGAAGAGTAGAAATTAATCTAATAAAAAGGGAAAGGGATGGGTTCCCCACACATAAGGAGCAGCATGTAAAGCATCAGTGTGTCTAGAAAGAAAAAGATGAGCAAGAGTGAGGGAATGACAAAATGAAAGGAAACTAGGGTGGTGAGATTGAGGGGAAACATTGTGCAAGGTTGAAGAGGCAGAGTGACCTGACCATGAGTCACCTGATCTGTCATGGTTACTTTTGGCTTCATCAGAAGTGGAAAGCCATGAGGAAGTTTGTTTTCTGGCGTGTTCATTGTTTTGGATGGTATTTAGTGTTTTCTTTTTCAATACAACATCCTTTTCTGGCATTATAGAATACCCTGAATATTTCTAATTGTAAAACAAACACACACACATCAGTTTCTGACCAAAACCAGCCGGTCACATTATAGGAATCATTGTTATTAGCAGAGTAACACTGGAGAGCTCCTAACTGGGATAATGACGTACAGTAGAGTTTCTCAGTTCCTGAATGAAATTAGCAAGCCTTTTCATTTCTCTCTTTGTAAAATTTCACTTACAGTTGAGAAATTGTATTGGGTGATGTTGAATTTAGAAACATTATAATTAATAGGTTATCGGGTATACTGCAGATAAATTGGACAATAAATGTTTTTAAAGATTCTGATTTTTTTATATACCATTAAAAAGTCAAGGTAGGGCCTCCCCGGTGGCGCAGCGGTTGAGCACTGGGTTGCGAAGCTGCCCGCAGCCTCTGCAGCGCTGGTTTGATTCCCGGCTGCTCCCCGGCCACTGGTGGAGAGTCCCATGCAGACCTCTCCTGCCGCCCGCTGCTCCCCTCAGCAGTGTACTTCGGTCCTTCTGCCTGCTCTGCTCCCCGCTCTGGCTCTGGTGAATTGTCTCACCCTCCCATGCTTCTGACTGTACCCAGTGCTTGTATAAATAAATAAAAATAAATAAATCTTTAAAAAAAAAGTCAAGGTATATCAATGTATGCATATGTTACATCTACCTAGAACAAGATAAAGAACATTTTACCTCCTTCCAGGTCCTAACCCCTCCCTCAAAGGTAACTACTATTCCAAATACTACTACCATAAATTAGTTTTACCTGTTTTTGATCTACATGCAAGCAGAACTATATAGTATTTGCTCTTTTGATCTGGCCTTATTTTCTCAGTATTGTTTTTGAGATTCATCTATGTGTTGCTCACAGCCTCAGTTTGTTCTTTTTCATTGCAATACAATATTTTATGACTATGCCACAATTTATCCTTCCTACTGTTGATAAATATTGTATCATTTGAGTTATACATAATGATAAATGATTTGACAAATTAAAATGTTTATTTGTTGGGGGATTATTTTGTTCTGTCATCTATTTATAATCAAGCAGTCTATTTTTTGTGGTATAAAATTTTGTGGTATAAAATTATCCTAGGTTATTAGATTTCATAAGTATTTGTGAAGTATTTGAAATTGTCATTTTGCTGATAGGAATTGGTTGAATGGCATTTTCCACCAGAATTTGTTTCTGATGATCTAGTCTTCCTTTTAGCCAAGTCCTTCATAATTATTATGAAATTTCACCTAGTCACAGTTCTGAAACACTAAGAGTTTAGTGAGCAGTATTCTCCTCTCTCATTCTTTTTGATAAGGAACATGAGGTACTGATGGGTTTAGTGATTTGGCTAATATTACAGAGAGGTTATTGAAAGAGCTCAAAAGGTAAACAGGAATCCTAGTATCTTTTTCTCCTGTTCTAGATATAAATTAAGCTTTTATTGTGTTGGTAAGTTCAGTGTGCTCACCTACTTGTGTATATACTAAGTATCAATTTTAATATTTTCCTTGTTATACCTCAATAGAGGTAATCAGGTTGGAATGAATGATTTCCTTGATCAACAAATTATTTTCATTTACTTCAAATTTATAGTGAAACAGATTGCTGGATAATTAAAGATGATTAAAGATGATTACACAGAGATTGTTTTAGTATGAGAAAGTATGATTTTTTAATTATCTTGTTATTTTTCCAAGGGAAGATACGTCACACTTTCCTCCGAGTTATACTTCCCTCAGAGAGAAGTGTAACTCATATACTTAAAAAAGGTTTTAATTTTTCAGGATAAAGGAGTAAAAAAAATACGATGTTCTTCAATGTAATCTTTGTAGCCTTATATTATGTTCTTATGCATATTTAATGAAACATCATTTTCGTTAACAATGGTATTTAAAATTAACAAACCAGTATTTGATTCTCTAATACTTTTTAATATAACTGAAATAAGATTAGTGTAACTGAGAAATTAATTTATATCCATCTTGTATGAACTGTGGGAAGAAACACTTGCCTTACTTGTTTGAACTTTATGGGATATTAGCATTTGGCTGGATTGGCACTTATTAAATAAATGCATTATTGGCACTTCCAAACTACTCATTAGCAGATGAAGCTTAAAAAAACTGATGCTAAGCGTCTCAGATAGATAATAAGCTAGGGAGCAGGACCGCTTAACTCGTGGGGAGAGGTGTTCTTTTAGGCACAAGCTGTCACCTCTCTCCTACCCCTATTTCTCCTTAAAAGTTTTGGCAAATGGTTTAGGGCTTTTTTGTTTAGTCTCCTGAGGTATGTAGGTTGTTTGAGATGAAACAAAATTATAAACCTAGAGGTTACTGATGCTTTATGACAAAACAAAAGAGCTCTTAAGAGCTCACTCTTTGATCATAGAGCTACTAAGTTTAAAGCCAAAGATAGAGTGAATGCTTTTTTTTTTTTTTAAAAAAAGGCAGTTCAATATACATAAAGTAAACCATCAAAACTGGAAATTCTTCAGAGTAATTTTTATTTACCGTTTTTAATTTACTATGACTTTGCTCTTATTATTTTGAAGACCAAATGAGAAAAGAACCTGATTACCTCCCTTTACCTTCCTGGCTGCTCCTAGTCCTTACCCGACTTCTCTAGGCTTATGATACCCTTATTCTTATCTCAGTTCTCTTGCTCTTTCCCTTTCAGTATCTGTTGCAGTCTTCCTTTCATTACCATCTCTTGTCTCCTAGACTTGCGGTGTCTTTTTTAGGGGAACTGACATTGTTTGTGGGCATTTGAACTACACCCTGTCTTCTGGTGTTCCTTAGCCTATGTTCACCTATCCTGCCCAGTTTTAACTATCAGTTGGCAGCACTTAAGTCTGAAACCCCTAAGGAACTGTGATGAAAGTTTTGCTTGTCCTGTTTATTTTTGGCTGGTTGAGTATTTAACATTTACTGAATGCCTTCTTTGTGCTACGCACCTTCAATATGACCCTGTGCAGTCTGACTCCTTCCTCTCAACTTGTCCATGTAATACACATTTTATGTAGCTCCTGAAAGTTTATACTGCATAAGCGGAAATATAACTGGGAAGACCCTGTTATCTATTAGACACCAGATTTTAAATTCCACATGTTGGCCTGGAAAATGTAACTTACAGGACTTAAAAGTACTTTACATTATTTGGAATATCCACTTTTGATTTGGTGATTTTTTTCTATCCCAAGCTTTGTACGCCTTTTGCACTTTAAAAGTTACAAGTAGGGGGCAAAATTTCTCTGTATTATCACTATTTTAGGACAGATATTTTTATTGTAGGAGGCTATCCTGTTCAGCTGAAAGGGTGTTTAGCAACATCCACGGCCCCAACCCACAAGAAGCCTGCATGTAGCACCCCTCAGTTGTGATAACCAAAACTGTCTCTGGACATTGCCAGGTGTCCTCCAGGGGGAGCACAATTGCTGATTGACACCACTGGTTCAGGGTCTTCCCAGTTATATTTCCACTTATGCAGTGATTGCCTCATTGTACTATAGATGGACCCAGAATTACAAATGCCTGTTTACACATTTGAAGAATTAATTTATATTAATTAATTTTATAATTAATGAATGCTTACCAGATACCATGCTAGATATTAGGGAAAAAAGAGATGGGGGCGGGTGGGAAACAAAGCAAAAAAACAAAAACCATGGCCTTGGTACCTGTCTTAGTATATTAGTTATCCAAATTATCATGTCTTGTCTTGCTGGAGTGCTATGCAAATCTATATAGAAAAGCAAAATTTCAGTGCTGTGTATGTAGCAGACTTAATAGTGAATGTCTATTGACAATTGAATGAGTTACCACTAGCATAGCCTCTGTAAACAGACACCTGCATTCAAATCAGCTTACTGTTTTTATTTTTTGGTCATGTAACCTTGAGCAAATTACCCAATAGTTCAAAGATTTAAGTGATGTAATATGTATAGTTATTGATGAAATCCCAAACTCACATAATATGTCAACAAATAATGACTTCTACTAGTTGTTATTTTTACTACTTATCATAGAAGGATCCCTGAACATCTAATCTTGAATGAGTGAATGACAGATTTTTGTGAGTATAGTTTTCAAAAAACTGAAATGAAATGTCTCTTTCTTAGAATGTCAGGCAACTGTCCAAGCCAACCAGCATTGACATTTTCTCTGTAGTAGGAGCCAAAGGTTGAGAGCTAGAGCCATAAATATCAGTGAAACTTGGATAAGAGAATAAGTAGGTAGACTCATAATAGGTCTCATCTGCAGAAAGGACATAGGAAAGGTTTATAAGCATACTCACACAGAGGACAGATTTGTAGATAGAATTTGAATTAGCGTTTAGCTCAGATAAGCAGGGTTTAAGACAAACACCGTAAATTTAGAAGTGAATCTCAAAGTTCTCAAAGGACTCTTTAAACATGAAATACCCTCCTTTGTTCTTTTTCACATTGCTCTCTTCCTTTTCTGACCTCTAGGTTATTGTCTCTATCTTTTGTTTTTCACCCTTAATCTAATAATACCTTGTATTGTTATTCAAATCTTTATAGGAATGCCTTGACTTTGTAGCTAGATTTAAAACTTGTTGAAGGCAGAAACAATGTATTTATAAATGCTTATCAGAGTCATGTACCAAATTGGTAAGTATTCCATGTATTTGTTAAAGAGAGACTGCAAATCAAGAGTTTTAAAGCAGTGCATGAGCAATATTATATCAAGTGATTCTTACTTGTTTAAAGCACTGTGAGATCTAAAAGTAAAGTGGACCCCTCTTTGATTTGTCATTTAACATTCTAATATCTATACAGTGGTCGTAATTTTTCAACCCTATTTAGAAAAAAACCTTGTTTTTCTTTAATCTTACTATAGCCTAGAACTAAGAAAATTAACCAGTTGTTAATACTGAGTGACATTACTAAAAATGTGTCAATGTACACAGACCTATTTAATCTTAAAGTGGTTTTAAGACAGATAAGGCAGTGCTACTCTTTACTGATGGCTATCTTCATATTTACTGCCAGATTAAAAGATTGTATTGGTTTTGAAAGTGTCTTGGTATTGCTTTAATATTAGTTTGACATTAGTAGTATATTAAAAACTATATCCTTTTAATGAAATCCATATTCTTTGCAGGAGTTGAGTATTCAGATTACTTATATGTATTATCTCACATCTATATTAGATTTTGATCATCTAGAAGATTTGAAATAGTGTATTTTTATAGCTAATTTAGCATGTATGCATTCAGTTAGAAGTGACAGTGTCCAGCATGACCAAAGTTTAATCAAATAATCCTTTTAATATTTAAGATGTCTTTCTAAAGATTGTTGCAAAATTATAAAATTTACAAAACCTTCATAATATGTTCATATAATTAGTAATTTGCTTCATCTAGTATCTTTGTTATTTCTTTTGTTTTGATTTTGTTTATTAACACAGAAAAGCTTCACTGGCCTGAGCAAGAACTTGCTAAGAAGTCTATTCTAAATGCTGAAGAGTCATTGATCATTGACAACAAAAGAAGCATTTCACATTTACCTCCTGGGATACTTAAGGACATTTTCACAACTGGAACCAGTAGTTACAATGTCCTACTACAGAGCAAAGAGGAGAAAAAGCATCTTTCACAAAAGCAGTCTTCCTCCACCTACTCCAAAAGATGTAGAAAACCCAGCAAATCTCCTTGCTCTTCTCATAGTAAAGATCTTCGCAAGATAAAAACCCCCATGTCTGTGATGAGCAGTGGTAGTTGGTACTGCCTAGAAAGGCAGCCTACTGTTTTTGTCACTAGTTCAGAATTGAATCCTGTAAAGTTTACACATGATATCTCTGTTACAGGGAACAGCATAGTATTGCCACCTAAACCCAAAAGCAAGATCAAGCAGCGCCATTTGTCCACTCTTCAAAAGCCAAAGCCACAGCCTCAGCTGTCTAGAAGTTTTGAAAAAGGAGATGACTTTTCTGGAAAGAAATTTTGTATACTGACTGCTATAAAGCCCACCAACTTAGAGAAAGAAAAACTGAGATTTTTCAAGTCTGACTATACCTACAATCCTCAGTTTGAATATGCTAATCCTTCTCTGCCAAGTGTGTTAGCCAAACACAGCAATGCTTCTAACCGATTTCTTAAGCAGGTAAAATGACACTTCCATGTGCTATTTCACTTTTCATTTTCATGTAACTGAAACAGGTATTTGCAGTCTTACAATTTAAAAGCATTTCATAACTATTCCAGTTATTTATACGTTATGGCTAACTTCAACCTAAGATGTAAATATAGGATAAGAAATCCAGGCACAGAGTTCAGATCATAAAGGCAGTTAACTTTCAACAGATTTATACTATTCAAGTTATAAATCAAGTTGAACCTCATGCAGAATATAAATATTCAAAGTATATATACTGTATGAGGTTCAACTTGGTTTTGCCAGTGATTGAAAAATGTGTTTGCAGTTTAGGTAGAACTGCATGGTTCCATTCACCTGTGGTACATGCCCTATTTTAACATTTTTGCTAAAATACAGTTCTTTGAACTTAAGGCCAATAGAATTTTTGCTTGTTTATCATAAGTGACATGGAATCAGATAACCCTTTTGAAGCCATTAAGTAAAGCTTATTTTGAGATTAAATTAATTTTTATCTTTTTTCCCTTTGTTAGCAGAAATCTTTTCTACTGCTTCTCTTTTTGATGGGTATTCACTTTTTATTTGAATATGCTGAGATTGTGCTAAGCACTAATGAAAAGGTTATCCATTGTTTTTATTCCTATTTTGGCTTTTATTTTGTGATTTTTTTTGGTGGAATGACAGATTTATTTACCAATATTCTTTAATTTGAAGTTCTACCCCAGTCCTGCCAGTTGAGAAAGTGATTTCTCTACTTCAGATCAAATTGAATGCTTTCTCATTTCCCTTGAAAATAATTAGGAAGCATCAATAGCTCCATAGACTGTGAATTGACATTGCTTTACCTGTAGCTCTATAATCTTTATTTTCACCCAATTCTAGCTTAAGAATAAAACCTATTTTTTACTATAAACCAATGCACAGATTGAGAATAAATCCTATACTTGGATTGCTTGAGACTTCAAAATTTGGAGAATACCTTAAAAAAAAAAACCTTAAAAAAAAGTGCTGTTTAAATCACTATTATCAAATAAAGGAGAGTCAGTAGAACAAGACCTCCATAAAAATATGTTTAAATTCCTATTCAGCAGCTCAGCGATTATGATATGAATTCCTTCCTTTCTACAGCTATAAAGCTAAAACAATAGCTTTGCTGATTGCTGATGGTATGCTAGAAATTTAACATAATCTTTTATAAGCCATGGGTCCAAGTCTGTGGCCTAAGAGTCAAGTTCAGCCTGCATATATATTTGTTTGGGTCAGCAGTGTTTCTTAAAACATTGGCATGTGAATATACTCTTCTGTTGCCCCTTCCAGTTGTCTTATACCCACTAGCTTTATGTAGTGGTTATTGCTTGCAGTGGAAGGTGTTTGAGTTTGTGACTACTTACTGCTAGAGTGTCCCATCAGTTTGTGGCTATAGTATGTGAATGGAGGCCTGATGATCTAATCAAAATCTTAATATACCTAATTTGCTATCAAGGTGCAAGAGCCACTGCTGAAAAATTATTTCAGTATTTGGAATTTTACTTTTTATTCTGAGAATCTCAGAATACCAATGCTTTTGTGTGTGTGTGTGTGTGTGTGTCTCATACCTATCTGAGTTAAGTATTTTCAAACTGGTTTAAGCAATACTGTGAGAAAGAGGGCCATAAAGTTGGAAATCACAAAATATATTTAATCCCAGAAGCTCATTGCACATATCAGTAGTATCATGATAAAAACTTGAGTCTTGATTAACTTTGTTTAATCTAGTAATTTCCAAATTCATATCTCATTGACCACTTTTTCACAAGAAACAGTTTGGAAAATACTGCTATAAGAAAGCGAATCTGTGATTTCTTAGGGGTTATTCAGTATTGGGAATGGGGGCTGGTAGCAGAGTTCTAGATGTTAGAATTTTCTAAAAAGGGAAAGAATGAAGGGCGGACTGGGATTAGATGAAGATCAAACTAATTGCCTTAAATTCTAACACTAAATCTCAGCAGTTTTTTGCTGCAACTTAAATATTGTTATAGTCATATAGGGAATTGATTGCAAAACATGTGCACAGCCCCACCCCCCCTCTCATGTTCCTTTTTTCCACTTCTCTTTTTGTCTGTATCTCTAATTTTGTCCTCAGAACAACTCAGTGAAATAAGTGGGACAAAGATTTTTATTTCCATTTGTTGGTGAAGAAACTAAACCTAAGTAAGTTAAAATGACATGCCCAAGATCACATAGTCAGTAGGTAGTGGAGCACCAATGTAAAAAGATCTTCTGACTTCTAGTCTTTCTACATCACCACCCAGACTGATATCACGTTAGTGTCCCTGTTGTATATAGTTTTACATTAAGTGGAAATTGCAGTTAAGAAAGTAGATAATTTTCTAGCACATGACTGTTGAAGTGACTTGTGGTTGATGGTCAGATTTCCAACTTAACAGTAAATAGGATCAGCAAGTAAACCAAAGAAGATTATTTAACAAAATGGTGAGATTTTTTTCAGAAAGTTTGTTGTGTAATTCAAGATAATGAAGAAAGTTTCATGTAGAGATTTTTCATTTTCTGGATTAGTGGTTAAAATGTTACATTGTACTTTTTTTATAATAGTTTTAGTAAGATATATTTCACAAGCTATATGGTTCACCTATCTAGAATGTACAGTTCAGTGATTATTTAATTTTTAGTAATTTTCATTATATCTAGAAATTTTCAACCATAGCCACTATGAAATTCTGGTACATTTCATCTCCCCAGAAAAGAAACCCTGCACCCACTAGCAGTGAGTCAAAGAAGAATGATTGGACATGACATAGTATTAAGATAAGCCTTTGGAAACATGGATGTTGCTTCCATGTAGTGTGGCCACCGTGATGGTGCCATGTAAGTTAAAATGAAATGAAGGCTACAATGCTATTTTATGTAATTTTGATGGGAAAATTATATTAGCTTCCAAAAACCACCACTATTTATACTCAGTGTTTGATGGATCAGATAATTAGTTTATAGGTATAAAAGTTGCCTAAATAAACTGCCAAGATGTTTTCTTTATCTTTCCTAGGAAACTTTTTTTTTTTTTAAGATTTATTTATTTATACAAGCACTAGGGTACAGGCCAGAGGTGCGAGAGGGTGAGAGAATTCACCAGAGATGGAGCAGGGAGCAGAACAGGCAGAGGACCGAAATACACTGCTGAGGGGAGCAGTGGGAGAGACAGGAGAGGTCTGCCGCGCCATGTGAGAATCTCCCGGGCTGGCCGGGAGTTGAACCGGCACTGCAGAGGCTGTGCACAGCTTCACAGCGCTGTGCTCAACCCCCTGTGCCACCGGGGAGGCCCCGCCTAGGAAACTTTTTCAATGTAAATTTCCAATCAAATCTTTGTTCCCTGGTATGAATATGAGTAAAACTTAGGCATATGAATACTTAATAACTTTCTCCTAGTACATTTATTGGTGACAAGAAACATCTATACTTAAGTTTTCTAAATTCTAAATTTCTTAATTCTTAATATTCTTAATATTTCTAATTCTAATATCTTAGTATATCTGTTATAATAAGTAGTAGCCAGATAACTGCATATGCCTACTCAATTCACATATGCCTTAAAATTTTTTTTTCATCCAAACTTAAGTACATACTTCTAGAAACCTGTAAGTGTAAGTTAAAATAAAATCTTTAACATTTTTTTAGGTCTAAATATCAGTCCACTATAGAACGCTCCTCTGAAGCTTTTAAGGTCATTTTCTTACATTCTTCTCATTCTGTTTGATATATGAATGACTCGTGTGTTCACAACATCTTTGCTAATCTACTAAAACTGGCTTTTAATTAGTTACTTGTTCTTTTAATCATTCTAGTTTTCACATGAATAAATTAGCTCAGTATATTTGTGCTATTTTCTCATTCTCTGAGAATCCATCTCACTGTTTACATAGGAATCACCTGAGGATTTTGGTAAGCTGTAGGTTCTGATTCAGTAGGCATGAAGGATGCAAAATTTTGCATTGGAAACCAGCTCCCATGCTATGCCAGTGCTGCCTGCCTTTGGACGCCACTTTTATAGTCAAGCTTTCTATAATAGTTTTGGGAACAGAAAAGCCTATTGAAGACATTTTTTATTATAAGTGTATGATTCATGTCTACTTTGGTATTGGCTACTTACTATGTCCCAGCAATGTGCTTCACAAGGGTTGAACATAAAAGTATTTTTAGAAATGTTGAAACTGTTTTCTGCCAGAGCAACTGAGGAAAACTTTCAATTTTTGAGGATTTTTTAAATGATTTATTTTTATTTATTTATGCATACAAGAACTGGGGTGTAGGAGAGGTGTGGGGGGTGAGGAGATTCACTAGAGACAAAGTGAGGAGCAGAATAGTGTACTGAAATACACTGCAGAGGGGAGCAGCAGGTGACTTGAGACAAGAGAGGTCTGCTATGCCTTAAGGGTTAGCTCCCTGACAGGGGATCAAACTCATGTTGCACTGTCTGGTGATAGCTTGATAGCGCTGAGACTTTAACTCCTGGGCCACCAGAGAGGCCCCCAATTTTAGAGGATTTTAACAGAAAAAAAAGTTGATTTTTTATGTGTGTGGTCTTTAAAAATGGGTACATTTTTTCCCTTATCTGAGTGGAATTTATATGTAGTGACTCTTCTGAAGATAAATTTTCTCCAGAAAAATACTGTCAAATGATCTTAGTGAAATTAAGGATCTTCTATGCCTTAGCTTCTTAGCCTGTCAGATGTTGACAATAGATGCAGTACTTGAGCCCCTTTATCATAACGTCATCATATCAAAGAAAAATTTTTATGAAAATTTATAAATTTTTATGAAAATAGTGAAATCTGTTTAGGATGAGAAAGATATAGTACTTCAGTTGCAGTTTGATTTGGAAATCAATAAACATAGACCAGGCCCTCATAAATAAGAATATAACTGGTTTATTGCTCATTTCAAAGCAATAGGCTATTTCATTATCTCTGTTTCCTTTACAGTCCATCAATATTATGGAACTAACTTTGCAGAAATATGGAAGTTATGAAAAATTTGAACAGGCTACTGGTGGTAGCCTGCTCTCTAAAACTCGAATCTGGAGTCACGTTAGGAAGTACATGATGAAAGAAGGCTGCATGGGTGAGGTATGAACCATGAGCAAACATGGGTATTTGACTGTTGACATTTTAACTCCCCACTGCCAGTTTCAGCAGGTTTTATACTCCTAACCCCATTTACTAATTTAGCCATCTGGACTTCCCACTATATAATATAAATTTAAATTTATATTGAATTGTTGTGTTCAATTTCTTTCTGTTTGTCTTCTTACTGCCGTGCTTATGTAGTTTATGAAATTAAGTGAATTGTTTTCTGAAAATTATTAATGAAGATACTTACCCCAATGACCTCTCTCATTAGTAGCTTGTGCCTAGGGTTCAGTTTCAAAACAAAATTTGGTCTATCAATGAAAAGGATGCAGGCTTCTGCACCTTCCTTTGTATCATTTTAGCAAGGGACTGTATATGAGAGCACAGTAGAGGAATAGTGTAAGTCCTCTGTGTCTTCCTCAGCATGGTATATATATTCCTTTCAATGCTCAGTTCCCAAAGGTTCAAAATTAGAAGGGTCAGAAATGATAGGGTCTGCTGTTTTTCTTCTTAGTTTCTGGGAGAGTCAAAGTGGTTGTAAGCAAAAGAAAATGTATTAATTTATTGGCCCATTGTTTCCTGAGAAAGCTTTTTCCTCATCTTTACATTTTGTTTTATTATATAAATATATATAAATGTGTGTGTGTGTGTGTGAGTCTGTATGTATTTTTACTCTTGTTCTTTAGATTGTAGTGCATCTCACTGAGGACCTACTTTCCCGAGCTTCAATGACAGTAGTAAATGGTTGTCCAACGCTAACCATCAATATTTCCACTGCACGTGAACACTGGCTGGAGGGAATGCTGAGGCATGAAATAGGTAGGGGCAACCCTTCTCCATTTGTTCAACTGTAATAACAGAAATTAGCTTCAAAGAAATCATCTCCTATAATAAGTCTTTTTTTTAGTAGTGCTTGGAAAAAGTTTTTAAGTTCTTAGCATCCACTTAAACTAAAGCTAAGATGTCTCATTTCAAATTAGATTTTGTCAGGGCACTTGAAAAGCCATTTAATTCCCTTGGATTTCAGTTCTCCCACTGATATCTGAGGGACTTAAGTAATTGCTGAGTTTTTTTTTTCAGATATCAAGTCTATGATTCTTCCCTTAAAAACAAATTACTATAAAAGTTATACTTAATAAGATGTGATCCTTTTGATGGCAGTCTAATAGACTTTAAGGGTAGGTATTTTCTCTATTTTGTTTTGATTTGTAGGCACACATTCATTTTGGTTTACGAGCTGTTGATGGAAGCTTCTTTTGGAGAAGAATTAAAACAAGAGTAGCATTTCTTATTTTCCATGTTACTCTTCTTTTCCATAGGCACACATTATTTTCGAGGTATTAACAATCTCCAGCAGCCATGGAACAGTTGGACTGGCCGTAAAAAACATGACCTAAAGCCAAACAATCCCACAGAGGAAGGACTGGCAAGTATTCACAGTGTCCTGTTTAGAAAAGACCCTTTTTTGTGGAGAGCTGCCCTCCTCTACTACACTGTTTATCAAGCCAGCCAAATGTCTTTTTGCGAACTCTTCAAAGATATTGGAAAATTTGTAAAGGATCCAAATACGAGATGGGATTATTGTGTACGAGCCAAGAGGGGATGGACTGATACTTCCCAGCCAGGTGTGTGTCCCTTACTGTAGGTTTTCTGACTTATTGGGTGATGTCTGTTGATTTGGGTTTTATTTTAATCTGCCTATCAGAATTCTCTCACCAATGAAAAATTAAACCATTGCTACTTAAGGTCAGTCCAAGTAACCACATTTGTTAGCATTATTCATTCCCATTTTGCTTTGAAAAATTTAAAGCCTGCAGAAATATGGAGTGATAGAATGAACACTCATATATCCTTCCTCTAGACTTACCAATGGTTAATATTTTGCCATTTTTGCTTTCTCTTTCTATGACTTTAGCAACTTTTATTTGGATATAATTCACATGCCATATAATTCACCCATTTAAAATGTACACTTTAGTGATTTTAGAACATACCATTGAGTTGTTCAATCATCACCACTAATTCCACAATGTTTTTATCATCCCAGAAAGAAGCCAGTACCCATTAGAAGCCCCCATTTCCCTTATTCCCACCTCTAAGCAACTATCTACTTTTACAGATTTGCCTACTTTGGATATTTTATACACTTGGAATCATATGATCCTTTGTAGATAACTTCTCTCACTTAGAATAATGTTTTTAAGGTTCATCCTTATTGTGTGACATGTATCAGTATTTCAGGCCTTTGTATTGCTTAGTAATACTACATTGCATGGGTATGTTACTTTTTTTAATCACTTGATACCATGGACAAGTGGTATCATACCATGGTTGTTTCTCCTTTTTGGCTGTTATGACTAATGTTGTTATGAACGCTTGTATAAGTTTGTTTTTAATTCTCTTGGATATATACTTATGACTGAAATTGTGGGGACACATGGTTAACAATGTTTTACCCTTTGAAGAATTGCCAAAATGTTTTCCATAGTGACGGTACCATTTTACATTCCCACCAGTAGTCTATGAGTTCCTGTTTCTTCTTAGTCTCACCAATACTTGCTGTTTTCTTCTTCTTTTTTAAAATTATTATTATAACCATTCCTAGTGGGTGTGAAGTGGTTTAATCTTATTTTGATTTTGATTTGCATTCCCTTGAAGACCAGTAATATTTGTAAATTTTCTTTGTCATTTGTAAATTTTCTTTAATATATTTGTAAAACAAATATTTGTGAAAATTTGTCTATTTAGAGACCCTTTGCCCATTTTTTGTGTTTTTGTCTTTTTATTAGTCTTAAAGAGTTTTTTTATATTCTAGATACAAATATATTGTCAGGTGTATTTACAAGGATTTACTCCCATTCTGGGTTGTCTTTTTACTTTTGTGATGGTATTCTCTAACTTTTTAAAAGTAAATTGTACAGGGCCTCCCCGGTGGCGCAGCGGTTGAGCACTGGGTTGCGAAGCTGCCCGCGGTGCCGGTTTGATCCCCGGCTGCTCCATGGCCACCGGAGGAGGGTCCCACATGGCGTGCAGACCTCTCCTGCCTCCCGCCACTCCCCTCAGCAGTGTACTTCGGTCCCTCTGCCTGCTCTGCTCCCCGCTCTGGCTCTGGTGAATTCTCTCACCCTCCAGCGCTTCTGACTGTACCCAGTGCATGTATAAACAAAACAAAGAAACAAACAAACAAATAAATAAATAAAACGCCTCTATTAAAAAAAAAAAAGTAAATTGTACACTTGACATTTTATTCCTGAAAACTTGAGATGCAATCCTAAGAATAAGGAAGGGTAAAATGTCGTTATTGCACATAAGAAAGTGAGCATTAATTCAGCATCTTGAACTAATTAATACATTTACCTTGTGTAGATTTTCTCAACTATTCTAAAAATGTCCTTTAGAGCTGTTACACCTAGACCCATCAGTTCACTCATTACTTTGGTAGTTAAGTCTGTTTAGCCTCTTTTAATATAGAGCAGTCTTACCTATCTTTTTTTATTTTTCATGGTTCTGACTTTTTAAGTCTATGCTTCTGTTCTTGTGGAGTGGCCACACTTTGAATGTTATTTTATTATTTGCCTGTAATTAGATTCAGGGTAAATATTTTTGACAACATACTAGCTAAGTGATAATGGATCACATCTAGAACCACCTAATGTGTCACCTTTAGAAAGGCTAAGTTTGGGGCCTCCCTGGTGGCACAAGGGGTTAAGACACAGCACTATGATGCTATCCACAGCCACTGCAGCATGAGTTTGATCCCTGGCCAGGGAGCTGCCCACTTGGCACAGCAGATCTCTCCTGACTCGCCCGCTGTTCCCCTCAACAGTGTATTTCAGTTAATCTGCCTATTCTGTTCCCCACTCTGTCTCTGGTGAATCCTCTCACACACAAACCTCCACACCTCTGGCCTGTACCCCAGTTCTTGTATGCATAAATAAATTAATTAAAAAAAAAAAGAAATGCTAAGTTTGATCCTTGCTTAAGGTGGATATTATGAGCTCTTAGCCTTGCATAAGTTCCTTTTACTTTCCCACTTTCTAATAATTGATGTTTGCAGTCATAGATACTGTGTGAATATCCTGTTTCATCTAGTGGTTTTATCATCCATCAGTGATTCTTGCCTAATCTATTAATTTCACTAAGGATTCCTAGCACATTATTACTGTTATCATTATTTTTTGTCTGAAGAAAATAGAGACATGGCATAAGAAAATGGCATACAGACAGTGCAGGCTGATCTTCACAAGCAGTTCTGATTCCAAGTAAATATGCTACTCTAACAGTTTAAAAGTTTTTGTCAGAAACTTTTGGACTTCGGGTTGCCCATAAAGTTTTGTTTTGTTTTTCACAACAATTAGCTTATAAGGTAGGCTATATAAAAATGCCTTTGAAAAAAGGATAATCATTAGGAAATGTTCACTTAAAAATCATTTTCTTTTTCAGATTAGTTTAATATATCAACACATTTTCTTCTAAAATTATTTTAAGCTATTTATTTGGAGATACTTAAACCTGAAATGGCCATGTCAGCTGTCCCATCTACATTTACATTTGGTCAACCTGATGGAGTTGTATGAAAGTATGGTGCTTAAGAGCCAGAACCAGAAAAGACAGGAAGCAGGGAAGAGGAAGACATATGTCCCTTGCTTTGCATGTAAAGCAAAGCAATCTCTAGGCTCAATTTCAGATGGACAATGTATCTACCATTTCCCATCTCTTTTTTAGATCCACTTGTCTACATTTCAATTCTTTGCCCAAATGCAGAGTTTTTGTGTTGCTCTTGACGCCCCACAAGGGCACACCATTTTTAGAGTAGTTTTTTTTTCTCTTTTACTTACTTAAAAAAATTATTGAAATTTTTAAATGAAAGAAGAGCCATTAACATGCTGAAACCTCAATACAGTACCCCACCTACCCTATCTTAGTAATTGTTAGCATTTTCTAACTGTTGTTCATCTATTCTCCCAAGTTCCTGTAGTATTTTAAAGCCAATTCCAGACATATTATCCTTTTTACTATGTGCATCAACATTCATCTCTACCTGGTGACAGTTTTTTTCATAATCCCCATGCTATTAGCATACCTAACAAGATGAACAATAATTTCTTAATGTTACTTTATATAGAATTTTCATCTATTTAATAGAGCTATATTTCAAAAATTTTTACAGTGGAAGAAAGATTTTCTCTTTTTTTTTTTTAAGAAGTCTTTTTTTTTTTTAAGATTTATTTATTTATTTATACAAGCACTGGGTATAGTCAGAAGCGCAGGAGGGTGAGAGAATTCACCAGAGCCAGAGCCAGAAACAGAACAGGCAGACTGACGAAGTACAATGCTGAGGGGAGCAGCGGACGCAGCAGGAGAGGTCTGCTGTGCCATGTGGGACCCTCCCCCGCGGCAGGGGATCGCAGGGGATCGAACAGGTGCTGCAGAGGCTGGGGGCAGCCTCGCAGCCCAGCGCTCAACCGCTGCGCCACCAGGGGAGGCCCAAGATTTTCTCTTTTAACCTAAGCTCAGATCTTGAGTTGCTCCTGCTATTCTTGTCTTCGTATATTTTTTTTCTATTTCTGAACCTACATAGAAAATCTGGTTCTAATTCTTGTTTTCATAGGAAGGGATAGTATAAAAATCACTTTAGCTATTTTTAATGTGGCAAGGGGCATTTTTTTTTTTTTAATTAGGAGTTTCTGAAATCCAGGGTTTCCACACTGGAAGAGACTTAAATGCTCCATAGCTATCCTGCCCTAGGCCTCTCTGTCCAGATACCCTCATTGCATTATGGAAGCTAAGGTTTTGATTGATTGGTGAGGGTGGGGAGAAGGGAAGGATTATTATTTATGGACTATATATTTTAAATTACCAGTATTTCTTTATAACTAAGATATAATGCTATGTAGTAAAGGAGTAGGGCCTCTGAAGGAATTATTAGAGGAGTTAGTCCGCACATTATCCTGCTATTTCCCAAAAAAAGTTATGAAAACAGTTAAACTAAATGTGGCAAATTTCAATTTTTTTGATTGAAAAGGTAAAGGTAATGGGTTAGTAAAGGTAATGGGTTAGTATCTGATTACTTAGTAATTTTTTTAAACATCAGAAGGTAAATGCTATTCTGGTCTCTCCAGGGTGTTTCAGTAAAGACCAGGTGTACCTGGATGGCATCCTGCAAATCCTCCGATACAGAGAGAGTATTGACTTTCCTCTGTTGACTGCCCTGGGGAAGGTGAGTAAAACCACTGACACATAGTCCCTAAGCTCACCAGGTCAGCATTTTATCCAGCTTGACTTCATGATTAAGACTTAAAGTTATGTGATAACAGGAGGGAGGAAATAATAAAAGTTTTTGTCAGAAAATTTTAGACTTTGGATTGCCCACAAAGTTTCATTTTGTTTTTCACAAGAATTAGCTTATAAGGAAGGCTAAATTGCAAGATTTCTTTGTGGATAAAAAGAAATAAAGATGAAAATAGGAAATTTGTGTGTGTGTGTGTGTGTAGTTTTATTTTTAAATGCATTATTTTCTAAAGTATTTTAAAGTAAACTATAGATATAACATACCCCCCTCAATACTTCAGCCTAAATATCCCCAAAATAAGGATTTTCTGTGACATGACCATTCGATTTTCTTAAAAATGTTCTCATTGATTCAGTGTAATATCTAAAACCAGTCCACTTTGTGTTTCCTAGATTGTCCTCAGTATGTCCTTTATACCACTTTTATGTGATTCAGGATCTAGTCAAGATTCACACCTTACATTTGGTTATAATGTTTAATCTATAACAGTTCCCTTCAATCCCCCAGTCTTTGTTTTTCATGACATTTTTAATGTCCAGAACAGTTTTCTTGAGAAGTCGTACAGTCTGGATTGTCAGATTGTTTCCTTATGATTAGATTCAGGTTAAACATGTTTGCCAAGAATACTACATAATTCAGTTGTGTTTTTTCTATTGTGTCACATTAGAAAGCGTGTAATGTCATTTTGTCTCATTATTGGTATGGTGTGTTTGATCACCTGGGTAAGTTAGTATCTACCAGGTATCTCCCTTGTAAAGGTACCTTTTCCCTATCAAGTTAATAGTAATCCATGGGTTTATACTTACTAATGTACAGTTCCTTAGCAATCTTTCAAGGAATGGCTTTAACAACCGTTTGCCAAAATCAGTTACTACATTTATGATAGCAATAGAGATCCTGGGATTCTGTTACATTTCACTTTCCCTTTTTTCAGTATTATTAAGAACTTTAAGTTTTTTATTCAACCCTTCCAGTGGTTATGCTTGCCTTTTCTAAAATATATCTCCATGTTTTCTGGCAAAGTAAAATATTCTGGTCTTATACTTTGCTACACAAATCTGAGATCAGCTATTTCTCCAAGAAAACCCAGATTCCTCTTAATGGGAAGTGGTATTTAGAGAAATAGATCTAAGTATTAGGTGTATTCATTTCTACTGGGGTGCTTTTGCTTCTAGGCCTATTGAATGATCACATCATATATATTTGTTTTAAATCATAAGAGCACTCTAATTTGAATTAGACACCACAAGACACTTTCAGACAGCCTGTCCCATTTTGTATTTGTACCTCCTCTTAAAGTGATAACTTGTTTCCCAATATCAGGATATTTATACACTCTGTTCTAATATAATCTTAGAATGGTTTAAAAATTACTAAACCCCACCAATATCAAAGCAAATCTATTTGTATTGCACTTAGGGGCATAAATACCTAATAAATTTTAATAATAACAAGAAATTTAATAAAATGCAAATATAATATGAACACGATTTATTTAAAATCTTCCTACTAAACCAGGAAGAATGTAGATCAGAAGACACTGGTATTTAAGGTCCCCACGCCTGCGACCTAGGCTTGCGGGGAGACGCGCGGAGGCCCTCACTGAGTGAGCAGGAACCAGGCGCCCAGGCACGGGAGCGGGATTCAAAAGGCACCATTCCCGCACCACTGAACTGGGCTGAAGCCCGCGACCTGGAACCGAGGGCTTTGGACCTGAGACCCGGGGCACGAAATTAGGGGCGTGGGTTCCCCACAACGGTGGGGCACAAGGCAGACACAGCACCCCAAAGCCGTTGAGGTTTACCCTACCATTCCTGCTCTGTTCCCTGTCCCACGGGGTGGAAAATCAGCTCCCCAAGGGCTCTAAGAGAGATCTCTGGCGCCACCTAGTGACTTGAAACCAGCAGAGGCTCCTGGAGGAGCCAGTGGCCAGCTGGGGAGTTAGCCCACGCCGGGCCCCTTCCGACCAGTAGTCTGAGCCCACAGGGAGAGCGAGCACCCACAGCCGGGGCAGACCAGGCGCGCAGAAGAGTGTGCCTGAGACCGGACGCGCAGGGAGTGTGTCCCACATCACCATTTTAGAACAGGGACATTTCTTCAGTAAAGACTACCTGCAGAAGGCTTCCTCAGGAGCCAGAGGTGAGCAGGGGAAGTTCACCCACGCCAGACCCCCTCTGGCCTGCAGTCCAAGCCCAGAGGGGGAGCAGGAACCCACCACCGGGGCAGACCAGGCGCACAGGGGAGTGTGTCCCCATATCGGCATTTTAGAACAGGGACCTTTCTCCAGTAAAGACTGCTTGAAACTGACAGATGGCTCCTGGAGGAACCAGAGGGGAGCAGAGAAGCTCACCCAAGATGCCGGCCAGTCCCAACAACACAGTGTCCCAACGCATACGGCAAATTAGAAAACAGACAGTAGGGAGTAGAAGAACCACACGCAACCTAGCAACTCCCCAGGGAAAAAGCACACCACAAAAAGAAAACCAGCCCCCAGATTGCAATGACAGTAACTTGGAAGAACTTCTGAGCCTTCCAGAAAGAGAATTTAAAATTGCCGTGATTAAAAAACTGACAGAAGTCATAAAGGAAAACAATGATAAGGGAAAAATAATCAACGATCAGAAGAATGAAATTGAGTCCCTAAAGAGGGAAAACAATGGTCAGAAGAATGAAATTGAGTCCCTAAAGAGGGAAGTAAAAGAAATGCAGGAGATCAAAGAATTAATGGAAGAACTAAAGAATTCTGGGAAAAGCAATGAAAGCAGAATAGATGAAATGGAAGAACGAATAAGTTCTCTTGAAGACACAGAAATAAAAAGAACCAAAACAGAAAAGGAAAGAGAAGTACGAAGGAAAAAGAACGAAGAAAGACTTTGGGAACTATCTGACTCCATGAGGAAAGGAAATATAAGAGTTATAGGAATACCAGAAGGAGAGGAGAGAGATGCAGGGACAGAGAAAATATTCAAAGAGATAATTGAAGAGAACTTCCCAAATGTGAAGAAGGAGCTGAAAATTGATATACAAGAAGCAAGAAGAACACCAAACTTCCACGACGAAAGGAAAAATACAGCAAGACACATAATAGTAAAGCTCCCAAGAATCCAGGACAAGGAAAAAATAATGAAGCTGGCAAGAGGGAAGAAACAGATAACATTCAAAGGAAAGCCAATCAGGCTGACATCAGACTTCTCCGAAGAAACACTACGGGCAAGGAGAGAGTGGAGGGACATAGTCAACAGACTCCAAGAAAACAGATGCCAACCAAGAATACTCTATCCCGCAAAGCTCTCCTTCCTCTTTGAAGAAAGAATATGGACCTTCCCAGACAAAGAGAAACTCCGGAATTTCATTACAACTAAACCCCCACTCCAAAAAATACTACAAGGAGTCCTAAAGCCAGAACCGCAGAGGGACGAATAACAATGAAAGAAGGCCAAAAAAAAAAAAAGTTATTAAAAGAATAAATAAATAAAATCAAAGGAAAGACAAACACAATGGCAAATACAGATGCTAACATATCAATATTAACTCTAAATGTAAATGGACTAAACTCTTCAATAAAAAGACACAGAGTTGAAGGCTGGATTAAGAAACAAAACCCAACCTTTTGCTGTCTCCAGGAAACACATTTAGCTATAAAAGATAAAAATAGGCTCAAAGTTAAAGGATGGAAAACAATCCTACAAGCAAATGGACCAAAAAAGAAAGCAGGAACAGCTATACTTATATCAGATAAAACAGATTTCAAACTCAAAAAGATAAAAAGAGACCCCAATGGTCACTACATTATGATCAAGGGGACAATACTTCAAGAAGAAATAACACTCATTAACATATACTCACCAAACAAAGGAGCACCAAAATATATCAGACAACTGTTGTCCTCTCTGAAAACAGACATCAGAGAAAACACATATGTAGTGGGAGACTTCAACACACCACTATCAACAATGGATAGATCAACAAGATAAAAAATAAGTAAAGAAACCAAAGCTCTAAATAAGGACCTAGAGCAATTGGGCTTAACAGACATCTATAGAACACTAAACCCCAAAAAAACGGAGTACACATTTTTCTCAAGCGCACACGGATCATTCTCCAGGATCGATCACATACTGGGGCACAAGACAAACATCAACAGATACACCAAGATTGAAATCATATCAACCATCTTTTCTGACCATGAAGGCATCAAACTAGAAATAAACCATAAAAAGAAGGCAAGGAACTTTTCTACCTCATGGAGATTAAAAACCACACTACTGGAAGACCACTGGACTAATGAGGAGATCAAAGAAGAAATTAAAAAATTCTTTGAATTGAACGACAAGGAGGACACCAATATCCTAAATGTATGGGATGCAGCAAAAGCAGTAATAAGAGGAAAATATATAGCAATAGAAGCTCACATCAAGAAACAAGAAAGAACTCAAAGAAACAACCTAATCTCGAAGCTCAAAGATATAGAAAAAGAACAACAAAAAACCCCCAAAACCCTTAGAAGAAAAGAAATAATAAAAACCAAAGCAGAAATAAATGAAATTGAAACTAAAAAAACAATCCAAAAGATCAATGAAACCAAGAGCTGGTTCTTTGAAAAAATCAATAAAATAGACAAACCCCTAGCCAGGCTCACAAAGGAAAAAAGGGAGAAAGCACAAATAAACAGGATCATCAATGAAAGAGGAGAAATCACAACGGACACAGCAGAAATCAAAAGAATAATCAGTAACTACTACGAACAGTTATATGGAAACAAGTTTAACAATCTAGAGGAGATGGACAAATTCCTACAATTCTACAATCACCCAAAGCTAGATAAAGAAGAAATAGAACACCTAAACAGACCAATTACAAGCAGCGAAATTGAAATGGTAATCAAAAACCTCCCCAAAAACAAAAGCCCAGGACCTGATGGATTTACAAATGAATTCTACCAAACATTCAGAGACGAATTAGTGCCTATCCTTCACAAACTCTTCCAAAAAATTGAGAAGGAAGGGACAATACCAAACACGTTCTATGAAGCCAACATTACACTAATACCAAAACCAAACAGGGACAACACAAAAAAGGAAAACTACAGGCCAATCTCCCTAATGAACACTGATGCAAAAATCCTCAATAAAATTTTAGCTATCAGAATCCAACAATGTATCCATAAGATAATTCACCACGACCAAGTAGGATTCATTCCAGGGACACAAGGATGGTTTAACATCCGAAAATCAATCAGCGTTATCCAACACATCAACAAAAAGAAATATAAAAACCATATGATAATATCAATAGAAGCTGAGAAAGCTTTCGACAACGTGCAACACCCATTCATGATAAAAGCCCTTGAAATTCTTGGGATACAAGGAACATACCTCAACACCATAAAGGCCATCTATGACAAGCCAACAGCCAGTATCATTCTCAATGGTGAAAAGCTGAAAGCAATTCCATTAAGATCTGGAACAAGACAAGGATGTCCACTCTCACCACTGCTTTTCAATATAATACTGGAAGTCCTAGCCAGAGCAATAAGACAGAGAAAGACATCCAAGGAATCCAAATAGGAAAAGAAGAAGTCAAACTATCACTATTTGCAGATGATATGATAATATACATAGAGAACCCCAAAAACTCCACAGAAAAACTAATTCAACTCATCAATCAGTTCAGTAAAGTGGCAGGATACAAAATCAACATGCAAAAGTCAGTAGCCTTCCTATACACAAACAATAAATCTGAAGAAGAAGAAATCAAAAAAAACCATACCTTTTTTTATTGAAACAAAAAAAATCAAATATTTGGGAATAAATCTAACAAAAGAGGTAAAGGACCTATACAAAGAAAACTATAAAACACTGTTAAAAGAAATAGAAGAAGACACAAAGAAATGGAAAGACATCCCCTGCTCATGGATTGGAAGAATAAACATTATTAAAATGGCCATCCTTCCAAAAGCAATATACAGATTCAATGCTATTCCAATAAAAATTTCAATGTCATTCTTCAAAGAAATAGAACAATTATTGATGAAATTCATATGGAATCACAAAAAACCCCAAATAGCCAAAGCTCTCCTGAAAAAAAAAAAGAAGGGAATGGAGGCATCACACTCCCAGACTTCAAACTATACTACAAAGCCATAATCATCAAAACTGCATGGTATTGGAACAAGAACAGACATACAGACCAATGGAATCGAATAGAAAATCCAGAAATAAACCCACAGATTTATGGTCAACTAATCTTTGACAAAGGAGCAAAGACTATGCATTGGAGCAAAGAAAGTTTGTTCAATAAATGGTGCCTGGAAAACTGGGTCGCTACATGCAAAAGAATGAAGCTTGACCACTACCTCACACCATACACAAAAATCAACTCAAAATGGATTAAAGAACTAGACATAAGACCTGAAACCATAAAATATATAGAAGGAAATATAGGCGAAACACTACGTGATTTGCACATCAAAGACATCTTTACAGACACATCACCCAAAGCAGTGATAGTGAAGGCAAAGATCAACAGCTGGGACTACATCAAATTAAAGAGCTTCTGCACAGCAAAAGAGACAATAACAAAAACAAAGAGAAACCCCACCAACTGGGAGAACATTTTTGCACCCAACGCTAATGATAAAGGACTGATCACAAAAATCTGCAAAGAGCTGATGAGACTCAACAACAAAGAAAATAATCCAGTCAAAAAATGGGCAGAAGAGCTAAAAAGAAACTTCTCTGAAGAGGAAATGCAAATGGCCAACAGACATATGAAAAAATGTTCAACATCACTTGTCATCAGGGAAATGCAAATCAAAACTACCATGAGATACCATCTTACACCAGTGAGAATGGCACATATTAAAAAAACTAGCAACAACAAATGTTGGCGAGGATGTGGAGAAAAAGGAACTCTCCTGCACTGCTGGTGGGAGTGCAAACTGGTCCAACCACTGTGGAGAGCTGTGTGGAGATTTCTGGACCTACTAAACATAGAGCTTCCATATGATCCAGCAATTCCACTCCTAGGTATTTACCCAAAGGACACAGAAACATCAATTCCAAAGAGCACCCGCACCCCTATGTTTAGAGCAGCACTGTTTACAATAGCTAAGCTTTGGAAACAACCCAAATGCCCAAAAATAGATGACTGGATCAAGAAGATGTGGTACATATATACCATGGAATATTACTCAGCATTCAAAAAAGATAAACACATGCAATTTGCAGCAACATGGATGGCTCTGGAAGGGATCATGCTCAGCGAAATAAGCCAAAAAGAAAAAGAAAAATACCCGATGGTCTCACTCATAGCAGGAATCTAGAAAACTTAAATAAGGGACCAGGAAAATGAATAACTATAAGAAAGTGAAAATCAAAATCAACAAAAAACTATGAACCAGAGACACCTTTAGGGGGGCGGGGCGGGAGGGGAGGGATTGGGGTCAGAATGGGGGGGCTGCAATTGTATGGGGAATATAAAAATAAAATTTATTATTTAAAAAAAAAAAAGTTTGTGACTTACTAAAAAAAAAAAAAAAAATAAGAAGACACGGTATTTAAATTCAGCCATGTTTTGAAATTTAAAATTGCAAAGATATTTTATAGGACTTAAAAAATTTTGCCCCTAAAATTAATATGGATACATATGAAAGATTAACCCCTAACACAGAAAAATAAAAGATGTAAAATTTTTCTAAGTATGGAAATTCAAAATAAAAACAAGAAAATTTAACAGAAAGCACAAATCATTATATTTCTTAAATATAAGCAGAAATCCAGTATACAATTGTGCTTATTTTCCTGGTGTAAAAATATGCTATTTATTTCCTGGCTGTTTTCTCAATTCTTTTATGTAGATTTAGTCAGTAGGTCTGTTTAGGTTTAGAGTCTCTCACACAAATATATTGCTTAGTTGTATAATTTCTAACCCTGAATTGCATAATTTCAAACACAAAGGTAGTGTTAAGTCAAATATTGACTTTTTTTGTTTTTTGTTTTTAAAGACTGCCTGTATTTATTATTGTTATTATTATTGTTGTTGTGGTTATTATTATTACATATTCTTTACATCATTCTAAAGTGATGGTGGGAATTTCACAGGGACAATAACTGAAATGAGAAAGCATACATTGTAAAAAAGAAATACTGACTTTTTACCTTTTTTTGGTCATGATAAAAGGGAACAGGTAAATTCATTCTTATTTTATACAGTAAAGAAAAGGAAGCCACTGATTTTGTTATAAAATTTGAAAACAGTCTGCATAAAGTTTCACTTAAGACTGCAGGGAAGAAGTTGCTCTTCAAAATGTGACTTGTAGTTATACTTTATTAGATGAACCTTCTTCCTTTTTTCAGGTTTCTTATGAAGATGTGGATCGTCTGAAAGGATTGGCAGTTATTGAAAACATGAGGGTTCCCCACTTCTTGCAGGACCATGACCGATACATGGAACATTTGGAGAAGATTATGGAAGTGAATGAACTGACAGATAGGGAACTGAAAGATCTTATATGTTAATTAGCATTCTTGCCAACATAGCTGAGTTATTCCTCTATGTATATTACCAATTAGGTGCAGTTAGCACCAACAAATTTATAAAAGAAAAATGACTTAGTTTACTTGAGTTTTCTCAAAAATGGTCTGCAATATGCAATTGAAATTTTAGGTTTAAAATTTGGTAATGTTTCTGTAGGCTACAGGAGAAAGTTAGTCTTATTTTCATCTGAATCTCAACTGTCAGATGAAAATACTACTGATGAGTGTTTTTGAAGAATCTTGGTCAAATTGAGCAATAAGTTTCTACCTGAACAGTAAATGCTGGTCTTAGGGCTTCTGCTTTAGCACCAAGAATACTTGTGAGTAGAGATTGACTTCCAGTATTGTTCACACTCCAGGGCTACATTTTGTTTGACAAATAGCAATTATTCTCCTTTGAAAAGTTACTTTTATTATATCCCAAAAAGCTAGTTCTATGTAATATTTCTTATTTCTGCTAAGCGATGCTTAAGAGGGGAGAAGTATTTTTAAAAGTTTTCATTAGTTCTTTATTTTACATATTATCATTTCACCTTATCAGCTTCTAGGTGCTAAAATTAGAGAATTACCTCAGTTTCCCTTATTATCTCTTATCTCTGTTTTCATATGCTGAAAGTTATTATACACCTTCAAAAAATTTTTTAATTTTTATTTTTTTAACACCTTCAAAATTTTAACCAAATTTTCTTAGGATCTTTCTCACTACATTCTTTTATATAAATAATAAATTCAAGTTCCAGAGAGGTTTGTCTACAGAAATGAAAATAGTTGTGTAAGAGAGAAGGTACTCATCTTTTTATTAAGTAAAGCTACTAGTAAGGGACAAATAGACTGATCACATAGGAGCTAGATGTTGACTGGACAGTGTCTATGGTAAATTTGACCATGGTTTGAAAAGTGGAATTTCTGAATGTTGTCATTTGATAAATTGATTTTATGATGCTGCCTCGGTGTATTTTATCAAAATTTCATCATCCTATTAATGACATCATTTGAACTTACTTTTGAAGTTACATTTTTTCTGCTAAAAGTAATATATCTAGCTCTGTAATGTATCAATGTTGATATATCCTTGGAGATACACACACACACACACACACACACACACAGGATCAAATGGCTCCTCAAACAACTAATTTGAATGATCAGAAACAATACTGGTGTAGTAAACACCATTTAAAACGCTGCTGTGATTACTACCCAAAGCTATTTGAGACTTTTTCTTTACCTCAATTCAGACTGAAATATGGTGCTAACACTGTTAGATGTATACTGCAAAGCCACATTTATGCTAGAAAATATTTTAGAAAATCTTTGCAAGCTATGTAATTCCTCTCTTTCAAATACCTAGAATGTTGCAGCAAATAGGATATACAATTAGAAGCTTGGTGGTTCTTGCTTCTAGAACTACTTCCATCTCAACGTTGGCAGTAGCAAGTCAGACCTTTTGCAACATTTAAAACGCCCACATACGTGTTTGACAGCTTGGAGTGTGGCCTGCACGTTCTATGCAGGGTTGGGGGCCCAGTGTGCCAATGCTAACCAGACATGGGAAAACCACCCTTTACTCCTCAAACATTATTTCCTTGTAGCAGAGTCATGCAGTTTCAGCTTTGTCTAGTGTTTTCTGACTTCATCTTTAAACTTATCAGAGTGTGATTATGAAAATGGTGTCTTATTAACTGGAACGAAAAAGTATAGACAGAGATAGCAAACTTTATGTCTTGTAATTTAAGCTCAAATAACTGTAAATTCAACATTTGTAGGCAATAACACCATTGATCTTTTACATTATAGTTTAAATATAAAGGAAAATCACAACAGCCTTAATTTCCTACTGGAAGGATTATTTGCAGTGGTTCTAGTCCCTTAACTAAAGAATTCTTGCCTTACTTCTTTGGTATAAAGATAAAAACACGAGTACTATCTAGACAAAAAATGAACTTAAATCACATTGATTGTCTTAAGCTACTTTAAAAGTTAGCAATGAACCAAAAATTATTTCAGATTAGCATAAATACTTGAAGAGCTCTAATCTTTAAAAGTTCGTATTGAAGATTAATGTTTATTCTCTCTCTGGAAATAGCATTAAGGTCAATTTTGTTCTGTAAAATAAAAATTTCAATAAATAGAAAATTATAATAATAGTACTTGGAAGAATAGTTGAAGATCATATTAATTTTCATTATAATAATTACATGCTATGTAGGATATTGAGGATTAGAATTTCATCAGTTTTGTAATTTTTAACATATGGTTGTTTATCAGATAAAAATTCTCACACTTAGGTCTTCACATGAGAGAGGACTTAAAAGTAATATTTGTAAACATAAATCCATAGTCTTCATGTCTTTATATTTTCACTTTTGTAAAAATATTTAAAATTTGTATTGTTTTGTATGTATTTGGGTATTTTATGTCTAGCTATAATAGAAGTAAATAGTACTGAAGTTCTCAAATGAAATATGTAGATATGTATGCATGCAAAATTCTATTCTTTGAAAATCTAATTATATTTTTATTGTGTTACTGCTTGCTTTTTATTGTGTGATAATTATTGAAAGGACCACATGCACATTCTTCTAGAGAAATAACTACATTTACCACACTTCACCTTTCTTCTAAATAGTTCAGCTTATACTATCATGGGCCATAGGGCAAACAGAAAGAGAGAGAGATGATTTTGTTTTTATTTACTTTGTTCATTCCATAAATACTTAATCAGAATCTGTTGAAGAAGAGGATCTATGCTGAGCACCAACAATCCTCTGATGAGGAAGATAAGAACTGAAATCATAGTCCAGTGGGAAATAGTGTTACAGAACCAGGTTACAGCATGGCCAGTCCCATTCCCAGAGAGAGCTATCAAAGAAACATAAACTTGTTCAAATATGCCCACATATTTGAAGCAGAAAGAGCTAGATCAATTGCAACATGGTGAGCTTCACAGTATTTTATTACCATTCTTTTTGAGGCTTGTCTGAAAACTGAGCAACTTTAGTCAGGAGCAGTAGTAGACCATGAATGCAGCTGTTTGGGTTGTCAGAAGCCTGGAGAGAATCCCTTGAGACCTATAGCAGGTGCTCGAAGGAACCACCATTTTATAAGAATTCAAAGTTTTGCTGGACTGTGAAAGCCTTGTCAGCAGGTTATGATTTCATTCATTTTTGTTCACTCTGATTCCAACAGCTAAAGGAATTAATGCCGGGATGTGAAAAACTAATGTTTGTCAGCTAGCTATGGGAGAACTTTTGAAATATGTTTAATTTCAAGTACACAGAGGGAGGGCCATGTGAAGAGGACACGAGGGTGGCCATCTGCAAGCCAAGGAGAGGCCTGGAATAGATCCTTTCTTTCTGACCCTCAGGAGAAATCAAGCCTGCCAACATCTTGATCTTGGATTTCTGGCCTTAAGAACTATAAGCAATTAGACCTGGGGAAAAAGAGGACGAAGCAAAGAGAGAGTAGAAATTTGAACACAAAGAAGGGATTACTTAGCATTTGTTTCTTTCCAGCCATCCAGTTATCCTAATCAAAGACAACCAACTTCAGAGAGATGTTAGCAACATGACCAACTAAAATACCCCTCATCCAGCTTTCTCAATCTGACTGACATTCATAAAATGTTTTTCATAAAAATGTTTTTGTGGAAGCTTTGGGATCTAGCATCTTATGCCAAGGGAACACATCTTATGTCTTGCCCACCCATGCATCAGGTAATAGGAATACAGAGCTAGGTCACAGCTTGGACTTTGTAGTAGCCCATGAACTGATTACATCCCCCCTCTGCCTCAGTTCAGGGAACCCTGGAAAACACTTAGTCACCCTTGGACAAAAGAGCCTTTGTGGAAGTCCAGGTTTGCAGCAGAGAGGTTCCAACACACCATTTTAACTATAAAAAAAAATGTAAGTTCAGTCTAACTTTGCCTTCCCCCAGGATGGTACATCTTAGGACCCAGAAAGATCTCAGCCCAGCATTTCTCCCATGGGAAATACTGAGTGCAGCTTCCCCAGCTTTGTAGGAAGCTGCCAAAACTCAATTTCTCTCAATTCAGGGTATTGAATTGTGTGTTGCATGACTGGGAAGTGGGAAGAGGCTGGAAAAGAAGCAGATAGGATTCTCAGAGGAGCATTAAAGGGACATACAAGTTACTATGTCACAGATTCCTTCAGGAAGTCTCTGGCCAATACCTTAGCCACGGATATCCCCAACTGACTCATGGGCACACCCAGCTCTGCATGTACCTTAGCATAATTCCCTCCAGATCCATCCAGAATACCCCAAATGGCAATACTTTATCTTTTTCTATATAGCTAAGTAGGGTTCCATCATGTATATATCAGTGATGGACGACATGTAAGACAGTGGTCCCAAAAGACTAGATCAATAGTCTACATTATATGACCTAAAAGAGTATTAGGCTATACCATTTAGGTTTGTGTAATTGCATTCTATGAAGATCATTCAAAGACAAAACTGTTTAGCACGCTTGTCAGAATGTCTCTCCATCATTAAGTGGCACATGACTGTATACCACCTCTTTATTCATTCATCCATCCATGGGCACTTACGTTGTTTCTGCATCTTGACTATTATAAATGAAGGGGTGTATATAAGATATGAATTCTTAAAGTTACAATGGTTCTTTAAAAAAACTGAAGGAATGGTAATTATGTTTCGGTTTAATTTGGCAGTAATTTCAAGAGATGGTGGCGCTCTGGAAATTTTTATTTTTCCAACATGAGAGAAACCAGAAAAAAATCATAACACGATATATATTAAATTCTTAAGAGCAGCAAATATGTGATGACCTAATGTATAAATATCTCACATTTAGACAATATATATTTGCTTCTCTTTTAAAAATAATGTCGGTTCATACTTACAGTATTTCCTAGATAATTACTGTATTATCTCCAAGCACATTAAGTAGATTGGATCCTAGAGATAAAATAACCTACCTTGATTTAAGAAAATAATAATTATGTCTTCGATTGGAATATCTAGATCTACCTGAGTTATTCAAGCACCAGCAGAAGTTCCAGTGAATTTCTGGATGCCACACTGAAACTCTCCACTAGGGGGACAGCTAGGTTTTCTTTTTTTCCTCTCTCCCCTCTTTCTCCCTTTTAATATTTTATTTTAGGCTGGAGGTCCTATAGATGACTAGTTAATCTTACTATTGATTGCTGGAGCTAAATCTAAACATAAACTGATTTTAGGCAAGCATATCCCTTCTACAAAAGATTTGCATATTACTTTAAAGAGCTCCAGTGAAGGAGTTATTGAAGTCTCCTGAAGGCCTGTTCTAATGTTTTCCCTTCTGCCCAATTTAACTCTCTTACTTACAAGTTTATCATAAAATTCCTTGAGATGAATTTGGATGAAAAGCACTATTTACACTCTGTGTATAAATATATATTATATATGTATATTACTGTTAGTTGGAGTCTTGAGAGAGATCTTCAAAATATTTTCAATGTGTCTATTTGAAATAAACAATATCTTGATTTGTTGTTGCAATTTGAAATGTAGATACTACTTAATTTCATCACAACTTCCTAGCATAATTACCTTGATACCGCTCAGTAAAACCAGTTTTGTTTTTTCTGTTAGAGAAATGAAAGAGAAGGAGATATTGGGAAAGATAACAGAACCCATGGACAAAGAGAATTTTTAACTTGACAGCAAACAATGGCCCATACACTGAGCTCCCCATTGTTTCTGGGTCACAAACAAGGCTAGGGAATTCTTGATTTCTAATATCAAGCCCCACCTGGCTCTGATATACAACAGCATTGTGGGACCTTCAGGTCTTCTGTCCCAGAACCAAGATTCCCAATAACAATGCTGACTTTAGATCCCTTACGCTTCCAGGCTGTCATCAAATAAAACACTGAGAATTACATGAAGACATATCTCCTCACTTCAAACCCCCAGTAAATGTCACTTCCAGCCCCAGGTAAATAGACCTCTGATAACCTGGGATTCCTGAGGTCCTTTGGGCAAATATCCAAGATGTTCAGGGTTAGGTAATCAACTAGATTTGTCAGGGACAATACTAGGCTTTGAGAAGGAGGACATACTATATTTTGAGGATGAGAACTGGCTTCCAGGGATAATCTGAAAGGTCCTGTGAAGGCCTGTTGGTCTGAGGGTTCTAAGCGATCATTCTTCCCGGCACCCTTCCACTCACAGGCCATAGGAGAGAAATGCTCCTTGTCACCAGGCCATAGGAGAGAAATATGAAAAAAATCATATTTTAGAAAGTTCTCTGGACCATTGGACTTAGATAAGCAAATGATAAAGAATCATCTTTGGAAAAATTCAGAAGAAATGTTCAAAAAAATTCCTAGAGCTCCAGATAGTAAGGATTTACTCAACATCAGCTTTGAACACTGGCCTTGCACTTAGTGATTCAAGTAATGAAAAGATTGAAGTAATGAAAAGATTGCTTTCAGTCTATCATCTCTATTAGAGCAGCACAAACGAGGGCTCTTAATAAGGCAACAGTAACAATGCTGCTGCCCTTGGTCAACTTCACTGTTTCCGCTCCCTTGTGATCTCATACCCAGGGCGCAGGAGCTGTTCTCCCTGCTGAAGGAATGAATCACTGACCTGGTCATGAAATTCACACTTGAATAAAATACCATATTTTGTCTTGATGATTTGGTCACCCCCATTTCCATCCTCCTTAGTATTATTTATAGCAGGTTCAGTCCAATTTCTAGTCTGTTTAAATGAAATTCTCTTCCCCACCCCAGGACTCAACACAGGTACTTCTTAAATAATCTCACTGATTTTCTGGATCACTGGCAGAACTTTGTCAGAGTTCCATCATCAGACTGGGTTAGTGCTTAGAAAGTTGCATGCCAGAAAACTCCCAGGGAGAAAGGGAGGTATAGCTCAACACTGATAATCTCTTTTAAAGCACACAACTTGGTGCCCTGTTGGTGAAAAGGTAAAGTCATCCCTGGTTTAAAAAAAAAAAAAAAAAATGCCACTCAATTCTCAAAGAAGGTAGAGACTATCACAGGATCCAGAGTGGGCTGGGCCAAGCAATCAGATGCGCTCCTTCAGTTTCTGACTCACTTTTGTCCAACGCAGCTAGCACTTATGCCATCACATCAAAGGCCAGCCAACTGCAAGCACTCATCACAGGAACCAAGTCCCTATTGCTCCTCACCCCCAACATAATCACTGAACTAGACCACTTGCCACAATTGAAGTCGGCAGGACATGTAGGCCAGTCCATGTCTCACTGTTAGGGGGAAAAGGATGTCCCAAAGCTATTTCCATATAGGCTTTGTAGACTCCACCCCCACCCCAGGTCAAAGCCAAAGACACTGGGAACTCCAAATCCCATCACCACCAAAGGGAAGGTGACTGGGATCTGAGGGTGGGGTTAAGCAGCCAGGTGGATAGAAAAGGCAGACACGTGGGCTTTGGGGGACCCCATTTTGGGCTCTCCACCAGCTGCAGCGTCCCGCCAGCTCTGAGCGTGACTTTGGGTTTCCAGGTCGTCGGATCGGGTAGGACGCATTAAAGACTTTATTTCCCTATTTTCTCCCTGAGTTGTACATTTTCCTTATTTCCTTTCCTCTTGTAAATAAACCTTTTATTAACCTTTTTGTGTGTGTGTGTAGTAGAGTATTTATTAAGTCCCTTTAAAGCGCGCGGTTGAGGACCCACAGCCAGGAACCCGTTTAATATCGGGGTTGCTCTATAACATCACCACTGACTATTGACTGAACTTGGCTGGCCAACACAATTAGGTATTCCCAGACCCAAAAGCGGAAATGAAGTCTGCCTTAAGCAGTTTGACATCCAAATACAGAAAAGGCAAGCAGGTGGGTAGTTCCTTCTGAGCCTTTTCTCTCTTTTTCCTTCTAGGTCACCTGGCAGGAGGGCGGCAGTGAGCCACCTCCACACAAAGAGACAGGCGGCTCTCCCACCACAAAGACATGCTCTCTTTTCTTGCCCCTCTCTTCAGCAGACATTTGAACTTCATTGTATTCACAGACCTGAAGTTTCCATGTTGAAAGCCCAACATGGGGCCTCCCCGGTGGCGCAGCGGTTGAGCGCTGGGTTGCGAAGCTGCCCGCAGCCTCTGCGGCGCCGGTTCCATCCCCGGCTGCTCCCCGGCCACCGGAGGAGGGTCCCGCATGGCGCGCAGACCTCTCCTGCCACCCGCTGCTCCCCTCAGCAGTGTACTTCAGTCCTTCTGCCTGCTCTGCTCCCCGCTCTGGCGAATCCGCTCACCCTCCCGCGCTTCTGACTGTACCCAATGCTTGTATAAATCAATAAATAAAATCTTAAAAAAAAAAAAAAAGCCCAACATGGCCACCAGGCACCCAGATGCCACAGGGGACCCCAGACAGCACCTCACCTCTGCCTTTGAAGCTCGTCCTTGCTGGTCCATGGGTCAGTGGCCTGCAATGGTTAGGGGGCCTGGCCACCCCTGACTCGTTGCCATCTCTTCTTTTTGGTCTATGTGCTTCTGGGGCAAGACCAACTCCCAGGTCTGCCTGAGCTACAAAGCCTCCCAAGCAGCTTCCAGAAAGCAAGGAGCCAGGCGAAAAAGTCTGGGGCCAGTCTCTTTTGCATTAACTCCGCCTGCCTTTGTTGAGGTTACTGGCTTCCGACATCTTCCTTATCTAATCGTTTTGCCCTGGGCCAATAGCACTGCTTAGCACAGTAAACCCCAGTTGTAATTCTCCCCATCCCCAAACAATAGTCATTTAATTAAATAATTCAGCCTAATGGAAGTCAGTTGTGCACTTAGGCGAGTCCTCTCCAATCATTGTTAATGGGGGTTTGGCTTGATAAATAAACACCATTAGGCAGACCTGAAACAAAGGCACTAGGCAACACCCACCATATGCAGTTTGACCCTCAAGTTAGGGTTGCCCCCACCCTAACTGGTGGCTTCTTTTATGCCCAGTAAACTCTGCCTTAAGGTACTGTAGGCACTTTGTTTTTAGGCACTTGGCATAATTTTAAGCAGTGTTTTCATCTCCCTGCTCCCCCACACCATTTGGGCTGTGACATCTGAATCTTCATGGTGTGGGTTCACACAGAAGCATCTCCCTGTGCTTGGCCCGGTGCTTCACACACTGCATCTGTGTCACCACGGTCATTGCTCAGAGTACATGGCAGCTAGGATTCAATAGGATTGTCCAGACAGAAGGAAACCCCATTTCTGTGACACATAATGCCATTTCTTTTCTTTTCTTTTTTTTTTTTTTTTGTGGGACCCTCGCCAGCGGCTGGGGAATGAACCCAGCGCTGCAGAGGCTGCCGGCAGCCTCGCAGCCCAGCGCTCAACCACTGAGCCACCAGGGGAGGCCCCATAATGCCATTTCTTGATGCCATCTTGCCTGGCACCAATTGCTGTCCTGTCTTATCACCGACTGAAAACTCCCCAAGACCTTCCAATCACCATACACTCCTGTCATCCTCTACAAGAAGGTTGGCCACCATGGGAGATGATGGTATTGATGACAATGTTTCATTTAATATTTCCTTAAATTTTTTATGACAAGGTAGGTAGAAATAGCTCCTTATTATCCAGATAAGGAAATGGAGGCTCAGGAAAGATCAGGTAACTTGCCTAAAGTCACACCAATTGTAATTTCCACATGAGTCTAAACAGGAGCCTAGGCCCATATCACCCTTACAGCTAAGCTCTCTGTCCCACCCATGACTTCCTTACCTTCCTCCCACTAGTACAAACTTGCTGGGGCCACAAGTCCTACTCCCCAGGGATGTATCCATGTCAGAAGAGGAGCTCTGCTCCTCACATGCAGATCCTGCAGTTTGGAACCACAAGTGGGAGTGAAGACTTTGGCCTTGGATCCCTGCGGAGACCCTCCTTCCTCCCCTGTAGAAAGCTCCTCCACCTCTAAACCCTGCGCCTGCCTCGGGGGACCTTAGGATGCGTCCTTGCAGACCTCTCAGGGAGGCACGCAGCCCAGTGGGTGGAGATGGGCTCTTTTCTGAGGGACAAATATCCCTGGGGACTATCAATTAGGAAAAGGACAAGGTGCCAGATAGAGGCAGAATTCAGATTACAGTCTCAGATAGCAGCAGAGCTCCAGCCATCCACTTCTGTCCCCACTCTGAAATTCTGCTAGTTGAGCAACCTACTTAAGGGTCTTCCTAAGCAGCAGGGCTGATCTTTGTCAGGAGGGGTTAGGCAGGGAAACCTCTCTAATGTTCCCCAAGGTGAAGATGAGGGGGCTCTGCTTGTAGGTTTATGAATTGGCTTTCTGGTCCCTGGATTGTTTGCTTGCCCTCCCTAAGTCTTTGATGAGACTGGTTTTCTGCCCCAGCCTGGGGTCAGCTGTGTGGTGTGTGAGAGCATAAAGGGGTGAGTGGCCTTGAGGATGCTGGTGGTGGGGGGCAGCTTTAGGGAGGAAATTCTGGAACCGGTGCTGAGCTAGAAGAGTCTGGCTTGCTTGCTGCGAGCACCACCTCCAGCCATCATCAGCATGTGGCTGGTTAATTTTTGTTAAAGGGACAACTTGGCTTTCTTTAAAGCAATGGTAGATACAAGAATGTATTGTTTTCCCAAACTGCTAGGTGGGGCTGCCGCACAGCCAGGTCTGGGCAGCTGCAGTCTGCAGAAGCACACTGAAGACTTGCACACCCATGGCAGAAAGCCAGGAGTCTTCTGCCCCTCTCCCTGCCCTGCCCCAGGGCCCAGCCTGGGTGTACACATGGTGTGATTAATGAAGCAAAAGCAATTCAAAGGCTTTAAAAATATCCTTTCTTCTCTTCCCTCTATAATTTTTATTTTACTCTAAATATACATATTTTAATTTCCCCATTCTAGAATTAAACCCTCAATCACCAGAGTGACTCTGACCTAGCAAAATACCCACTTTAGGAGTGGCATCAAGATAAAGAATGATAGGAATGAATCACTTCCACTTGTATACCCCACTGTGGTGAAAACTTCACTCGACTTTGTCTACCAGGAACTGTGATAATTAGTCTGTTAAAAGTATAAATGTTCTATTGTCTATTTTTTTCTTGGCTTGGACCTTTTATTGTTTATGCATGTATTTCATTGTCATTATGTAACATCTCAAATATACATGAAATAGAAAGAAGAAAATATCATGAACCTATGCTCCTGTTCCCCAGCTTGAACAATTCCTTTTGAAAAATGAAGTACCTTTGGATTTCAAGCTCTGCCAACCCTCTTGAATTTACCAAATTACCAGTGGAGAGGGAAGAGATGGGCCATCCATTTATTAATTCACCTTAAAACTTGTGGTTCTGGAAGGTTCTATGAAAATCCTGCTTTGTGGGCTATAGGGTGGGATGGACAGTCCTGCAGCTGGGGGCCAGACTACAGTTGAGAAGAGCCCAGTGCTGAGGGCAGAACAGGCTAGAATGGGAAGCCCTCAGCTCTGTTGCTTCTCAGTAGCAGTTAGGGAGTCATAGTTTGGGCCCAATTACGTTTGGCTCAGGAGGTCTCCTGGCTGCCCCTGAGTCACCCCTGCTACATCTGTTGACAGAAAAGGGCAGCACTGTTGCCAGCAAAACCAAGCCAGATGGCTGTGGGCCCTGCAGTCTCCTCTACAGAGAGGGATAAACTGTCTCTGATCACAGGGTCTCTTGGGGGACACTGGGCAAGAAAGGGAGGTTCCACTGAGGGAGGAGGGGCGGAGCTCTTGTCTGCTGTGATGCTCTGTGGTAGGGAGACCTGGGAGGCTGCCAGGGCTTCAACTGGGCTGGGGGAGGGGGAGTTTCAGAACTTCTAGCACTTAATTCCTTCACCCCTGCCCCTCTAGGAGCCTGGTTCAGTAGCAGGGGACGCACTTAGCTTCTCCAACAAAGTGGCTTTACTGTTGGGTCCTACTCAGACATCCCTGGAAGGCAGAAGGAAGAACACGATAGGGGAGGGAAGATTCTAGAGATGCTCAATGTGTACAGAGCTGGAGAAGGTTGGGAGTTTAGGGATAATCCAAAAGGGAGAGGTCAATTCATACACTAGAATATTATTCTGCAATAACAAGAAATAAACTATCACCCCACCCCAAAACAAACAAACAAACAAAAAACCAAAAACCCCAAGACCTAGAGGAACTTTAAACGCAGGTTGCTTAATGAAGAAGCCAATCTGAAAGGTCTACAGACTATATGATAGTCTGAAAAAGACAAAGCTAAGGAGACAGTAGAAAGACAAATGTTTTCTGGGGTGGGTGGGTGTGGGGAGATGAATAGGTGGAACCCAGTGGATTTTTAGATCACAGAATGATTCTGTATGTTACTGTAATGTGGATGTCATTATACATTAGTCAAAGGCCAATTTTACATTAGTAAAAGGACTGCATGTAAACTACTGGCTGCATTAAAGGGTATTGTTTCAATGCTGGTTCATCAGCGGCAACAAATGTTCCACACTAATGCAAGATGTGAGTGGCAGGAGAAACTGTAGGGGAACTGGGAACTTTGCTTTCTACTCAATTTTTCTATAAACCTAAAACTACTCTTAAAAATAATGTCTATTAATTACAGGCAACAATAAAACAAATAAAGCAAAAGCAACAACCCCCCAGTCCAAGGTAAAACCTAGGAGGTCTGGGGCTAGACTAATAACAGCAGTTTCTGCAGACAGGGTTCCAGTGATCTTGACTGCTGGGTGTTAGGAGCCACCAGGGCTGAGATTGCCCTGCAGGAGATGTAGCTGTGGCAACTCTGCTCCCAGTCTCTGGCTGAGACTGAAGGCGCTTCCCGAAGTCCTGTAACTGGATTACTTTTCCCCTCATCTTAGTTAAGAAGACTTATCTTTGCATAACTTTAATGCAAAGACATACCTGGCTCGCAGGATTTGGGGCATCTGATTGGTGATGCAGGTGGAGGTTTGAACTTTAGGTGAGACTCTATGGTCTGCTCCACTGGGAAGTACCCTTCCCTACCACCAGGATTTCTCATTCTTCCTTGGTGGCTTTCCAGAGGCACAGCCTAACCCCAGGGAAGGTGCTGTTTACCCTTCCACTGGAGAGATGCCCCAGAGAGTGGGCATGACTGATATCCACATACCTTCCGAGCCCCCACAAAAGAGCTTTCTTCCTACCCCTGTCTAAAGCCAGGTACCTGACTGTGGTCTTTGGTGGAAAATGGGCCCTTTTCACTGCCATCTGGCCCTGCGGCCCAAGTCACTGGATTTACACTGCAGTGATGGCAGCTTCAGGTACTGCTCCACGTCAAGTCTTTGGTGTGGAAGGAGTAGACCTTCAGCTTTCTTGGCCAACTGGAAATCACCTAGGTCATCTGGGCTCATGATTCATAAATTCATTGTCACTGTTGACACTTGACAGCACGAGTGTTGTTGAACCAGAGCTGCTGTGTTGTCACAGGATTTTGAGTTTTGTGATCTTTGGGAGGTTAGGCTCTGTAAGCCTTATTATAATCATGATCTCATGGGGACTTACGGGAGAACCCAACTTGGCTCAGGGGAGGGTGCTTAGCATGTAAGGCAGTTAACATGTGCTTGAACCCCCATACCTCCACCAATGACCCTTCCTCATCACTGCCTGTGGCTTCTGGATCAACAGCAATTCCCAAAAAACAAGAGTGTGCCTCTGGGCTGGGAATCAATTTGAAATGAGAGTGGGAAGGTGGAGAGGAAGTGATTCCATTCAGAGAGAATTCTTGTCCAGCACAAGGGAATCTATGCTGAGTGCCTGAAACTCCAAGGTAGGCAGAGATGATGACATAATGACATAAAGGAGGGTCTGGGTTGGAAGAGGTGCCCCTGCAAGGTCTCAAGAGGGGATGTAAACGGAGCAGGTTCCCTGATGAGGTGCACTGTGTTTAGGATGCCAAGGGACACAGCCCCACACAGAGGCATTTAAAGTGGGCACCCACCCCAGGGGTGCTCACTGCAGCCAGGCTCATTCACCTCAGTTTATTTTTACAAAACAAAATGAAATATCACCACTCGGAATATTGGAGGGGCATGCTCAATCACAGGTAAAAGCTTTATGTAATCTGCAGCCCGAACAACACACACTGGCGGTCACAAGCGGGCGCTCATTGCCTGAGCAGGCCTGCAGCTGCCCGCTCACTCTTTTCCTTCGGGCCACCACCACCATCTCGGGGATGCCGGCCCTTGTCTGTTGAGGGTGGCAGCATCCCCAGACTAGCAAACATTTCAGTTCTCTCCTGGGCTTTTGACTTGCCCACCTGGCACCTGTAGGGCACAATGTGCTCTGGCCCCCATTCAAGGTCCAGAAGCATCCACAAAGAAGACAGGAGGGTCAAAGCCCAGGTGCTGATGTCAGAAGGAAGAGTGAAAGGCAGTTCTGGCTCCGCAACTTCACTGAGAAGGGCAGACTCCTCTCCTGTGTCCTCTGGGGTCAGAAAGTAGGAAACCCATTTGTTGTCATCATCGCTCATGCTTAATGTTGGCCTCACTTCGCTCCAGGGTGACGCTGTTGCCATTCCTTGGACCCTCTTTCTTGTTCCAGTCCTTCTCAGCATATAGCTCGGCTAGCACAGGGCAGTGCTCAGATGCCACTCCGCCCCAGGACCAGTTGTCTGGAATCCACGGGTTTGTGAGGCCTTCTCGCACCACAGCCCAGTGACCTGAAGGGAGAGGAAAGAGATCCAGAAATCAGGACAGGTGGGGTCATAGCTGGCAGGTGGAGGCCAAGGCTGCATGCCTGCAGGACCCGGATCCCTGACAATGATTCTTGGCCTGTGACACAAATGAAATGTCTCTGCTAATTTGATTTTTTAGACGAGTGAGAGGTTACTGGTTAGGCACTGAAACTACCCAAATATAGGCTGCCTGCCCATTCCTGTACCTGTTGGCCTACAGTTGACCTCCTCCTCACCACTTCCAAATTGACTAATAAGAGAAGTCTTTGACACAGGAGCAAATGTCTCACAAAGATGTCCAAAGCAAAGGTCTTATTTTGCAAAGCTAAGACACTAAGAGGGGAGAGGAGGAAATAAATTCTAAAAAAAGGGTAAAGAAACTTACAGAGGTTTATGAGAAGGTAAAGTTATTTTACTTCAGTTAGAAATATATAAGGGCCTCCCTGGTGGCACAAGTGGTTAAGACACAACCTAAGAATCTATTCGCAGCCACTGTAGCATGAATTCGATGCCCGGCCAGGGAGCTACCCACATGGCGCAGACCTCCCCTGACTCACCCACTGCTCCCCTCACCAATGTATTTCAGTCATTCTGCCTGTTTTGCTCCCCACTCTGTCTCTGGTGAATTCTCTCACCCCTCACATCTCTGGCCTCCACCCCGGTTCTTATATGCATAAATAAATAAATCTTAAAAAATAAATAAAATTATTTAGAAATTTATGATTTAGAAATATGTGAAGTGGGCGCTACATTGGAAAACAATAAACCAAAGTGACAGAGCTGGTTCTGAGCAGTTGGAAAGCACAATGTGGCCTTGGCGTGGTCAGGCAGTGTCAGGGCCGGTATAGGTGTACCCAGGTGTGGGGTCTGGTTGACACTGAACCTGCCCTGATGACAGCTCTGCCAATGGCAGCTCATCCCTGCACCTTGGTTTCTGCAGTTTCACAGCAAGGGAACAGATGAAACAGCTTCTAACTTCTATGCAGCCCTGTGTTCTCAGCTTCGCCAGCTCTCGTCAAGGTAGGTCTGCTGCAGGCACGCTCCTGGTAGCCAGGCCTGCTGTGGGCTGGCCTTTCTCTGGCCAGAAGAATGTATCACACACTGTGTCTTGTCTAATGTGATGACTGTAACCCCCCTAACTCTCCCCACTAAGACACACAGCTTCTGTCATTCTGATCCTCCCCTGACACAATCCTATAGGAAAGTGGTGCCCAGACAGAAGGAGAAGCTGGTGACACAGTCAGGATGGGAAATTCTAGCCCTGAGGATCTCAGCACTGGTTGCACGTTACACTCATGGTGGGGACCCAGCGTTAGAACTTTTTAATTTTCTTATGTCTCACTGAAGAGTAACATGCTTCCCTTAGTACTTAGCAGGACTGAGAACATCTGTTCTTGTCTTACATCAAAAGGTTCTACCGACACTTCTATATTTCTCACTAATGATTTCTTGACCCAAAACCTGCTCAGCAGGTTGGGAGGGAAGGTTGCTTTACAATACTGAGATCACCTACCACATCCAGGTCCTTGCAGAGTCCCCGAAGGCACTTCTGTGCTATGGTGACACAACTGTTGCATCTGTCACCCTGACTGTTGCTCCTCAGAGCACTGTGGGAAGGTGGGTAGATCTCAGGCCACCACACAGTCCCTGAAGGTGACAGGGCATGAGGAATATTTGCTGAATGGTCAGAGACCTAAAAATGGGGCTAAGTTATCAGCTCCTCTCTGAATCAGAGTTCTGCCAGCCTACACTCAGGGACATGCATGGTTTGCGTCTGCTGTAGATCAATGGATATCTTTTAATTACTTTTCACATCCCCCTTCTCTCTTAAAAGTGGCCCTGTTTGAATGATAACTATAGACACCTAGTGATAACCCATAAGCTCCATCCTGTCGGAACAGTTTCTGCAAATCCATTTCTGAACAGGAGAAAGAGCAAGGGACTTCTGCTTTACCTGTGAAAACCTTCTTCAAGCTTTTACTGATCCAGATGTTGTCCAGAGACTTTGAACCTTGAGGGTTCTTGGTGCTGATGTTTGTGAAAGTGTGTGCAGGGACCAGGTTGTGGAATTTTTCTTTCCTCAGGATGTCACAGTCACCGCTGTCTGGCCCCTGGCCAAAATCCCCTAAAACAATCAAGTCTTTTTCCCCTGGAAGTGGAAGAAAGAAAACCAGCAACTTAAGAGGTGGTAGAACTAAAACACTGGCCACAGGCAGCTGTAGGGGGACTGCGCTACTCAGATTTGACTCTCTAGTGTTAGGATAGCAACTTGGTTCTCAGTCTCCCAATTTTTCCAAATTCCTTGTGCAACACCAACTCCTTCCCCACCACACACCACCATCAAAGGGAAAAAATCTTGAAGAGATCAGTAATACATTTGGAAACTGTGTGTGTGAAGCAGAGATCATGTCTGTTGCAGCTCATGGTTCTAGTTTTTTAGCAAAAAAAAAGGCCTAATGGTCTTGCTTAGCTATTTAATAAAAAGCTCAACAAACTTTCAGTGAGCACCTACTTGGGACCTACATATGGGGGAGATCTGGAGATGAGTGAGACACAGCCCTGCTCTCTAGGAGCACAATCTAATTGGAGGGACAGACTAGAAAAAGAATGAGAGCAGAGCACAGGTACAAAAACATTCGTGGAGCCCAAAGAGCACAGGGAAAGGTGGTCAGGAAAGCTCCCTCGAGGAGGCAAGTCCTGCTTTGGGATTTGAAGGGTTGCACAGGAGTGCCCAGACCAGGAAGGATGAGCAGGAACCTGGGTAAAGACAGAGGTTTGGAAACAGTCTGGTTTCCTGGGGGCCGGAAGTGTTCCAGATGTAATTGGGTGCTTTTCTGATGTAGAATACCCGGAAGGAATGCTGGCAATATGAGCCTGTGACAGGAAGGTGTGCTCTAACTGCTGGGGACCTGGGGGAGGTTGGGTATCCCTGGCATTCAGTAAGCAGCTCCTTGCAAGCACCCGTCATGCTGAATACGTGATTTCTCAATCTCTTGCTGTTGCCATATTTCAGGCTGTTCTCAATATTTACTGATGTGAATACTAACATGGACAGCTCACTCAAGAATCTACTTTGTGGCCTTAGTACAGTGTCCCTTTAACGATGCTTGGCCATCATTAAAGTTCTTGATGCATAGTGCCAATCTCCTTTCTAACCCTGATTTCAACTCTTTCCAGCATGTTAAGCAAGTTCCTCTCATTGAGTCCCTCGCCAACACAGTTACCATTAACAGCTAACTTGATATGTGAAAATGGTGTCTCCTTTCTATTTGAGGATAAAATAAGTGATGCACTCTCTCCTTTGGGTTGGAGAATCTACAAAAATCATTTTGAATTCTTTTTCACAGGAGACTTTTCTTTCCCATTTATTCATTTATTCAATTATTAATTTATATCACTATGGACTCACTGATATTTATATTTTGGGTAATAATCCAATGTTTTGTTGCTCAAATTGTTCCAGATTTGGCCATTGGGAACTCTTTTTGTTGACTTCTGTGTTCCTCTGACATACTCCCAAAATGTTTTTTGTTTGAGATCTTCCTTTCTGGCATTAAAAAGGCTCCAGAATAATCTTGTTCACATTTCCTGCCCCAGGGTCTGGAATCAGCCATTTCTCAAAGAAATTCTGGTTCCCTTTTAATTAACATGGTATGAGAAACCAAGATTTGAGTGCAACATAGTTTCCTTGTATCTTTTGTACAGGGTCTTAGCATTATATTTATTGATTTGTAGGAACTCTTCACACATTAAGAATAGAACCATTTATTATATGTAGGAAACTTTTTGGCCTACTTTGTCATTTGCCTTTTCATTAGGTCTATTATCAAACTGAAGTTTACAGAAATTTAAAGTTTCTTTTATGAAGTATAAGCAAATAAAATTTTCCCACATTGCCTCCAAAATAAAACAAATAAGCACTAAGTTCTTCTTATGGTTTCATTCCTTCATTCAATCTTTAACCTAATTGGAATTTACTCTCATTTTCCTCCACAATTAACTTGTCCCAGTAACATTTTTGGAAAATTCCTCTATTTTTTAAACTGAAATGTGATACTTACCTGTCATTTCTAATATCACATGTACCATGTGTCTTGTTTCTGAGCTGCTTTCTATCTTATTGATATATTTTTGAGCTCTTACTATCTTTTATGTTATTCTTTCATTGAAAATGTTTATATATTCTCATGCTTTTGGAATTTTGTGAAACAATTTTTAAATTAAATAAAAATCAACTTTATTTAACATTCCCATCCCCAGCTGGGCAGATGAAGATGTTTCCTGTTCTTTGTGCCTCCTTCAGATATTCTAAGAACATATGAACAGATGTGCATATTTATTTTCACATAAATGACAGCAACTTTCCATATAAGTTCCTGTTGGTGTTTTTCACTTGTCAAAACATCCTAGAGATGAATCTGCTTCAAATAAGCAGTTTCAGACATTTTCTTTTCAAACATGGCATCCTGTAGGAATCCTTGAAAGCAGAGTGGATTAAAGTAGAGATGCTGTCATTTGTATGGAAAGAGAGGCCTTAAGGAGCCCTGGGCACAGCAGGGGACTCTGGAAACATTAACACAAGCGTCCTACCCCCAGAAATGGAGTTCCCCTGCAGGGATTCTGACTCAGAGTGTCTTCAGTGAGTCTGTTCTCAGTATCCTTAAAGCTCTCAGGGAGTCCGGAGGTGCAGTCAGGCTTGGGAACCACATTCAGGGCAACAAGGGATCAATTCTCCAGCCACTGCAGTAAACACAGGGCCTAGAAAGGACAGAGATGTGGACTCCAATCTTCTCACCCAACAGCCTGCTCTAACTCTTTTTCTTTGTGTTCTTCAGAAAAAAAAGTGTTATACTTCATTTTATGACCACACTTCTGAGAGTTTCATATTTTTTATTTTTATTAAGAATAGGAGAGTCTATGTTTTCTCCCAGTATATCTCTTAGCTGTTGATAGACATCCAAAGATACCCATTGCTGTATTTTTATTTTACAACTGGACAGTTTTCAATATCATAATGGGACTAATTTTTAAAAAAATTTTCTTAAGTTTAAAAAACTGACAATTATATTCTCTAAAACAGTGACAGCTATGTCTCCTTTCCCCCAAAATATTTAAAACTGTGTCGTCTTGTCCAGTGGAGCTAACTGGGAGGATGAGCAGTCATGGTGAGCTGCACAAATAACACAAACCCTATAGAGCAGTCAACTGGAAGACAGTATCTTAGCCCTGTTTTAAAGGAAAGCAGTCAGCTGACTTTGAGAGTGCTAGCCTGGCCTTGCCACTTCTAGTTCTTACCAGGCTTTAGGCAAGTGTTTTAGTACATAAAGAGGGGAGAACCATCCAGTCTCCATTCTTTGGGGGTTTGTCAGGATTAGAAAAGCTGGGGTAAGTACCTGACTCACGTATCTTCTGGAGAGCTCAGACCCTTTCCCTGCAAGTTTTTTGAGTCAGGTTAACAAAAGTTTGTCAAAAAGACATCTAGCAGAAGTTAATTATTTTATCAGTGAGGCTTATCAGATGATTTGGGAACGTGATATTGATCAAATTGTGTCTTCCTGAAATTTACATGCAGAAGTCTTACTCCAGTGCCTCAGGATATGACTATTTTTGAAGACAAGAGCTTTAAAAAAGTAATTAAGTTAAAATGAGGCCATTAGAGTGGCCCTAATCCAATTTGACTGGTATCCTAAAAAGAAGGGATTAGGACACAGACGCACAGAGGGAAAATCAAACAAAGATACAGGGAGAAGGTGCCACCACAATACAAGGAGAGGTCATCCAGAGGAAACAACCCTGCCAACATCTTAATCTTTGGTTTTCAGCTTCCAGAACTGTAAGAAAATATAAGTTTTATTGTTGAAGCCACCAAATCTGTGGAATTTTGTTATGGTAGTTCTAGAAAGGTAACAACGAGCCAAAGTTTTTTCTCTTTAATGTATTTTCAATATTTCTCCTGCAGATTGATATACAAACAAATAAGTGGGACAAGTAGGGAGCATTTCTCAAAGTGAATTCACATTCTGAAAGAACAGTGGACCCCAGGAAGATTCTATACCCCTATTATCTCTGCTAGACCATCACTTTCTGTCTTGAGGTTATTAAGTGGAGCTGCATTTCTGTCATACCTTGCAAAGGTAGTAATACCTTGTAAGTTTAATTTAGGGCTTTAAATAAAACAGCTTATAAGTGAGGGTGAAATGTACCTGAGACACTCCACAAAATGAACATGCTTCAGTAATAATGACTGGCAGGAATGAAATCAAATGTGAAATGACACAGTGAGTGTCACCAGCAGAGGGCACTCATACACTGCAGATAACACTGTCCTCCAGGGGGTGTGAGGGATCAAAGAGATGGAGGGCAGACCTTTCTGGCAGCCATTTATAGCCAACAGACATGTATTCATAGCCCTCATGCTATATCTTAATAACCTTAGCGCTCATGCAGATGAGTCCAAGCTGTCTTGAGAAATTGGTACCAACCTTCAAGGGGAAAGCTAACTTGAGAATATGAGTAACTCAAACCTGGCCAGTGTTAATGACAGTACATTGAGTCCTCACTGTATGCAGAGCCCTTTCAGCAGGGAAGAAGGTAAGAATATGAGAGGTTGAATGACTTGCCTACAGTCACTGAGACAGTCTTCAAATGAAGAGCTTCTAACCAAGCGCTAGAATGGAAGAGCCACGGGGACATAGGCAGCTGTTCATGGAGATCCCTAGTGCCTGGAACAGTGCTGGCTACACACAGACCTTGATAAACATGTATGCAATAAATGGGTGAATGAGGCACGAGAAGCACCTCAGAATTAAGGTGAGTTTATATTTGAAAGGAAAAAAGAGAAAGATTTATTGAATACGAAGGAAAACTGAGAGTTAGGAATAACTGAGGCAGATAATCCCCTACAAAGAGAGAAGTTTTCATTCAATTTCATTAATATCCAATTAATTGTTAGCTGTCACATGACCACGGGATTAAGGAAATGCCCCACCCTGCCCACGGTGCAGCAAAGGTAAATTCATTAGCAGAGGTGGTTCAGCTAAATGCAGACTAAGTCTTCATTCCATGGACCTCTATCAGAGCAAACAGAACCATTTTGATTCTGGCAGACCAGAAAAAGTTTGGGCTGAAAAAACGATTTTGAATACAGGGGAGATGTTGGTGTCCAAAGGCCAATAAACCTAGCACTGTGCAACTTCAGGTATGAAAATAACAGCTTTTCTTGAAGAGCACACCTAGGTTTCTTACAATTTTTTTCTTCTTGTCAAATTAGCCTTGGTGGTGACATGGAGGCAGGTCTTGCCTCTGACAATCCACAGGTGTGTAGAGGCCTGAATTCTCCTAGAAAGCCATCTGTCTGGGGTGGATTCCTCAGTTGTTGCTTTACTTCCCAGAAGCGAGAGGAAAATGTCTGAGGCTGATTTCCTCAGATAGTCCCAGATGCAAAAAATGCTGGTGACAATAGCAGCAGTGGGTGCCCACCAGGGGATGGTCCAACCCAGACATCAAGTTTACTGTGTGTCCTGCCTCACTCTTGCTGAGTTCAAGACCCTTTCCTCAACCCCCAGTGGGGTCTGAAAGAAGAAAATTCCACCAGAGGACCAGCACACCACCTGCTGATGTCAACTGAAACACATTTCAAGCAGAAAGGCCCAGATTTTGCTGATCAAATGATTCTATTTGCTCTGATAGAAGCCCATGGAATGAAGACTTAAGTCTGCATTTAGCTGAACCACCTCTGCTAACCTATTTATCCTTACTGCACCATGGGTAGGCTGTGACATTTCAGGCTGCGACGTTTCCTCAATCCTGGAGTCATGTGACAGTTAACAATTAATTGGGTCATGTGACAGTTAACAATTAACTACAAGCAGGTGGACACAGGAGTCCATATGTCCATATCGGGACACGTCAAGGCCAAGTCAGGCTGTGGATCAATAGTTCCTTGGCAACTTGGAACAATAATCTGCCCAGGTTTTCTGACAAAAACCTGACGACTTCCTGGATATCAGGAAAAAATGGTGAGTGTTTTCTGAGGTTATCAGAGAAGTTATGAACTGACATCTTTTCTTTCTTCTTCCACATAAAGAAAAGAAAAAGCTTGAGATAGAGAACAATCAAAACATCCACAGATTTCTATTGCTATCAAGTCAGCCTTTTTAATAGGTTAGAGACTAACTGTGAGTGAATAATTTCCACACAGCTGCTTTTTGGATGCAGTATCTCAGCTTAAACACTTTTCTAACTTTTTTTAGCCCAAAGACTCATAATTTAAGCAGAATATTGGTCACAGCATATCCTGGCTCAAGATATAAGCTTGCATATCAATGCTCATAGAAGCATTACTCACAACAGCTGAAGGAGGATAACAACAGGACTGTCCATTGACCAATGAATGAAGAAACATGCTCCCTCTATTCATATGTATGCACATGTTTACATACATACTTACATATGTATTTTTATATTTATGTGTATATACTTTATATGCTTACATATTTATATATATTTATTTATTTTTATTTATTTTTAAGGATTTATTTATTCATGCATACAAGAGCTGGGGTGCAGGCCAGAGATGTGGTGGGTGAGAGGATTCACCAGAGACAGAGTGGGGAACAGAACAGGCAGATGCACTGAAATACATTGCTGAGCATCGGGTGAGACAAGAGAGGTTTGCCTCGCCATGTGGATTTCTCCCTGGCCGGCCGGGGATCGAACACATGCTGTGGAGTTCATAATGTTCATAATGTGGTGCTTAACCCCTTGTGCCACCAAGGAGGCTCTGTTTATTTATTTTAAATATGTATATAAGCTACAAACACAGTGGAACAGTATTTGGCCTTAAAAGGAAGGGCATTCTGACACATGCTACAATATGAACGTACCATAAGGACATAATGTAAGCAAAGTAAGCCAGACACAAAAGGACAATTACCATGCAATTCCACTCTAACCTAGAGTAGTTAAATTCATAGAGACAGAGAGTAGAATGGTGGAGGTCAGGAGTTGGGGTGAAGGGGATGAGGAGTTAGCTTTTATGGGCAGAATTTCAGTTTGGGATGAACTGGAGATGGAGCATGGGGATGGTTGTGAATATACTTAATGCCACTGAATTGTTCACTTGAAAGTGATTAAGATGTAAATTTTATGTGTATTTTATCACACTAAAAAAATCTTTCTAAATGTAAGTTTGTGGTTTGACTGAAATAGTTTTGTTGCCAAATCTTCATGAAATCACCCACTATGAAGGGCCAATTTAACAAAAAGGGCTTAGAAAGATAGAGAATATTCGTCAAGACTGAAGAATGTGGAAGAGGATTACAGGTCTCCAGTTGTGAACCCTCACCTAGAAGTCAGTGCTGAAAACCAAACAAATTGAAAACATACCGGTCTTTACGACCATGTCAACTTTTCCTCCTGGGAAACCACACGCAGAAACCCTTGGGGGCAAAGCCTGGGAAACAAAGCCCGGCTTCTCCTGAACTTCTGGCTTTCTAGAGTCAACTCTAGAAACTTCTGGCTTTCTAGAGTCAACGATTCAACTGTCCACTGAGCACCAACTGTGTGCTTGGGAGCTGCAGGGACAGCTATCAAGCCCTCTGGCACCCCTGTGAGATTAGCGCTGTGGGCTCCCTATCAGATGGGGCTTGGTGAGGCATGTTGACTTGCCTGAGGCCCAACAGCTCCCAAAGGAGTAGAGATTAGAATTCAGCTTTCCTGAGCACTTCAGTCATGTTCACTAGGGAGAAAAACTCAATTCACCACTAGCTGGGTCTTCCCCTTGTCCCTGTTACCTCATGTGTCTCTTTAAGGGAAGATCATGTGCAAATCTGCAGGTGGCACCACCATTTGGCTCACCCAAGGCAGCTGAACCCAGCCAGGAGCAGCTGTCATGGTGCTGGGTGTCAACACTTTTTTTCTGATCCTTTTCATCAAAAAGAGCAGCAGAGCTGACACCACGGGACCCATGCACTAGGCCCACTGAGACACGGGTGTCCCCATGCACAGGGGCTGGAGGGACATGGCTCCATGAGAGATAGGGGATGGGATGACTGCTGTGCCCTCTATTCACATTGCTGCTGACAGTCATCCTAGAGATGGGAGAAAGGCAGGAGGAGGAGGCAATTTCCACCTGCCTTGCATGACTGGGAGTTATTGGACCAGCCACGAGACCATTTCCTACCTTTCAGGGTTTCCTGCAGGGTCTGGGCAAAGCCAGCCAGGCGGTGGCCATCACTGTGATTCTTGCTTGGATTCTCACCCCCTGGGAGGGCCAGGGTTGCCAAATGAAGGTTCACAAGGGTCAAGTCGTTACTTCCTATCTGAGCACAGGAAACAAAGCAACAGGGACAGGCTTAGGCATTTCGATATCCATTACTTCCAACAACTCAGCTTCATGCCAACCCTGACCAGGGTAAAACAAACAAGGCTAGCTCACACCCTGTGACCTAATGCCAGGGGGTTCAACCAGAAGATTTTCCTGAGGCACCTGCAGGAGGGAGACCTATCTTGTTCTTTCAGTCCACCCCCAACATTGCACCATCACCCCCCACCTTATGGCCTGGAAACTTGGAGACATCTGGGTTTGTGAGGGGCAGGGGCTTGACCTACATTCCAACCACAGTCAAGCAGCCCCAGCTGGCAGATCACAGGGCTCAGCCCTGTACAGTCTGCAGACTGAAACTGTGCTGGAGTTTGAGAAACTCTCAGGCTCTAGAACTGCTCAGGAGCACACAGAAATGGGGGACTTAAATGTCCAGCTCACAGTTGGGCTTGCTGGGTCTGTGACAAGGGACCTCTCTTGCCTTACCCTGTGATTTCATAGGTAAGGGCCATGGGGATGAGGTATATTGACTGCTGACTTAGTGATCAGTTTTGACTTCTGGTTTCTCTTTCTTCCTGTTGCCGACTTTGGATCATTTTGCTATTCATTAACACCTCCCATGGGCACCCAGGGGAATCAGATACCTCAATCTGCTTGCTGTTCCTGTCTCTGGGAGGACAGATGTGCATGTGGGTGAGGGGTCATCTGGAGATGGCAGCTGTAGGGCCAGGCCCTACAGAAGCTCTTCCTGAACCCCTCCAATTCCAAATGACCCTTCCCCCTGGTAATAACAGGACTCTGCTGCCCCTTAATTTCAAAATTTCCAAATGTCTGATCTCCTTTACCCATGCTGGGAGGACTAAAGAGGTGCTGAAGGTGTTTTAGAAAAACATACCATCTTGGGCTCTGTCACAGAACTTCTGTATGTCTGGGTAGGACCTGGGGAATCCTGACCCTAAGAAAGTCTTCCCAGGTGATTCTAATGTGTGTCAGGTTTAGGGGGTGGCCATCCGCCAAGTTGTGGGAGTTCCTGGGGCTAGAGTCCCACAAATCCTTCTCACTCCTGCCCTAGACAAGTTTACCACACACAGGAACCCTCAGAATATGTGCTGACCTGAGCCTGAGTGAGAATAAAATCATGACAAAAATAGGAGGCTTCTCTGGCTCACAATTGAGAAAGGGCTTTTTCTCTGCCTTAGAAGGACAAGTGGACACTCAGCAACATGGAGAACTACCTTGAAGCGGGCGAGGAACGGGCTGGGACCCGTGGGCTTCCCGTGCCCATTGCTGGGTGAGCTCTCCTGCCAGGCAGCATCCCTCAGCTCCACCCCAGCCGCAGTGTCCCACAGGAATCCCGAGAACCCAGGCCCCTGTGGAGGGGAGAAGGTTAGTTTAGAGAGGGGTCTGTCTGTGGCAGGGCTCAGCCCGGAGCTGGGGGCTGCCAAGAGGAAATGGGGGAACACAACGGGTGCAGGGGCTGTTTCATGAAGGGAAAAAACACACCCCGAAGGCCAGAGCACATTAATTCCCCTCCCCCCAATTTCCCATACTGCCCACTTCAGTGCTTTACATACAGTCAAGCCAAAAATGTCTGGACTCTTTTATTTATGGGGGTGGGGTTTGAGGAAGCCCAGACTAAGCACAAAGTTATTTTTTTAACCATCACATCTCACCAGGCAGCCATTCATATCCCCATCTGCCACATGAATACTCCACTGCTCAGAGAGGTTAAGTAATTTCTCTAAAATCCCCCATTTGATAAATGGAAATGCTGAGAATCAAATAAGACTCAAAAGGATGGGTTTTGCTTACTGATTAATTGCTGCTTACAAATACCAGTGCATAACATCTACAAAATACTCAGTAAATATTTGTTAGACTTAGAAATAGACAGAGGTCAAAGCCAACATTCCCAGTGGTTTGGAACTGGTCAAGGGCATTCCTCAGGGAGATGGGCCCCCACACAGGAGCCTGAAACCCCAGTATAGGGTTCTATGAGGGCTGGCAGAGGGGCAGATGGACGGGGTGGTGCGGGCTGGGATCCAGGCACTTGGTGCTAACCCTCTGCCATCTCTGTCAGTCAGAGAGGCCACTCTGAATCTGACTACTCAGGGCTGTTGCCACAGGGGGACTTCTAGAAAGAGGAAAGGCTTCCCTACTCCCCCATCTCAGCCTCTGGAGGCTCTGCTGCTCAGGTGGGGATCGGTGGTGTCATCTGAGGGGCATGTGATTTGTTTGAAAGGAGAGGAAGTGACTTTTCACAGCCTGACAAGTGTCTGAGAGTCCCCAACTTCAGTCCAGGTCCCAGACACACACCCTGTCAGGCTTAGCAGCCAGATCCAAGAAGCGTGTGCTGAGGAGGAGGGAAGGAACAAACGGAGGAGCAGTGTTCTGCAGGCTCTGCACTTAAATATTTTAAAATGATGGACTTGCCCACCCAATGGAGAGAACACTAGTTTAACAACCGCGCGGACCCTGCCAAGCCCTGGTCTGTGCTCTGCTAATGTAGCATTCCAATGTACAGTACCTTTTAAAATAGCCACCCTGTGAGTCAGGACATCTGTGCCCCTTTGACAGATGGAGGAATTGAGGCTCAGAGGGTTTAAGTGTCTTGAACTAGGCCCTCCCTGCAACTGCATGCTGCTCCCCAGTGGCCTTGACAAGCATCTGGAGTTGGGTTACCTACCCCCCAACTACTCTTCCTGTGCCCCAACAGGATGTGAGGGAGGAGCTCGGTCAGCCTCAGGTTGGGATGCCCACTGGGTTTGCAAAGAATTAAAACAGGCAGTGCTGGGTCACTGGGTTTGCTTTCTCCAAGTACATCTGTACATAATGCAGGGCCCAGCGTGCAGCGACCTTTCTAGTGTGGGAACGGATGAATAAAGTGTGTTAAGTGGACTATAAGAGCCTTGTGAAGCTACCTATAGGTAAAGTGCTTTTAAAAGAGAGAAAGCAAGTGGCATTACTATTATTTCTATGTGGACTGAGAGGGGAGAGTCAGGGGTGAGAGGGCAGAGACTTAGGGACATTTGTTTGGCTTTATCTCGAGTGTGCAGTGACCATACGGTGGTTTCTGGTCAGCTGTGGTGACTACTGACACTCCAACACATAAAACCCAGAGAAATATTACCATCATATTTTTAAGTGGTAACTAAAGGAGTAGAGGCTTTCTGTCAATAAATGACTGGATATTTTAAATCCAGTATACATTTAAAAAAAGCCCAAATCTCAGTATCAGTCAAATAAGTATAAATTCATATGTTGAGAAGCATGTCATAAACTAAAGATAAAATAATATGTACACTTACAGAAAAATTATATATGATGCCTTTTTCAATTCATGATTATCTATCAGAAGTCTATTTTAAAACCTAAAACCCTACTGATATGAAGCCTTCCAAGTGAGTAAAAATTGATCTTGAATACAAGTGAAATATATAAAGAGATTTACCTACTCCCACGTGGGTGATACCAAGGGAAAAAAATTCAAAATCAAAATCTGCTGAAATTTTCTACAAATTTCCACTGAAAGCAAACACTTCATGTGTGATTTAAGTAAATCTGGAGTTTTCAGTCAGTCAATGAACACTGAGGTCTCCACAAACTGGAAAAGGACAGACTGTGAAGAGGGGATTGGGAGGACAGAAATATTCCATTTGCTGCCTCGACTCTAGAGAGGTCTTTTCTGCTCAAAACCCCAATTCCCATATACATTTGAGGAGCAGTCTACTCCCAATTTAAACACGAAACAAGAATCAGGGCATTTTCAAATGAATAACAGAGTCAAGAAATGGGCAGAAATATAAAACTGCATCAAGGATGCTGGCAAAGGAAAATTTTAAATGTTTGTAGTTAGGGAAAAAGGATATTTTAATAAAATGGAAAGCAAAGCTAAGCTTTGTAGATGAGGATACCTTCTGGAGTTGAGTGGATGGTGTCTCAGCAACCATGGCCTTCCAGCATCCCCGGGGCCCCTTCCATTTGCGGATGTTGGGCAGGACCGGCTGGTTTAACTCTGCACAGAACTGCAAAGACAGGAGTGAAAGTCATGTGTGTTCCTGTCCAAAACAATTGTCACTGGTGCAACCCAAGGACCCAAAAAACTACATATATCTGACTCATCAGCTTTCTTGTGAGACTTGGTAGATTTTATCCCTGTGTTCTCAAAAATCAGGGTTTGTGAAGACTCGGATAACTAAATAAGCACCACAAATTAAAAGGCAATTTTCCCATCTAAAAAACTTGCAGTTATCACCTGGGGACTCTCAGTTGATAGAACTCAATGCTCTTTGTAGCACTCTTGCACAAATAGTTCAAAATGAGTTGTCAGAAGTCTTTTATCTTTGTAAAACCAGTGCATTCAAGGTCCCAGGGGTATCAAACACAGAGGAAAAAAGATGACTATATAGTATTTTTCTCCCTGGGGCTTAACTCAGAAGTGCAAAAGCAGATACCCAGCTTCATTTTCTTCTCCTTGGTTTTCTCCTGATAAGGAAGCCCAACTGTGGTGGATGGCTGCTACACCCCAGATGTGTCTGCAGGATACATGGCTTTTTACTTAAGTACCAACATGGTGTAGGAACTGGAAAGCAACCTTATCTTGAAGGCAAAATAAAATTGCACAAAGTAAAACGAGCAGGTGACAAACCACTGACTTCAAAGTATACAGATCAGTTCCTCTAACTCATGCCTCTAACACAACCCGACCTCTAGAGGTTGGTTCTTTTGAGGGGTCTCCAGAATTGATTATATTTGGGCTTAGTTTTCAAGATGCTCCCACATATGGTACTACCCCTTCCTGGGGACACCTTACACAGGGCACACTCCAATCTTCTCTCTCTGTCCAGTCGTATCTATCTTGGTCTTTGGCTTCCTCTTGGATGCAGTGCCATCAAGTGGTCCTTAACTAAACTTCTTTGGCCCAAGCTTCAGCTTATACCTCTAGCCCAAAAGTCCCCAAATCTGTAACTGAGATTTCTCTCCTGAGTTTTGAATGTATTCTTGCAGTCTATTTAACATTACCATCTGCAGGTCCCTTTAGAACCACAAAGCCAGCCAGTCCCAAAAGAACATGTTGTTCACCCTTCCCTGACCTTAGTGCCCATCTCAGTTCCTGGCATTTCCATCCTTCCAGCTGCTCTGATTCTTCCCTCTCCTCAAGGTCCCTTCACTCCCTGCTCTGCTGAATCCACTCTTACAGTATCTGCACTCCCTCTTTTGTTCTCCAGTTCCACTGTGCGTTGTTTCAGAGCCCCACCTTTTCTCACCTGGGTCCCTGACATTGTTTCTAAATCATCTCTGGGCTTCTTTGTCATTCCCATCAGCCTCCTTCTATGTACTGAGCAGGTGATGATGGCTGTGCTGATGCACCACCCCTGTGTTCCTCAAAGTGTGGTCTGGGGCCCATCAGCATCATCATCACTTGGGAATTTGCTGGAAATTCTCTGGCCCCTCCACAGACCTGTTGGACATGGCAGGGGGTGGGGAGGGCAGTAATCCATGTTAAACAAGCCCTCGAGGTGATCTCTGCTAAGATCTGAGAACCATGGCAGCTGCCCAGAGTCTCCCTGAGCAGCTGCCCTAGATTCTGTAGGCAGACAGCCATCAGCAGGCAGCCCCTTCTGGGCATGCCTCAGCTGCATACAATGGTTGAGAGGTGCCAGGGCTAACAGTCTGGTCTTTGCCTTCACGTTGATTATTCTGTAGGGAACAACTCCACAAGCTAGCACTCGGCCAATTGTATCTATAATGACAAACGCTGTGGAGAAAAAGAGACTGTACAAGGGAGGTCCACTTTGAATATCTGATGTGCTAAGAGTTATGCTGCCCTTGCACTTAGATGATTAAGGGTTTGCCTTGCCCCAACAGCAGACCTGTACCTGAGTCACCTTTCTAAATCACATCTAGCATAGAGCACGGAACACAGTGACACTCTCCAAGCATCTACTGACAAGCCATGTAGCTCAAGGGGAGACCACAGTCCTTAGGTCTTGTGTGACAAAAGGGGGCTATTCTCCTTGGAGATAATTACTAAACAATTGTCTCAGTTTTAATCTGACTTTGAACTTGCCTGGGAAGCGTTCTCTCTGGAATTCGGCCATCAGTGAGTAGTACCCTTTTACACTGTCCAATGCCGAGTATCTGTGGATGGTGTCATTCCTGACAGGGGGCCTCACTCTGGATGAATCTCCTGGCCGGAAGCCATCATCGGATGGGAAATGAAGCACTTTAGAAAATATAGCTGGAATTTATCGACTATAACTTGAGGAATCCAGGGAGAAACTGTACTTCACAAAGGATCCAATTTCCTGCCTGGGAATCATTTGCTTGCTGACTGATCATTAGAGCTGAATCCAAGAAAAATTAAAAAGGAAAGCAGCTCTCCAAGGCCCATCTGGGGTTTCTGATCTCCATGCAGGCATCCCAGGCCTGGCTACTCACCCAAATCTCCTCAGATGCATGCTGAGAAACTCTATTTTTAAAAAGTCCCCCAGGTGATGAGCCAACAAGCCACATTAGAGAGCTCCAGCCTCTGGGGGCCACCCGCTGAGCTAGGACGAGCTCTCTGCAGGCAGCTAGAAATCTCTTCCCTCCTCACCATCATAGGACCTTTTGATACCCTTAGCGGGTATCAAACCGCAGCCTAGCTTAAATAATCTCATTCCTGGCAATGCCTCTTTGATGGGAAGGCTCAGAAGTGTGAAGAGGTGGCACAGGCAATGTCATTGTATTCCATGGTCACCACTCTCATGAACAATCTCTTGGGACTAAAGTTGTGCTAGTCAAAGTGTGTTGATCAGTGTTCCCTGGCAATGTGTTGAAATGCAGATTCTCAGGTCCCATCCAGGCAGATGAATGAGCATCTCAGGGGGAGCCTGGCAATCTGCATTGAACAGATCCTACAGATGTCTTTTTTTTTTTTTAAAGATTTATTTATGCATACAAGAGCCAAGGTATAGGCCAGAGGTGCAGGAGGGTGAGAGGATTCACCAGAGACAAAGTGGGGAGCAGAACAGGCAGATGAATTGAAATACACAGCTGAGGGGAGCAGCAGGTGAAACAGGAGAGGTCTGCTGTGCCATGTGGGTTAGCTTCCTGACCAGGTGTTACTGGGTGAAGGAGAGACATGAGCACCATAATCCCCAAACATGCTTTTATTTTGTCAGTATTTGTTGCTGCAGACAATTAATAATTTCAGGGTCCAGGGAGAAAAGTGTTTACAGATAAACACCGTCTATATCCACATTTCCATGATCCATACTACGTAAGGGGGAAGTGTTATCTTCTAAGACTAAAATGAGAATTGCTGGTTTAACTCTGGTGACTGTTGGCACCAACAGCTCATAGCAAACTCAAGGGGTGTGCCTTTTAGCTTCGTGCTACTCACAGTGTGGTCCATGGACCAGGAGCATTGACCTCACCTGAGTCTGTTAGAAATGCATATTCACAGGCACATCTTACCCACTCCTGGGAATCTGCATTTCCACAGGATCCCAGGGTGATTTGTAAGCTTTGAAAAGCCTACTGTAGAGTCTCCATGTTTTGCATATACCTTCTTAATGTATGCAAAGCCCACAAGAAGCAGACATCATTAAAAGGGTGCCACTGAAGGGTAGCATGGAAAGGTCATGCCCAAACTTGTGTTTAAATTCAAGAGCACACTATAACAAGTGTTAAAGGGGAAGCCTGACTCCTGTCAGGTGGGGCAGGGGGCACAGAGCAGGCCCCATGTGGGGGGACCAGCCTGCCTTTACAGAATCCTTATACCCTTTCTCCCAGAAATTTCAAAGGAAAACAAAAGCATCCACTGAGTGCCCTCAATCTGAACTCTGTCTTGAATTTTTTTATTTAGAATTGTTGGTTCTCAAATTTTTGCTTCTCCCACATACCAGAAGGAAGAAAAAATACTCTCATAAGTGACTCTCAAGGGTAAAATAGGGTTGAAATGGAAGGGGGGAAGGTTTGTGCCAATGGAAAAAGTCTCCCAGATAACTGTAACTTTAAATGACACCCCCTACACACACAATTTTAACAAGTTCCCCAAGCAATTTCAAAGTAAAGATTGAGAAACTCACACAAGGCCAGACAACTGCTAATTTGGAATTCAATCTTCACATTTTAAAAACCTGTGGTCTGAAAAGTCAGCTTTTATTATTGAAAACAAACAAGCAAACAAACAACCATTTCAGCTCTTCCACCTACACCTTGATAGCATTTGACTGTGGCCCTTTTCTGATGATCCCATGATAGAATGAATGATAGGAGCCAGTCCACAGGACCACAGTGGATAAGTCAAAAGGATTTCTCTTGGGGATCCCACTTTCTGATGTCTCATATTTAGGATAAACTACCACGATCTGGACATGTTTCTCTAGTTGCAGACCAAATAAGTGGTGGTCAGTTGGCAGAAGACTTGATTATCAATGTAAGTGCACCCACCCTTTGGCTCAGTAACGGGAGGGGTCCTCAAAATCAGATTTTTTAACTTCCATCAACAAGATATCCAAGGCACCGGCTTTCAGGAATGTTGAGTCTAAAAGAAAAGACTTCTCTGGCCTTGCCCTTAGGATGTGCTGCATCTGAGATCAGCTGACTGTGCCTATCTCACAGTAAGTGAGGAAAGGATTCCAAGATTTGTAATCAGCTGTGTTTTTGTTGTTGTTATTTGTACACTTTTGGACCTTTTCTCTATTCTTCTACACCCACCCCTTCCTGAAGAGAATTCTTTAATTCATCTGGTCATGATCAGGCAATAAAAATGAGAAGGCATTCCAACTACACTTGGTGGCCTATCCTGCCACAACCAGGCACCTCTCATTTTCCCCCTGCAGTTAATCAAATGAAACTTGGGGATCTATGAGCTGGTTATGTGTTGCTAGTGGTTATGTGTTGCAGTTAGCTAGAAACAGAAAACCAAAAGCATCTGGAGGTATTTCAAAAGCAAACTCCAAATGGCTGACCTTCTCCTACTTCCTGAGTGGTAAGGAAGGGTATTTGTTACTTGGAATCCCTTTGTGTAGAATCT